CAGATGATTTTAATCGAAAAATACCCCTCGATTTGTTGTGCAAACTTTTCTACCTGAAATCTTGCTCACATGTATCAAGTGTAGCTTATTTTCTGAAAGAAAATTTTATCTCCATGATTTAGGGAGGGAATTTTTGTGATTTTTCAATTGGTTTTCATAATAACTGGAAAAGACGGGATAAAATGTCGGAAAAACAGAAAATGTACGAAATATAGACATTAGTAAAAAATTATTATGGTCTTTTTTTTGTTGTGTACAACGTTTCTACTGGCAATTTCGCTCTGATTTACAACAACAACACTTTTTTGAAAGTAAATGTAACTGGGAAGGTACTTTAAGGTTGTCATTTTTCGATGTTTCCAAAAGTTTTCTTAGAAAATGTGATAATCCGAGAAAAACATGGAAAAACCAGGAAAAACGCAGGAAAACGGGAAAATCGGCACAATATTAAACAAATATTACCAAAGAAAATATATAATGGCTATTTAATTATTTTACTATAATATGCCATATATATTGCTGACAAAGCATCACTAACAACTGAACTGCGCACAAAATCGTTTATTCTTTAGCAATGGTGTATCGTTGCTTACAGATATACATTAAATTACCTATAACAGTGGCTGTACCCGCCTCCATTATCCTTGGACGTCCTTTTTTTTGTTGTTTTGATTTAAAAATATTCGCAGAAACTTAAAATTTCTATGTAAATCTTATATTTACCTTTACTAAAATTTTGGTGAATTTTTGAAATATACTTAGGTATTTTATATTTTTTTCATTTTTAATAAGTGTTTTGTAATCAAATTTAAACGAAAATCGCAAAAATATGTACGGCATTACAAATTATGTATTCCTGAACTACGCTCAGAATCGTCTTTCGTCACGCAATTGGTTTATAGTCGCTTACAGATATAAATGAAACAATCTTTTGTAGCCTACCTTCTCAACTTCTCATGTACAACAATGGCCGCTCCCATCCCCAGTATCAGCTCTTTTTTTTATATTAGTGTTGATATATATACAAAATATATATTTTGTTCGGTTTTTTATCGGTTGGAAATGTAGAAATAAAAGAATTATAATTTTTTGTAGGTATTTATGTTCATTTTGAAAAACAAATTTGAAGTATTCATTTAGTTGGTAACCGGTAGGTACTACAAGTTTACAAAACAATTACAAAAGTATTATTAATAAACATGAACATTCATTAGTTATTAGTGATATTGTGTTTTATAATCAAGAAATATAATTTAATAACCGTATTTATTGGAATTTAAAATTTAATTAAAAACAGATAAACGAGCGGAAATAAATAATATTTCTCTTGCTAATACGCATTATGGCGATTCTCTCAACTGGAAACACTCATTATCTCGGAAGTTATTAACATTTTTCGCGGTTCGTTACACTAACTTTTTTTTAAGTGTTACACCGCGAGTTTTAAATAATAAACAGTTTAAAAATCTCCCAGGTATAAAGGTGATAGCTGATAATCTTTACTACATACAAACTATGACGTTCAATAATTTTATTGTACATATCTGTGATTTAATATTGTGACCATGGTTAATTATTAGCCATTATCGTGACGTTATCTTTTTGTTTATATTAAGTCTAATAGTATATATTTAAAATACGTCTCAGACAGAAAAATCATAAAATGTATTATTTCCACTGTTGGTATTATAATTAGGAACTACGAATAAATCTTAAGTTCTTAGTTTTTCTACTAGGTATACGGAAATCAATATCATTCAATAGCTCAGGACAGTTAATGAGGTTGTTAAAAATATTGTACACTAATATAAAATCTGTTATCTTGCACTTACTGAGTGTAGGCTTAAGAAATATTCAATAACATTAGTTATTGTATTATAATATTGAGATAATGAGTGTATTCATTTAAATAGATTATCTTGTATATCTGGAAGCAACGATTAACCATTGCTAACGAAAAAAAAACGATTCTGAGCGGAGTTCAGTTGATAGTGTTACTTTGTCAACAATACAATACATAGTATACATCATATTATGGCAAAATGATTACAGCAATGTGCGTTTTCATGACAAAAATGATTGTTTTTATCCGAATAAACAATGTAGTTTTATATGTTTATACATATTAATTATATGATATACTATACATAATGCATTTATTATGTTACGGGTAAAAGTTGGAATCAGGCAAAACGTCATATTTCGGTTTTTGCTCGGACAAACCTAGTTGTGACCAACCTCTTTCTGGCAAATCTGTCACATAAATTTTAATTTTTTACAGTAGGTAGGTACCGTTAATAATATTGCAATATTCTTTGCACGGAAATATCTGGTTTTCGACTTATAGTGACAACATAAAATAAACATTTGGGCAAAACCGTAGATACTTTTATTGTAAGATTTATACAGTTTATTTAGTTATTAGATTTATTTATTTATACATTTATAAAATAAATTTATCGACGTGATTGCCCAAATGAGGTTGGCTACAGCTAGGTTTGTCAGGGCAGAAGCCGAAATATGACGTTTTGTCCAAGTACCGTGGACACTTCGCATTTCAAAGTTTTGCTCGATTTCGGCTTTTGCCCGTAAACAAATGCTATGTCCTTTATTTCATAAAGCAATGTTTTATAAACTAGCATAAATAAGGCGGTTTAATAATATTATATATTCACCATAGCCATTGATGCAGACTATATGTATACTCCAGGGCCGTAGCTAGAAACAATTTTCGGGGGGGAGGAGGTAATGATGCATTGACTAAAAATTAAAAAAATTAAATAGAATTAAATTAAAATTGATATTTCCATAACGGTTTAATGGACTAGTCCCATTTTGCATAAAATATATATATATCTATTCAAGGTAAATAAATATAAATTCGGTTTTAATTCGATTTCGTTGGAAATTGAACATCTCTACTTTCTGCAATTAGTGATTCACATATTATACATATAACAATATAAAACAATATATTTTATACTTATAATAGTACTAAAATAATACATTTTATTAAAATAACGAATTTATGTAAACTGCACTACAGCATTATGAAAAAATAAAGATAATATAAATATAAAATTATTAAATTTTTATAAAGATATTATTAGAAACTTTTTTTTTATTTTAAAATGATAAAATACACCCAAATATAACCAATAAAAAATAATGCAGGGAGGCATGCACCCCACCAAACTCCTTGGTATGGCAATAATAGCCACTATTCAGAAAAGATTCAGCTTAGGGTTTAATTTCTCTCTTCCCAAAAAGTCCAAAATTTTGAGTTTTTTCTGTATATATAATATTTTGAAATTAGCCATACCTCCCCATCGATACTTCCCTACCATGCTGATTCAAAGAGAGATTAGTCGTAAGTGTAAACTATTTAGAAATTAGCTTTCACCAAAATTTAGTACATTATTTGTAGGTATGTGCCAGTACCGAAGCCCTAATTAACTTGCGTGGGTGCTCCCCTTGACAACGGCAGTAGTGTCTTTTATTCAGATGAGGTTTAAGTCTATATTCCAAGAAAAAGTCCTATTCAAAAGCAGTTATATTTTTTCACGTTTTTATTTCTCGTATAAATATATTTGTTTGTTATTTGGAAATATTGTTGCGAATTTGTGATGTTAATGTATCACCTCTTGCATATAATATATGGAATATGACACTGCACTGTAGGGAATGTTAAAATAATTTTTTTTTGAAACATTTATACAACGTTGATGCTAAATGTTGCTGGGGTGTTTATTTAGTGACATTGCATAAATATTCCATTGAAAGTTACAAAAAGCGGAACATTAGCAGTTGCAGCAACGTTACAGTAACATCTATGCAACACGATCTGCAATATTACATGTTTCCTTGAATATTGCTGCAACGTTTATGGACTAGAATATTGCATATTGGGAATGTAGGTATATTAGGTATAATATATTACGGCCTTCTTTTTTCCAGTGAACAGCTTTTCTACCAGCAATTTTGCTCCAATTTATAATGATAGCAATTTTTTTAAAAGGAAATTCGACTGGGGAGGTACTTTAGAGAGGAAAAAAACGGGAAAATATAAGAAATGTAGATATTAGTTAAAATAAATTACGGCCTTCTTTTTTCTGTGCATAACTTTTCTACCAGCAATTTTCTCAAAAGTTTTTCCAGAAAATGCGAAAAACACGGGAAAATCGGTATAACATTAAACAAATATTATTATCGCCCTTTTGCATGCATTTTTTTTTTCGAAAAAAAAATGTGTGGAGATTTGTAGTCAAGATGACATGGAAAAATACTTAAATAATTTTTCGACTTTTTTTGGCCTTAAAAAAGCTCAAAATATAATTTGTGCCATAAATGGCGCAACGCGCACCAAAACTATATATTTGTGCTGGACTTCATGCATTAAATTGCTCAACAATATTATGTGCCATATTATAAGAGACATATGCATTTATAAAACAAAACTTAAATAACTACACCATATTATACTTATTTAATTATTTATTAATTTTTGTATCACATTTACCTGTTTTCATCTATTTATGTACGCAATTTTACCGCTAGATAAAAGTACATTGTATCAAAATGATTTAGTTTTTCGTGCCGAAATCAATCGTGTAAGAAGTATTGAAATCGAATAAAATTTAGTGTAGTTAATATTAATGTTATATAATATTATATTATGATATATCTAGTTGACCAATATTAAAATTATGATATATACCATATTTTAAATATCATTACAAATTTGTCAGTGAAATAATCGATAAAAATTAATCTGTGCCATTTTTGAGATAATATGCGGAAAGGGGTTAAATAAAATATTTAAAGCCTATTTAATTATTTTACTAGAATATGACATATATATTGTTCACAAAGCATCACTATCAACTGAACTACGCTCAGAATCGTTTTCTCGGAAGCAATAGTTTACCGTTGCTTACAGGTGTACATTAAATTATCTATAACATTGGCTGCACCCGTCTCCATTATCCTAGGACGTCTTTATGTATTCATATTTGCCGGCACGGCGCATCCGAGTAGTTTTGGTCAAAGCGGAACGCTATCTACTCGATAAAACCGCGTCTCCGCGTCTGCCGCCGGCGTATCTTCGCATCCGGGCGAGGTGAGCGCTGTGCGCACGCCCGTCGATCGATTTTGTGCGTGCCGTTCGTACCGGCGGCGGAAACGATGTGGACGTGCATGTATCGTCAACATCATGATCGGTTGGCGAGCGGAGGGTTGGGGGGACGGCACTTTCGTCGGCGAGCGCACGCGCATACGCACACAATTCACATAATTTAATACGACACACACAGCCCACGCACACCACGTACGTCACCGCCGTTGTAGTGGACGCGCAAGTCCGTCGAAGTATTTTCGATAGCGCGTTCGCGTTTGTTCAGAGTGCCGTTCGACGTGCAATTATTTTCGAATCGCAATTACAACGCGCTTTCGTCGTACAGCGTGGCTGTCTCGACGCCTTTGCGACGTCGTCGACGACGTCACGGTGGCGGCGACGGAAGAACAGCCACCCTAAAGTCGCGTATGCGTGCGTGTTTGTGTGCGTGCCGTGTGCGTGTGTACGTGAGCGTGTGCTGGTTAGTCCGGAGGCACGCGTAACAAGTACAAATGATAAACGATGGTCGACTCCGCTGTGCTCGGGTAACCGAACGACAGACGACTGCGTCTATTTTGTAAGTTTGCTGGAAATATATATATGTGTGTGTATATATATAACGTATAAAGCGCTATTATAATAAATAAATAATCCTTAATCGTATCATATGTATTAAAGCGGTCGGTTTGCACCGGTCGTTCTCTCGCTGCGTGTCGCGCGGTATTCGCGCGGCGATTTTTAATAATGAAATATTACGGGACGTGGGTGTTGTTCGGGATGGGTTGGGGGTGAGCGAACACCCGAGCAGAGCGGTAGGCTCGTGTCTCGCGCGGTCGCTCCACCGTTCACCACCACCTCCGTCGTCCCTGTTGTCGAGAGAGCCGTCTGACCCCGGCGCGGGTTCTGGTCGAATTCGGTAAATATTCGTAATCGCGTGTCCGTATTATTATTATATTGTCAACCGACCCGGTCGACCCGCGATCCGAGCCAAGACAAATCAAAACTAGCCGTGACGTATTATAGCAGAGCACGTCGACGGGATACAATATTCATGTTTTTCTCCGATCGACTATACGGAAGATGAACGAGGTTCATAGCGGTCGGATGGGGAAATCATACTGCCGATTTTTGCGTTGATCTTTAATCTCTGCTGACGGCTGTAAAACGAGACGTTCGCGAACATTCTGCGTTCATCCCAGTCCAAGTTCTGAAGGCGCGATTCGGCGTCGATTTGGCGTAGTTTAAAAACGAAAAAAAAAACAATCCTTTAATCGAGACGGAGACCACTCGGTTGCGATGCGATGACATTTTGGTTACAACATTCTTTTGGCAATTAAAAAAACGAAAATATCAACGAAAGAAACCGAAATGTCTTCCTGATCCACCCCATCCTCACTCCCCCAAAATATGAAAATGAGGTTTGAAGGTACAAAAGGCTCTTCAACGATGCATTTACAATACGAATTACAAAATTTGAAACAATTTCAACGATTGCACGATACATTTCATTTCAATTTACTGTATTTCATGTTATCAATTTGGCAATTTATTCATTTGACTTAACTGTTTATCTATGTTATATACTAATACACAGTGTTCGGATTGTAAAAATAAAATACTGCTGGCTGTACGACTTTAAAAAAATTAGCGTGTCACGCAATTATTAAATTCAACGTAACCCGTAAGTGGCATGAGATGATTTTCCCCTCATATCCATTTTTGATCAGTACGTTAACGAACAAATAACCACTCACAAATTAATCTCAATTTAAAGAACAAACAGCCCATTTTTTTTTCTTTTTTAAATGAACTTAAAAGAATTTAAAATATTATCAAATTATGACAGACTATCAGTATTGGAAGAATTACTAAATATCATATAATATTGTTCTGTGGTAGTATAAAAGCATTCTTTGTGTCTTTTTCAGTATGACTGATTTTATTTTGCAAAACAATAAATTAATTTTAAAATTATTAGAAGAAGAAGAAGAAGAATTTGAAATGTTTTTTTCTTTTTCCCCTAGGAAATCAGTGAATCACATATTCAAAACAAGGGACGAAGAACGGTTTTTCGAAATTTTAATAAACCGACATTTAAAAAAAAAAAAAAAAATGAAATATAATTTTGCGAATATTTTAGGACAAATATTAAACAGTACGATTTTTTTATTAAAGTTGATTGAGTTAAAATACTCGTGAATCGTGAATGTGTGATAGAAAACTGATATGACTGCGAAGACGTGGATATTTGTTATCAATATTATTATAATTTTATCATCATAAATAATAATATGATAACGTGAAACAAAATAGATTTTTTTACACCAGCCTATAGAGTAATAATTATTCTATGCACCAGTCGCCGCCGATCCGCAGTCGTCGCTAGGAAACTACACAACGATAATAACGCATAACCAGTAGTCGGCGGCCGGCCGCACCTAGGTAACCTAGGAACTTTAACAAATATTAATTACACATATATGTTCAGTTTTGATTCTTTATTTAACAATGTATGTAACCTATGAATTAAATACCAATAGTAAAAGAGTACCTTTAATCTATTTTTTGCCTTTATCATCTTTGAGTCAAGTTGTATGAAATACGTTTTTTTTCTCAAATAATTATTATTATAAGTGCAACAAAATTTAATATTAAAAACGAATACAAAAAATATCATTATATTATAGCCGTTATATATTTCTTAGTTTTGTACTGTACATCTAACATTTCGTATAAGACAAAGTGTATCATGCTATACACAATTTTAGTCTCAGCAGTCCTCCTTTTACCAATTTTCAGCATAATTCAGTGACTAATAATTTACGAAAAACGACCTACTCAAAAACACTGACATTAAGCTAAATGTTTCTTTACTCATATACATTTATTTTAGATTCTACTATGAAGCTTCTTTTTTTTCTTTTTTCTCTTTTCTTTAGGTGTATTTGTTTCTGGTAGAAAATATTTAAATACGTATTGTCTAGTTGGTGCTATAAGGAAGGAAGTTTTTTATATATTTTTGTATTCTTAATAAGGGAAGAAACTCGTTTAAAGTTTAAATTTTAACGGAAATACATTTTATTAAAAAAGACGTCCTAGTATAATGGAGACGGGTGCAGCCACTGTTATAGATAATTTAATGTATATATGTAAGCAACGACAAACTATTGTTAACGAAAAAAACGATTCTAAATGCAGTGCAGTTTACAGTGATGCTTTGACAACGATATACATGTCATTTTATGGTAAAACAATTAAATAGGTATTATATATTTTCTTTAATAATATTTGTTTATTATTATATCGATTTTCCCGTATTTTTTGCGTTTTCCCCAGCTTTCCCATGTTTTTCCCAGACTATCACGTTTGTTAAAAAAACTCTTGGAAAAATCGAAAAACAACCTCCTTAAGTACCTTCTCAGTCAGATTTACTTTTAGAAAAAGTGCTATCGTTGTAAATCGGAGCAAAATTGCAAGTAAAAAAGTTGTACACAGAAAAAAAAGGCCATTAAATTTTAGATTCTGAGTGTAACGAAGAATTTGATTTTAACGAAAAAATTTGAAAAAACCGGCCACAATATTTGTTTCATAATATCTACATTTCGTACATTTTCTGTTTTTCTGAATTAATATCTTAGTAAAACCAATACATTCTTCGCTACACTCAGAATCTAAAATGCAAAAATATTATGTACCTACCGTTACATGCATTTCACAGAAAATAAATAGCATAGGTACGTTAAAATGTCTATATAATTAGTCGAAGTACGGAGTCCCTTCCATCTCCCCCTCCCATTCAAACAGTGAATTAATATAATTATGTAAAATGTATTTATACTTTTTATTTGTATTATCATTTGAGGAATTTACTTATAGTGCAATATTTATTATAACTTTCAACATGTTTCAGCATCACTAATATAAAGTAATACTATTTGTTCAATAACAGGAAATATTTTTAACGAGAAAATAATAAATTGACAAATAGTTTCATGATTGATGGATTCTAGTTCTTTGTATGCAACTAAATATGATTTATTAGGCGTCCCATCTAATTTACCGATTAATAAATTTGCAATAGCCAAACCTAAACGAAAATAGTATATTTTATAAAATGAAAAATTTAAAAAAATTATTTATACAAACCTCTTGGATCGGCTGTTTAGTCAATAATTATGTAAACGTAATTATTTCCAATATCACTATTTTAATATTTAACTATCATTATTTGGTCCATAACGCTTTTATAAATATTCGGTATGTAATTTTTTCTTAAAGTGCTTTCGGAATTGATTCACCAGTATGTTTTTCCAAAAATGATTTTAACACATAATTGCCCAGCTTATGCAAAGGAATATTTGCAGCAACAAATGTATTACATAAATCTTCAAAAAATACATTTTTACTATTTAAATTTTGAAAAGTAATCAAAGGCTGTTTTTTTTTCATTATTCCTTTGTAATGCATTTATGTGTTGGATTAAAAAATACACATGTATTTTTGAAATTTTATGTAGTATATTACGTGTAGCATGAGCATAAAATACAAAACTTATTTGTTTTGAAATGATGATCTAATTCGAAATTTTACTTTTTAAAGATGATTTTATTTTAGGCATTATGTCAAATACATTCATTTAACTACCAATTTATATATATATATATATAGAGAGAGAGATACGCTTATCGCTCGTTGCGCTTACCAAGCTACTAGAGAATTCTAAACGAACGATAAACGCGTATAATTTAAAAACGTGGGAAAACTGCAAAATATTGCATTATAAAATTAAATAGGCAGAATATTTTTAGTATATATCGGCTATATATTTAATCAGATCTGATATATCTTTATTGGAAAAAAAGTTGCTATATCAATTAAATCTGGTCTTTAATTATAACAAAATGGTTTTACAATGATGTTTATTCTGCGGACAACTTTTCTACCTGCAATTTTGATCCGATTATTTTAGATATAATTTATTATTATGTTTTACCAACTTGTGTATTTTGTAAAACTGGTTTTAGATTTTGGATGTATTTAGTCTGTAGATATGGGTTTTTTTTAGATTTAATCTTTCTACAAAAAATATTGATCCCATTTTCAAGTGTAGTATCTTTTTTGAAAGCATTATGGATATAATGTTGGTACACTAAGAAATTATTATTTTTATATTACTTTTTTGATTGATTTTATGTGGATAAAATGCTTGACAATTTTACACGCAATGAAGCTTTTTTACAAGCAGCTAAATTTTAAACGGAAATTGTAAATATCGCGGCATTTTAAAACAAACATGTTTAATTTGTTTACCAAACTTCAATATTAGAATTAGTATTATTATCAAGTTGCAAGGTCAACTACTCATTTCAAATAGATTATTTTGTTATTTTTGTATATGAACACCCAAGGACTCCTATATGAAAAAATTAAAAGAGACGATATTTTTTGGGAAACAGAAATGTTAAAACAAGTAATTAACTTCTACCATCATACTTTTCTACCTGTAATTATTAATCTGAGATTTGATCGAGATTTGCAATTGAAGGATAGACTCACTTCGGAATGATAATATTATTTATAATTTATTTTTATTATAGAATATATTAGGTACACCTACTTATTGACTTTTTATTATTTTTTTTTTTTAGATCCGGAAAGTAGCGAAGAGTGTATTGGTTTTACTAAGATGTTTATTATTATTTTTTTTTTTTGATACTGTGTACAAAATGTCTACCAAAACTCTCTGAGAATTGCTTATATATATATGCGTGGCACCATTTTTGATTTTCTATGCGGTTTTTATAATATCTGGGAAAAACCAGGATAAAACGTAAGAAAAACGGGAAACTAACAAAAATAATGCTTTTATTATTTTCAATTTTGTTATTTGTTGAAATTCAGGTAAAAATATTCGTATCATTAAGTCTTATTTTGTGGTAAAAATAAAAAAAAAAAAATTGAGTTTAATGTATTTTTTTTTTAAACGGAATTTTAATATAGAATTTTGACGAAAATTGTTTGAGTAAAAAATTTTGTGGAACAAATCTAATATTTTAATTTTTTTGTTTTGAACATATGTATATTGCTAATTTAAAAACGATGGTGAAGTCAAAATTAAGCGGACTGACAAAGTTTCGAAGTTATAGCTTTTTGAAGTTCTGATATTATATATTATGTTAAATATCTCTATATTGTCTTTTTCAAACCATATTTGTCATGATCTAATGTTTGTTTATGCCTATTATTATCCTAGGAGTTCCGAGATCAAACCGGTGTGTCGAAAAAAAATGTTTGCATTTTTTCTTCTGTTTACCTAAACAAGAAAAAAACAAATGTAGTTTGGATGCACCTAGAGACCCAAGCCACCCTCGGACTATTTTAATCACAAAATACCCCTCAATTTGTTGTGCAAACTTTTCTACCAGAAATCGTGCTCTGATGTATCAAGTGTAGTTTATTTTCTGAAAGGAAATTTTATCTTCATGGTAATTTAAAGAAGTCATTTTTTGATTTTTTAAGTGGTTTCCATAATATCTAGAAATAACTGGGATAAAATGTCGGAAAAACAGAAAATGTACGAAATTTAGGTATTAGTAAAGAAATATGGCCTTTTTTTCTGTACAACTTTTTTACCAGCAATTTAGCTATAATTTACAATGATAGATCTTTATTTGAATGAAAATCTGACTATTGGGAAAATACTTTAGGGAAGTCATTTTTCGATTTTCCTGAGTTTTCTCAGAAAATGTGAAAAACTGGGAAAAACAGTTATATCAGTACAATATTAAACAAATATTATTAAAAAAAATATATAATGCCTATTTAATTATTTTACCATAATATGTCATATATGTATCGTTAACAAAGCATCACTGTCAACTGCACTGCGTTTAGAGTCGTTTTTTCGTTAACAATAGTTTATCGTTGCTTACAGATATACATTAAATTATCTATAACAGTGGCTGGACCTGTCTCCATTGTCCTAGGACGTTTTTTTTTAAATAAAAGGTAAAATATAAAAACCAATATATATATATAGTTACAATAAACAGAATCTAAAATATAATATACATAATATTCCTAGAAGGTAATTAAGAGGGCTGGAGCTCAACTAGTTTTTATAAATTTTAGACCAATAAGCATTGTGAAATTAGACATATTTCCCGATGTCCGATTTAAATTTTTAAAGTATCTATGCTTATTATAGGTTTTTTAGGAAACCGATGTTCGATTGATGAAGACCATCAAAACTGTGATATATTTTTTTTAAATTTCCGTGAAAATACCGAATTACATTTGTATTTATTTTAGGCATTTTGAATTTATTGTTTTATAGGATTTTTAATCCAAAAAAATATTATCTCTTTTAAATTTTTGAAATGAAAAAATTGGTGACTCAGTTCACCACATTGTAGATGGACTTTCTGCTAAAACAGTTAATAACATATGGATTAAAAGGACGTTATACTCGCATCTACTGTCTTAGGCCAACTACCGGGTAACATACAAAACCAATGCTTGTGCAGATTAAATAAAACTAGCTCAATTTTAATTTTAGAGTAAAAGTATCCGTTTTGAAATTTATAGAGAACAATATTTTGGAGGTAATATACTCTGGTGTTTTTTTTAATTATGAACTATTAAAAAGTTACAGTTATTTAAAAAAGCAAAAAAATAATGGGTTTTGTAGCTTTTATATTGAGCCGTATATTTTGAATAATAAAAAAAACCCAAGACATTCCTCTAAAATATTGTTCTCTATAAATTTCATAATTAGTACTTTTACTCTAAAATCAAAATTAAGCTAGTTTTACTTATTTTGCGTAAGCAATGTTTATGTATATAAGCATTGTTTATGTTATCAGTAGTTAGACTGAGACATTATATGCGGGTATAACGTCCTCTTAAAGTAAAATATCAGTAAATAATAATTCATAACTAAAACTCTTGGGAAAATCGAAAAATGACCTCCCTAAAGTACTTTTCCAGTCATAACTCAAATTAATAGTCATGTCGAAGAGAACATAACAAAAAATCGGGAAGTATTAAAAAGTGTAATTCGTTCTGTTTTGTATTACACTCGGCAAGATATTGGTTTACGTTGTCATTATAACGCAAACACTTCTTTAAACAAACATGACCTAGAAACCAATATATGAACAAGCAATAATCAAGATAATTTTAAGGAATTAGTTGATTTACTGTGTATGGAAAATGAAAAAGATTTGAATTCTTTGTCTAAAAATGCAAAATATACATCTAACATTGTACAAAATGATGTTTTAGTTGCGTTTACAAATATTATTACACAAACTATTATCGAAAAAGTAAATTAAGGCAGTTCGGTCTACAGTTTAATTGTAGATGAAACTCGGGATGCTTCAACATTGGAACAAATGTCAATATGCATTAGGTATGTACATAAATCAATTATTAAAGCATGGTTTTTAGGATTTGTACAAGTAATAAAATTAGATGCACAAGGTCTCACTAATTCTATTATCAAATTTTTAAACTCGGTTGGTTTAGACATTACAAAATGTATAAGTGAGTCTTACGATGGTGCATTAGTGATGTTGGGTTCTATCAATGGGGTACAAGTAAAAATTAGAGAACTCTCTAAAAACTAATGTCCGTATATACATTGTTACGCACATCGACTTAATCTATTTTGGTTGATGTCGCTAAATCAGTTGAAATTGTTGACGATACGATGGGATTACTGGAAGCAATTTATGCATTTCAATCGAGTTCAACTTTACGTCATGACATATTTTCTGAAGTTCAAAAAGATTGTGAACACATATTAAAAGTTCCTCAACATAACGATACAAGTTGGGTTGCCAAATATAATGGTATTCATTTATTTTTAAATCGATTTGAACATGTTGTAAAAGCTTTGTCATGATCAAAAAGTTCAAAAAGAAAGAAGCCGCAGAAGCCATAGGTCTACTGAATCAATTTCGTTATTTTAACATAATATTTGTTCTAATATTTCTTGATACAATTTTATCAATTGTCAACGTACTTTCAATACACTTGCAATCGTCTACCCTTGATATAATTAAATGTTTAAATTTAGTAGAATCTACTATAACAGAGCTTGAATGTTTACGTTCGGATGATCATTTTAGTAACTATTCATACAAAATCTGAAAATATGGCTTCACATTTAAATATTTCATTATCAAATGATGAAAAATGCTATAAGAATATTAATAGTACATTAACTAATTATGTTATTACTTCAACAACTGGTTTCAAAAGCAATAATACTACGATTCAAAAAATGCGAATTATGTATTTTGAAATGGTAGATAATATACTGAGTGAAATGAACAATTCAACAATTTTGATATTTTAACTGCAATATTAGTATTCAATCCATCTTCAAACAATTTTTTAGATGATTATTTTGTTTTAAAATGTATGAACTATTATGGAGATAATGAATATTTCTCGAATAAAGTAGTGAACCAAAGCCGATTGGCGAAAAATATCTATAGTAGCTGTACAAATAATATTATGCATTTTTACAAAAAAATATGCGATATGGGAAAGTCATTTGAGGAAATTAAATTGTTTGTAGAACGCGTGTTGGTTATACCAGTAAGTTCGGTAACAGCCGAAAGAAATTTTTCGACGATGAAAAGAATCAAGACATATTCAAAGACATCTATGACAACTACGCGTCTTCATAATTTGGCATTGATATCAATTAAAAGGGAGTTCAGTTCGGAGTTATTGTGAGATTCTACAAAGATTATTGACGAGTTTGCCAAAATGAAAAACAGAAGAATTAAATTTACTAAATAAATATTATAAAAAGTTATTTTATAAGAATATATTATACATATGACTACAAAGTAGTAAATACAACTTAAAAAATAAATTAAAGTTTTTCTTAAAAAAATTGTGTATCTTATACAAACTATTCTTATAATCGAGCCCGTCCTGAATTTTTACCCCGGACATACCCCTAGCTCGAGCCCCCTTAAAGTTAAATACTTGAAAAAATAAAGGTTGAACAAATTATCAAATAATTATGTTTAAACACGCGTTAAGGTACGGCTTCCAAGGCGCGGCTAGCCGATCGTCGAGACCAGCCGTCGCGATCAGCCGCCGAAGTCTGACTGGTTTCCTAGACATACAAATCGCCGCGGCTCTAAATATAATTTCATTATTTGTTTAGTCGTACTTCGAATTATGTTGTGTTAAGACATATATTTAAAGTGTTAAACCATGTCCGATTTATTGTGCATTTTTAATAATAACAAAATGATCATTGATTTGTTTGAAGAAGAGGAGGAAGAAGATAATTTATGTTTACGTAATTATTTAAATCCAAATAAATGGAAACCAACTAACATTTTATTTAAATATTATAATTATTATTCAATACAACAATAATTATTATAATTCAATACTAGAATATTAGTTAAATTATGGTAGTATATACTATATCTCTATGTACTACTATCAGTGACTGCAAACATTTTAACACAAACATTATTTTCGACTAGAGTCGCCGGCGGCTGTCGCGGTAGAGCCGCCGGCCACGGCGTCTAGTTCAGTCGCGAGCCGCAACCGCGCATTGGAAACCAGTCTATAGGCATTACGTGTAAACACAGTTCATGCAAAAGCCGCGCCTTGGAAACCGTATCTTTAGAGCTAAAATTATTATATTACTTATAAAAACTATTAGAACCTTTCAAAAATTGTTCATCTTTGTACCTACCTGTTTTGACACGAAATCGATATTAAATGTTTGGTTGCTGTTTTTAGAGATTTCATACTCTGTAATTTTTCTTTAAAATCCCAAGCTGAGACCAAAGTTAAGTACTTTTTATAAGTATTTTAATATTTTGTCTTTTTGCGCTTAATTATAATTTTGGAACCTAGTCAACTTAATTTTTCTGCTACACCATGTATATTACTCACTCATTCGATTCATTATGGTGGTCACCATGTTTTAGGATATGGTTCTCCGCCATAGGACCGATAACGATATTTAATTGTTAAAATGTATGATAAAAATATTGAATAAACCATTTAGATTATCGATATATAATTTCAAATGTAATGTATCTGCTTTTAATTTTATATTTATTTTTCTAACTAAAACTTGGCTTACTGAAAACTTTTCTATTGGTGAGCTTGGTCTTACCAACTATAATGTTTTTAGATGTGATAGGAGTATTGCCACTAGTTTATGTCTTAAAGAGGTGGGGTACTGTAGGGGTTCTAGTTGGCATACGTAAGGACGTTTTTTCCTTTCCTATTATTGTTTATGAATAAAATGTTGAGCAGTTTTTGTTTGTCTTTCTCTTGGTATAGAGAAATTTGTTATAAGTAATGTATATTTTCTTCCTAACTCTTCACCTGCTTTATATAAATCCAATATATTATCGATCGAACATATTTTCAATCATATATTATACTAACCATACTTATATTTTTAGCGGAGACTACCTATATAACCTACCTGATATTTCATGGACCAATGATGAGTCTGGTTTAATTTATTCTTTGTCTTCCAGAATTCCTTGCATTCCTGAATTTTTTGCGGTAAATTATTTTTACCAAAACAATAATATCTTTAATAAGTATGACTCCATATTAAACTTAATTAAAATTAACAAGAACAAAAATTAAAATGGAAAACCACAGAAAATATAAAAAAAGTAAAAAATTATTGATTGATAAATGAGTATATAATAAGCTACCTAAGATATCTAAAAGGTATCCAAGATATTCAAAAAAGTGTGTCATACTGCATTGATTTTTAATTTTTATTAGTATTAAATATAAAGTTTTGTAATTGTTTTTCGCTGTAAATATATATACCTATACAATGACTCGACACATGACTTTATTTATTTATTTATTGACTCGTATAGATTCTGTTACTCGAATAACTCGTATTACTTATATACAGGATGGTTCCCTAAGCGTGCTTGTCCCGTTTTTTTGGTTAAATTTTGCATATATTCAAATTTTTATTTTTGGAATTTTTAAATGTAGTTAAAGCCGAATTTTTGAATACTTAAATTTTTCGAAACATTTAAGAAGTATCCTGTGGTGACGCTAACTTTGGTTTTTCAAGTAGAAACTTATATTAAAAATTCTATAAATGGACGACGTATGACATTAAATACATTTCGGTATCAAAATGTTTGATTTCCGTCAACCTGTTAATGAGATATCCCATTTATAGGTTTAGGTAGGGGGACATTAAGAGCGTGTATGGGTCTGTTATCCAATATTATTTCAGTGCACTTATAATTCATTTAGTAGAATTATANTCCTCGAGTAGGATACAGGAATAGGTAAATAATAATAATATTAAGCAGTGTCGGTTTAGTTCACTCGGATACTTGGCAATCGCCGAGGGCCCTGAGATTTATTCTTAAAATAGGAGTTCTACGGGAACACGTCAATAGTAGACATTATGTTAATTATTTTTGTAAAACAATAAATTTCCTAGTATGAATGAAAATAATGTTATAATAATCTTGAAACATGGTTGACGTGATACAATATAAATAATCTAAAGCAATAGGTACTATAGCTTTTCTGTTCCAAGATCTGTATATATCATGAATATAATATAGAAGAAATAATAGCTACAGAAGATAATGTACCCGTTATAGAAAAACTAAATGTGATGACTACTTACCTAAGTAATTTATCTTCAGACATTGTATGAAATAACTTCAAAATCGTATTTATTTAATACGCTTTATTTAGCTATGAAATAAGTATTACATCTTCCGTGTACACAAGTTTCCTATGAACATGCGTTTTAAAAACTAAAAAGATACGGACATACTTGTACTATAGGTGAGCCATTGTTGTAGGTGAGAAGTTGGGAAGGTAAGATATAGAAGGGAATTTAATGTATATCTGTACGCAATGATTATTCTTCGTTAACGAAAAATGATTTTGAGAGGAGTTCGGTTGTACATGTTTTGAAAAGCCGTTATATTTACGATTTAAAAATAATTAACTTCGTAAATTTTTCCTTTTTTTTGACCACGAATTACTACTTATAATGAACCTCCTGTTAAATTTTCTGGAATTTCTCTTCGTTTTAACAATTTTATCCATAAAAAAATTATACGTAAAAAAACCTATAAAATTTAAATATCTATAAATAGCTCAAAAATGGTTACAACGTTTTGAACATTTTATCACATCTAGAAAAAACAAATATAAGTTTTCTGTAAAAATTTCAAGTCCTTACAAATATTTTTAAATGACTCAAAACAAAACAAAAAATGTAAAACATGCATAGTACATTTCGTACATTTTCCCATTGTTTCCACATTTTTCCCCGGTTATCCTCATTTGTTATAAATTTCTGCCAAACGCTGACGAGATTTTTCATTTTTAATTAAGGGTTGAAGGAGAATGAGGAAGATGGGATACATAAAGTTATTTAACCAACGGTAAACTGTTGATAACCAAAAAAGATTCGGGGCAAAGTTCGGTTATACAAGTTGTCAAAGGTCGTAATATTCACGAATTTCGTCAAAATTTGATTTTTAAACTTATGTATAAAAAAAATAACTACTTTAAACTAAATTTCTTTTTGATCACTTATTATGACCTATAATGAACTCTTTATGAAATTTTTAGGCATTTCTGATAAGTCTAGTAATTTATGTACATAATACCTACCAAATAATAATTATATTAATAATTCGCAAAATTAAAAATTTTATCAGGAAAGTTTTATCACGACTAGAAAAAGTAAATATAAGTTTTCTGTCAACATTTTAAGCCTTTATGAATATATTAAACTAAATTACATTAAAGAATGTAATTTAAAATAATAAAAAAAATTGTATTCATACATTTTCCCGTGGTTTGTGAATTTTTTTTAGTTTTACTTTATTATTAAGAATACTACACAGGAAATCTGTAAACGATGGTTTTATTTACTAATCAAAATCCAACAAAAAGGTCTCCTGATCTATTGGATCAATATTTATGGTAGAAAATATAAGCCGTACAAATTTAAAATAATGAAATCTTTTTGTCATAATTTGGAAAAAATCGTATATTTATTTATTTTTTTTGGTTTTTCCCAATTAAACATAATTTGTACATATTTAAATAATTACCCTGGGACTTGGGATGCTATGTTGCCGTAAATATTAATCTATTTAAATTTTTTGTTATTTCCCAATTATTATAGAAAAACTATTTTGGATATCGAAAAACGACTTCTGTCAGGGGCGAAATAAAAAAATAAACAAAATCGATCTCTTTTCTTTTTTGGATTGGAGTAATATTTCTGATAAAAAAACATTGTATAAATATAATAAAAACAATGAAACCGGTAATACCGCGGTTTCCTGTAAATATGCTGTTTTACCTATAATTTTCTTTCGGTTTTTCTTGATTATTTCGAAAATGTCTTAGAATATCAAAAAATGACCTTCTCTATGCACCAATGGGAGAAAATAACTTTTCAGAAAAGGTGCTATAGTCTATACTTCGGAAAATTTTTTCTGGTAGAAAAGTTGTTCATAGACAAAAAAAAATAAACATCATTGTGAAATCAATATCATTGCTCGTTCGCTCAGAATCTAAAAATAAAATATCATAATAAAACCAATAAACTTCTGGCTTTTCACAGAATTTAAAAATGTGACCTTTCCATCGTATAAAGTTTATTCTTGGTATTTTTATAAATAAATATTTATTTTGCATTAAAAATGTTCACATATTATTATTTAGGAAAATGCAATTGTTCAATCAAAAGATCGACCACCTGCAGTACTAAATGAAGAATTAGGTACATTGTCCATCAAGTATAATGAAGAAAGTGTTTTAAACTTCTCCTTAATTAAATTAGAGTCATCGAATTGTAGAATATTGAAAGATCTAGAAAACAACTCAATTGGAAAATCAAGTTCAGAATCTTCAAGTGTGAATTTATTTAAAAACCCGAACAACCCAAAATATCATTTAAAAGAAAAATTAATCAAATTAAAGAATAGTCCTTCCATAATTAATATTCCAAGAATCACCAGTAAATGTCCTATTCAATCTTTGGTCGAGAAAAAATATCGTGTTCCTTATACAGAATCAATACATACCATAAGTTATGATGATACATTCGTACATTATTGGTCACCTAACCAAGTTGAAGTGTATAAATTATTACACAAATTATCCAAAAGTCATTGTAAAGTATGCATTGGTGCTACTGGTGGACTTGTTTCCAAGATATTACGTCCATTTACCAAAGAATATTCTGATTATTTATTTTTATACGAAATAGTTGTACATGGGATTGGTATTCAAGATTCTGTATGTCAAATGGTATCTGAAAAGCAAAATCTACTTACTATATTATATTGGCTTAAGAAATGGCAATTATCTGGTGCACCATGTCCCAATGAAGTTGTAACAGGTATGTCCTGGGCGATACTAGGTGCTGTATCTCGTGTATTTTGCAATGGAATAAGTACAAAGGAATACGCACACATATGTTTCCTAAACTTATTAAATAAGTCAAATTTTATTCCAAAATGTTTTATACGTATAGATGTTGCTCATTTTATAAAAATGCTGTTTAAATGGAAATGTTTGAATAGATTAAATCATCGAAAATTTTACATTCGATGTTCTAGTCTTCTTATTAAAACTCAAAATATTACTGACTTTAAACATATTCTGATGAGCATATTAACTATAGTGTACAGTGAAACAGATTTACAAGCCGAATCAAGTTTTAATTATATTTTATCAGAAATTGAATATAATACAGATGAAATTGAAAATATAATATTTGATGATTGTGAAATTATAAATACGGAAAATGAAGATGAAATTATGAACTTTGATGAATGTAATGAATTTATACTCCATAATAATGAAATTACCATTTCACACTTTTTGAAGGATATCGAAGATTGTGCAAAGTTTTCGATACAACAAAGCAAACAAGGAAGCAAAATAAATGAATACTTCTTACCAGAATTTGGAAATAATTTATTGTATATTGCACAATGGTTTCCATTATGGACAAATATTATGGTTCCCGTTTTTAATTGTCCAAATATAACAGCGTCTTCAGTTCCAGTAGAAAAAGATTTTAATCAACTTAAGACAAGAATACTACGAAATGAATGCAAGTTAATTCCATTGGATAGATTTGTTCTAACCCATTTAAGCGTTTTAAATGACTTAATGAAGCTGGCATTTGAAAAATTGAAATATAAAAATTCATTGAATATGAAGATAAAAATAAATCCTATTGAATACTTAGACCCTGATTTAGAAATTAAAAATGCTCTAAATAAGTCAAGACTAAGATCGAATTTAGAAACGTATTTATTAAATGGAAGTATGTCATCCCCAGTCAAATTAAACAAATATACATGTTTAATTTACAATACTTGTTCCTTCGATTCGATTGTATCATGTATTGTCACAGCTTATTATGATTATCCAAATTATATGGAATTTATAAACAATAGTAGAAATAACATATTTTTTAAATTTTGTAAGACATTGGCAATATATGGAAAAAATAAACAAATACACAGGGAAAGATTAGTTATTCTAAAAGAAATATTTAATTTGGAAAATATACAAGAAAATCCGAGTATTGTTGTTTATGATGCCCAATGTTACATAACTGACTTGTTGACAAAATTAAATTGTGTATCGGCATCATTTAAATTAAAGTGTAATATATGTGAAAACTGTATGGAAATAGAAACAAATGTAATTACACCAAACACGAAAGAAATAGCGAGAAACAAATTTCAAGGATTGGACAAAGAAGTCGAGTACAGTTTACTTACTGTAATCAAAACACAAGGTACACCTCATGCACCTTGTGAAAAAAAAAACTGTACAGGAACTAAAATTCCTACTTTAAAATTGAATACACATATATTTATCGAAGTTGACTTAATAGAATATTATGGCCTTGAAAAAAGTAATGTTTCTTTGATTCCAGAGTTTTTACAAATATTTGGTGAGACGTAAGTATATAAACTATATAAATAAATACGAACACAATTTAAATTTAAAATAATAAAATAAATATAAAAACTTGATTTATAGGTATTTATTAGTTTCTATTATCAATTTCATTAAAAACTCGTTGGATACGAGTGAACTTGGACATTGTAATTCACATATAAGGAGGGCATCTGGTTATTGGAATATTCATGATGATTTAGTATCAAACGTAAAATCTTACAAGAACACTGATAATATGTACATCAACCCATATATTTTATTCTACATAAAACAGTAGTTTATTCTTTAAGTTATTACAATCAAGTTTAATGTATATTTTTTTTAAAACCTAACTTTTTTTTTATTTTAATGTATTCAAGTTACATAAGTATGTTATATTCAAGTTTAAATATTAAAAATAAATCATTATTGTTGCTAATTAACATGCTATTTGTACACGCTTTTAATTTTTGCAAAATATATTTCATTCAGTGTTGTATTATAAATACATTTTCATATTATTATATTATATTATTATTATTATTCATATTATTATTTCTATAGAAATTATATTTAATAATTTAGGTAAATTTTATTTATGATTAAATTTTTTAATTTGTATTAAATTGTTAAACAAGAGCATAATAGTATAATAGTATATATGAAATATTGACTTCTATTAGAGGGTGGGAAGAGGGTGGCGCGTAAAATACAGGAAAATATTTACAATACAAGGTTCCGAAAAAAACGTTTCCGAAAATAATTTTAATAGTGCTCTACTACTCGACCCCTACCTAAACTTAAAAGTGGAATACATCATTAACGAGTTGATGGAAATCAAAAATGTTATTTACTATATTTATACATTATAATAATGCGTTACAAACGTGATAAACTGACAAATAATAATAATTTCTTGGTGTAAATTAAAATATTCAATCATTTTGTTCATAATTGTCTCTAACTAGCACTATCGTTGATCTCTCTCACACAATATAGATTCCGCATTTCCTTCTTTAAGCGCGATCCATTTATTAATATGTCTATGTGTAAACTACCTTTAGTCCGTAATTTAAAGTGTTCAAACCCCAGACTAAGATATACAGGACTGGACTCGAACAAAGTTTGAGGGTGTGAAGGGTTGACTATGAAATGTTATACAACTGGGGAAGTACGGCGGAATTCTCTTTACTAACGCCGTCTTAGTGGATACTTATAGAACACTATAGATCTTACAGATCACATCATCACAAATCATAATATTATTAACTAGCTCCAGCATAGTAAATTCTACATAAAATTACTGCCTATTCAATCAAATTACAAATACAAATCATTTACAATAAATTAGCTACTAGTTACTAATTTAAATAGGAAAAACTTTTTATCTTTACTACTCGATTTGCGATTTTCACAATTAACAGCCATATTAACTTTATGGTAGTAAATACATATATAAATAAAAAAATGTATATGTACAAAAAATAAATAAAAAATAAATAAATGAATAAATGCGTCACCTAGAGTATTATGATAAATGTTTTATACGACCGGTTTCGAATTAAAAATTCATTATCAGGTCAAAATTTAAAACGCGAGAACGCGGAGAGCCCTTATTGTCCTCGTGAGGGTGGACATTATTTATAGAGGTCAATTTTTTTATTGGGATACCCTTAAATATGTCTAAGAACTATAAAAAAAATAATACTTACAAAATTTGGTTATGTTTGTTAAACTCTAAAACGTGCCGCAAGAAGTTTGAAAATCGCTTGTAAGGAGTAGTTTGATTATATTTATTACTGACATTAGGTCATTAAAATTATTAAAAATAGTACCTATTTTGATATTTATTAATTTATATAATATATACATTGTTATACATTGATGAAAAAATTGTATTCTTAAATAGCGCTTTGCTTCACAAAATCGTATAATCTACATGTTCGATGTAATTTCAACTTATAATAGCTTATATATATATATACAAATGCAGTGTAATAGTATATTTACAAATATTGGTAAAACAAGATAGTTATACGCGTTTTGGTGGCTTTATTATTATTAATGATAATTAAGAAAATTAAATATTAAAAACTAATTGTTTGTTACATTGTTAAATTTATCTTTTAGTAAACACCTACTTAATTGTAATAATATTAATAGTATTGTATTCCTAGTGATTATTCTTATTTTAAGTAAACTGTGTGTATCTAAACGAATAAAATATATTGGTATTTATAGAAACGATTGAGTACTAAGAAAAAAAGAAACGAAAGAAAAGAAAACCTATGGTTTTACAAAGATATTTATTTATTTATTATTATTTTTTCTTTTTCTTTGGACACCTTTTCTACCAGAGATCTTACTCCGATTTTTAAGAGTAGCAACTTTCCGAAAGGAAATTGGTGTAGGAATATACTTTGGGGAGGTCATTTTTTCGATTTTCTTAGGAGTTTCTTATCAAACTTGAAAAACCGAAAAAAAAACTGAGAAACAACGGGAGAATATAAGAAACGTAGGTATTAGTTTAAAATATTACAGACTTCTTTTTTCCTCTGAACAACTTTTCTACCATCAATTTTGCTCCAATTTACAATAGTAGCTCTTTTTTGGAAAGGAAATCTGACTAGAAAAGTCATTTTTAGATTTGCTCAAGAGTTTTCCCAGCAAATGTGAAAAACTAAGAAAAACATGGGTAAAACGGGAAAATTCGTACATAGAACAAATATTATTAAAGAAAATATATAATTCATATTTAATTATTTTATCATAAAGTATTACTATCAAATATGAACTCCGCCAGAATCGTTTTTTCGTTAACAATGATTTATCTTTGCTTCCAGGTATACAATTAATTACTTATATTGGCTGCACTCGACCCCATTATCGTAGGATGAATTTTTTTTTTTTAGACACATTTGGAAAGATAGACATATGTTAAGTTCCGTAATTTGTCAATCATATTTGTATGAAATATTGTATATTTGATTAAAAAAAAAAACTCCTGGGTAAATCAAAGAATAACTTCCCTAAAATATCACTCCAGTTAGATTTCCTTTCAGAAAAGTGCTATCATTTGAAACAGAGCGAAATTGCTAGTAGAATAGTTGTACACAAAAAAAAAGGCTATATTTTTTACTAATACTTACATTTCGTACATATTCTGTTTTTCCGACATTTTATCCTGGTTTTTCCCAGTTATTATGAAAACCGATTGAAAAATCACAAAAATGACTTCACTAAACCATGGAGATAAAACTTCCTTTCAGAAAATAAGCTAAACTTGATACATTGGAGCAAGATTTGTGGTAGAAAAGTTTGCACAACAAATTGAGGGGAATTTTGCGATTAAAATAGTCCGAGTAAGCGATGGCTTGGGTTTCTAAGTAGATCTAAAATGCCTTTGTTTTTTTCTTGTTTAGGTAAAAGGAAAAAAAAATGAAAACAATTTTTTTCGTCACAATGGTTTGAGAACTCGGAACCCCAAGGATGATACTAGGCATTAATAACCATTAGATCACGATAAATTTATCCAAGGAGAACAATATAGAGTTATTTAACATAACATATAATATCCGCATAATATCAGAACTTTAAAAAGCTATAATTTCGAAACTTAGTCAATCCGCTAAATTTTAACTTTACCATTCTTAAATTGACGATACACTTAGAAAAAAAGAAAAACTAAAAAATTAGATTTGTTTCACATAAATTTTTCGTCAAAATTTGATACAAAATTCCCTTATAAAAAAAAAAAAATTACATTAACCTCAATATTTTTTTTTTACCACAAAATCAGACTCTTAATGAACCTTCTGTTAAATTTTGAAACATTTCTGTACAAGTTTAAAAATTTTACCACACAGTACCTACTGAATAAATATTACATATAAAACTCTTAAAATTAAAATGGCTATTATCACCTCAAAAATGGCTTAAATTTTTTGAAAATGTTACCTCGTTTAGAAAAGGAAAATATAAATTTTTTGTTCATTTTCAAGTTTCTATAAATATTTTTAACTGAATTACAACAATTAACAAAATTAAAAAATAATAAAAACATTATTTTCGTAAATTCCCCGTTTTTTTTATGTTTTATCCTGGTTTTCCCAGATATTATGAAAACTGCTTGGAAAATCAAAATCGACTTCACAAAATTATCATCTGGATAACATCCCCTTTCAGAAATGATGCCGCGCGTATATACCTGAGTAAGATTTATGGTCGAATTTTTGTATACAGTATAAAAAAAGAAAAAAAGAAACATCTTAGTAATACCAATACATTCTTCGCTACACTCAGAATCTAAAATTATGTGTAGCTGCTATATTATAGTATTTATTTGTATTCGTTTTTAATTTTTTGTACTTTAATCATTATTATTATTATTATTATTGGAGTTCAAAAATTGCAAAATATATCTGAATTAATATTTTAAATAATGACAAGTTGACTCGTAAAACATTGACAGTTATCACATATTTTTTCAAATATGACGAAGACATAAAATAGATTAATGGTACTTTTATCGTCGATGTTTTATTCATAGTTAATACATTAAAAAATAAAGAATGAAAACTGATCATACTATGTTTATTTAATATTTATTATATTCATGATGAGTAGATTGTATTCATTATGTATTTTTTTAAATTTGTTGATTGAATTTACATAAAAAAAAAAAAAAAACAAATATACTAATTTAAACCCTCTAAGAAAATCTAAAATAATATCTTTAATATAGGTACTATATTAAATAAGAATCCAGTCTTTCAAAAAACATAAAATACAAAAGGGACTATTATTTTTCCTTAAATGATAGTATATAAAGGAATAATATGTTACAAGTGGTTGCTTGTTGATGTACTGAGAAAAATTCCTCTTCTCCCATAAAACACTGAAATGATATCATTGAAAGGGGGGGAAGTTATAATAAATATGACATAATATGGTTTGATATAAAGTGCGCTGTACAAAAATGTATACATTTTAGCTATTGAGTTAAATGCAATCGAACCTACTTTAAATTTCATTAAATATAATATAAGGTAAGTATACCGCAGACATGTTACATGATTTGTTGGTTTTTTGTGCGGTTCTCTACAACCTTTATACCAGCCATTTATTTTATATAAAACAATTTATTCCACATTACATTGAATTGAACTTTCATTTAATTTTGAAAATGTAATATTGGCAATATTATATTGCAAAATTTGTGTTTTATTTCGATTCGGTTTTATGCCTCACTAGCTGTATTACCCGTGTGCAGTTTATATGTCTGTGTCTGTGTATTGGTATAATGTTCGTATATATTATTTGGTTTGTACATTTATTAGTATAAAATATCCTGTATAAATAACGTTATTATTATTATTATTATTGAACGATACCCAGTTCAAAGTAATTTTGCACACAGTATTATGTAGTAAATTGAAATTTAATGATAAAGTATGACGTATTTGGTCGTGAATTTCGTTGTTATTGATATGATAAATAAAACAAAAATTATATTATCTGAGATAATTTGGCAACTGATGTATGTATAATGTAAAATACATTATAGTATTACGTCAATGATGTCGTTATTTATATGACTAATCCGGTAATACAACCGTTCAACGGGTTTTATTCTAAAATATCTATGAGCGAATACATTCTAGTTGATACCTAATCAACTAAAAACGTGGTTTTTTTCTAAAAACAATTATTAATTGCATGTGAATAATGTTAATTTTGAAGTCGGTCTTGGTATAGTTGATGTCAAGGTGTTTCATCAGTGTCAAATGTTTTATCGAGATGTCATTTGATACATCTGAATGAAACCAGCCGTTATTAAATTTGCTACACAATAAATTATTATAGTATATTACTTATAGCGGTTAATATTAAACTGACAATCTTTTACAAAATAAAATCGTAATGCTGGTCTACAATTTCATTTAGAATTTCACCGAAAAATCATCGTATACGACTGCAAGTATATATTATTATTATTATATTTTATGTAACACAGTTTTAAAGTTATAAAATAATACATAGTGGTTTCTCGACCTTTATATTATAGGTATAATTGTATTTTGTACATTTGATAAAAACGATAATCCATTGTTTTTTTTTTCGATTTTTGATCACGTATATGTTCCTTTTTGGATTCATATTATACACATAATATGTATTTATTAATTATACGTATTGATATTATACCTACTTTACCACGTGTCGAATACATAAATTAACAATATTGTCTTTTATTCACATGGTCAATAGTTATGTTTTAATATATAGGATCATATGGATTTAAATAATCAATGTATACAATTTATTGCTATCACGACCGCTAACTCGCAATTTCACTCGAAAAGTTGAAAATAAATATCATCAAGCTTTAGAAACAGGACCGGCGTGAGGGTAGGCGGTCGCTTAGGGCGCCATTCTCAGGGAGGGCGCTAAAATTGCTTATTAAAATTGTACACGTTTTGGTTAATAATATATTTTTTTTTGAAAACATAAAATACTTATAACTTAGTACTGAACCATTGATAATTATGACTATTTCGTTTAGACTATAGATTAAAATAATATAAGATTATTTTAAGCATAATATTTATTACGATTAGTGAATCGACGGTCACACACTTGACGTCCGTCGTATGGACGTGATTAGCGCTTATCGGACGTCGCAGTTTATTATCGACTCGGTCACGTGAACGCTGTTTTGACGTACGTTTATCGGAAAAATCGTGCATCAACTGCTGAGTTTTGTCGTTATACATACAAATTATAGTTTAAAATTAACAGAATTATAAAATGCACCAATTAATAATCGTTTAATATTTATGGAATGAATCCGCTATTTTCGATTCAAGCGTTTTTATTGTCGTAATACTCTTATAGCGGAGTATACAATAACCACAGTGGCCAAATCGTCCATCTTGCACCGTTTTCTTGAGACTAGTAGATGCGAAATTCTCAACTGACGTTTTACGTTCGTGTGACTAGGGTAGTTACGTCCGATGCAACATACGTTCCTTCAACACTCGTGCGACCCCTAAATATAAAAATTGCCGAATATTTGTTATTGGTTTATTCGGGATCGCGTCGCACAGTCGCGACTGCATCGCCATCAGTTTATTCTTGACAAGTGGTGTGCAGAGTTTCTCGAAATTAAAACTTATACAAATTAAAAACATACATGCGATCTACTATGGCTAATGAACGTCTCATTATCGATTTTATCTATAGAAAACGAAATAGCTGCAGAAATTGATTTTTCTACAGTTATAAAGATAGTTTTACCGAGGGGAAATCGAGAAAAGTGTTGATCGATAACAAATTTAAATAAATATTTTATTTATGTTATTATGTTGTTTTTACTATGTTCTATTGTACACTCCATCTTCAATTATTATTAAATTACAACCATTTTTACAATCCTTATTTTTATTATTAGTATAGGTATTTATGTGTCGAATTTCTAATACCTATTATATCATATTTCGTCACAATAATATGTTATTTTATTTTTTTTTTTTTTTGAAATTAGACGACAACAAATAATGTTCACGTTGAATATAGTATGACGCTACAAGGCGCCAGTTGACATTGTAGCCTGGGGCGTTATTTAACCTTGCACCGGCCCTGTAATAGAGATAGTAGTCCAGCGATATCGTGTGTCATCTTATTCTGATTGGTTACGTAATCTTGGTAACATTTAATAACCAATAACAAAATACGCGATAACTTTTGGAAATTTCCAAAATCGGGCTAATGATTCATCTTTTCTCTCGTTTGGGTTTACAATGGTCAATGGATTTTTCGGTTTATTCTCACGTTGTGCTGACTTCCCATTTTGCAGCGACATCCCATTTTGTCGACAATTAAACTGGTTTTATATTAGATAGTATTCAAAATCTCGGCGAATACGAGTCAGCACCTGCACGGAGGAAATTCGTATGTACTCGGGAGGCAATTCGTGTTCAAATAATTAACCTTTTTGACCTCAGGAGGCAAATAGTATGCGCCCCATAATCTTGCCACTTTATGAACGTTCCATTTTGCCAAAAAAAAAAAAATAAATCGATTACATTAATATTTTAGATTGGTATTATAATAGTAATGTTATGAAACATTTTTTTTCTTTATTTATTATACTACTGTAGATAGCTTAATATTTAAACCATTCATTATTTTTCTCGTAGATATACATTTATTTAATTTAATCAAAACTGTTCATCAAGCACAAACTTTAGAATTTAGGTAATAGGGAGTTTAGCAGTATTATAAACTTTTTTTAAAATATCTATAAATATTATTGGTACAATAAAATTATCATTATTAAAGTATTTCCAGCGGAAATTATACAGAATTTATATTGTTTTTGTTGCAAATAGTTTTCTCGTGATAATCGTATAATAATTCTTACTAATATACCGATAAAGTTTTATACATTTTTTTCAGGAATTTATATTTTATTTTTAGTATGAGCAATTCTAAAAAACTAGCGATACCCCTGCGAAAACGACAACGATGCGTTATAAAACGAGCTGTAGTGAAATAGGATCATGAGTGGGTGTAGATCACTCTAAGCAACTATGTTGCAGATAATTTAAAACAAAATAAAAGTTGTCGGCAAAATGGTAGTAGGAAAAATGGAATGTCGGCAAAATGCGAGTAGGCGTGACGTAGGGAGACACGGTTTTTCGGTATTATCGGCATAAGTTTAGTTGATAGTGTTGCTTTGTCAACAATATATGTGTTATATTATGATAAAATAATTACAACAATGTGCATTTCTATGACAACAATGATTGTTTAAAAAAGATTAAAATAATAATAAAAATAAACGGTTACCAATGATAACCTTATTTTTAATCTTTCAATCTTTTTTAATCAAAAAACCTGGTTTTTCTCATTATATTAATAAGAATTTCAAAAAATGACCTCTTTTAAGTATCACCCAGAGAACATTTTCTTACAGAAAAAATGCTATACTTAATAATAAGAGTAACCTTTCTGTTAGAAAAAATGTTCACATAAAATAAAAAAATTAACATCATTGTAAAACCAACAAATTCCCCGCCGCTCCGCTCAAAATCTAGAAAATGAAAACATTTTTATATTTTATTAATTTTATAATAATAATATTATCGTCACAGAATCTTTTGTGTGTATAACAGTATTTCGTCAGCATTGCGTTGTAACAAAACTGACCAAGTGCACTTGGACATAATTGAATGTTACTCTAAATGTGTGTAAGAACTCACTAAATTCATTGAGATTCACAGTTGACCTTGAACTACATTAGGTATGGCTGAGAGCTGCGCGCTCTCTGCCCTTTGTCTCGAAACGGTTGAGTTCATAAAAAAATGTTTAGAATAAAATTTGTCAAACATTTTATGTTTTACAATTTTTCTAATAGATGTTAACATCATTGGAGCTATAGAAACCGATTTTTGTGACCTTTGACCTTGAATAACTTACGAAGCAGACATAAGATTTTATGAGACTTTTGAGGTAACATTTAGAACGCCAAAATGAAGGTGTAAACAAGTTTCCAGCTTATTATCTTTCATTCCAAGGTGAAACTTCTAATAACTGGACTATAGGTACCGTTTTTTCATGGGCGAAATTAAACCACCAACTCTGTGATTATGAACTCATCAGAGACTCATAGGAGCTAATACAATAGTTAACTACACTTTGCATTTATAATTGTGTATATACAAATTTATCATATTATTTTTTCATACATTTTCATGCATTGTCTGTAGGAAACCTATATATTTACTTTTGCCCATTAATTATGAAATTCATGGATAAAATATTTAGTCGTTACTATGAAAAACGCGATTGAGTTTTTTGGGAGTGCTGATTTTAAACTTAGGAGGGGGCTAAAGTACCCCTAGTTGTGCTCATGCGTTTTTTATCACCAAACGACCTAACGAACGCATCCATTTTATTGGGCAATAATATTAACGATATTAACGTGAACGCATTCGCGTTTTCTTGACGCGAAAGTTCCAATATGTTTCGATGAATATTATTCGCAGTGGAAATCATGCCTTTCCCAACGTTAAATCGCTTATTTTTTTAGACATAGCCCGCCAGTCACTCTCTATGGTACAAAAATTCCGTCCACTTCAACAGTTAAGTATCTTGGCTTAACCCTTGACCGTAGGCTAACATGGACCCAACATACACGTGTTAAAAGACTCCAACTAAATCTCCGACTTCATATGCTTAAATCCTTACTATTCAATAACAAACACTCCAACCTTAATATAAAACTACTAATGTATAAATCCCTCATTAAACCCATTTGGACCTATGGTATCCAANAACATACACGTGTTAAAAGACTCCAACTAAATCTCCGACTTCGTATGCTTAAATCCATACTAGTCAATAACAAACACTCCAACCTTAATATAAAACTACTAATGTATAAATCCCTCATTAAACCCATTTGGACCTATGGTATCCAACTCTGGGGAAATGCAAAAAAATCTAATACAAATCGTATTCAGACTTTTCAAAATATAACACTAAGAAAATTAACAAACTCCCCTCTTTATGTTTCTAATCATACTCTCCACACTGACCTAAAAATTAAAACTATTAAAGAAGAAGCAACTATTTATTATAAAAGATTGCATAATAGGCTTGCAACTCATTCAAATCCTTTAGTTAAAACACTCTCATCAATTGTTATTCCGGGAAATTCTACTAGGCGATTAAAACGCAACTGGTGCAGAAATATGCTGACTTCATTGCATAATACTAAAAAAAAAAAAAAAAAAAAAAAAAAAAAAATGTAATNCCTAAAAATTAAAACTATTAAAGAAGAAGCAGCTATTTATTATAAAAGATTTCATAATAGGCTTGCAACTCATTCAAATCCTTTAGTTAAAACACTCTCATCAATTGTTATTTCGGGAAATCCTTCTAGGCGATTAAAACGCAACTGGTGCAGAGATATGCTGACTTAATTTCATAATATTAAATAAAAAAAAAAAAAAAAAAAAAAAAACCAATCAATAAATATAGATGTGTCTATGAGAAAGCTTAATTTATAAGTGTCATCACTGGGTGGCTGCTTTTATCAAGCTATTCATGTTTATTTTATTATATTTTAGCTGATACTCTTGTTGTACCAACGAGGTACAGACTGTGTATTTAATAATAAAGGAAAAAAAAAAAAAATCGCTTATTTTAAATATGTATTGTTTTCATTATTTTTTTTTCAAGATGATAAAATGGATCTGTTGTGGTAAATCGTCGTCGTCGTCACCGGATGAACAATATCCCAACGATAATATGAGTTGTGCGGTTACTGTAGACGATCTACGGATGGACCCCCTATCGCGGAAATGTAGCATGAGCAGTGGGAGCAGCGCCGAGAGTGTGTCGGACGAAGATCGCGACGTGGCCGCGGTGGCCGATGTCGTTGTCAACGATATGGCCGGAGGTGTCAGTGGCCACGACGACCTGCACCACGGTCGCGAGACAGCGCACCGGGCGCCCGACTCGGATATCCATACGGACGATTGTTCGTCGGACGAGAGCAACGGGCCGAGCTTTCCTGCCGGAGTCAAGAGAATGGATTCCGTTTACGACTTCTCGTTGGACGAATCGTACAATCTGCCGCCGTGCAACAGCAGCAACAATAACCTGTTCGGGCCCGACACCGATCTGACCAAAGTGGCGCGCAAGCAGTTGCGCATGATCAGGGAAGTGGATGGCGTGGCCGTGTGCTATCTGAACCACACGAACACGATCATTAGCAAAATACTCAGTTCCAAATACTTGAGGCGATGGGAGAACCACCAGATTCGCATAGAAGACGATTGCGTGACGTCCAACACGGTAAGTACCTATTTTTTTCTGCCATAATTGCGAAATGCGATTTGTAAAATCACCAATAATTGGCCAAAAAAAATTGAAAAAACGATAACAATGTCGATTTGCTCGTACAATAAGTATTCCATTTTTCGTGACGTTCTTTTTTTTTTTATATACGTAAAACCGTATACTTTATAGGTATACCAATTCAAAGTTGGCTAACCTGTTTTAACGATGAATTATATTTTCTAAAAACATCGATTGCTGTTTTATTTACGAAAAATATAAAAATGAGTGAGTTTACACTGAGTCATAAACTGGGCGAGATTATACACTGGCATTTTGATTACGACCGACTCACTCCGTGTGAACTCAACTTTAGTAGGTGTATGTTAATTTATTTTTGTAAGCCAACTAACTTATCTTGTTATGTTCAATTTAATCGGTGGGTTTGGTGTAAATAATACACATTAAGCCATTTCAAATTGTATTATACCTAGTTCACAGTTGTAGATATTTTTTTAATTCACCTATTCGTACAATCTTTTATTTTAACAACATTTCTTCGACCAGCCAGTAGTTTATCTTCACTAATACTATAGTAAAATCTATAGTCAATAATACTATAGTAATTAAGTATATCCACTCTGATTATTTCGTTTTACTTTTAATTATTACTACAATAAAATTATCATAGACACCTACTTGTATGAAAATAATTTCAAGTACCTAAAGTATTTCAATTTAAAGTAATACGATCTATAAAATAATATACATAGTTGTTATTACGATTATGACGTCTTGTTATAATCATTTTTTGTAATTGTATACGTAATTATTACTTATTACATTTTTAAGCTAAATACGAAAAATTACAACACTAGTTAGTAGTTTATTAATTTATTATTTTTCGTTGGTTTTTGAAAAGTGTGTCTTTTTTTACATCAGTGTGACATGTACAAATTGACAATGAATTTATTAAAAAAGAAAATCGCACAATTTAAAATTTATTTATAACGTTTTAATAGAAAACGAAAAGTTAAAATAATGTTTAAAAAACATTATGACGGTAAACCGAAAAAATAGAATAACGTTCTAATATACATTAACGTTAAACATTCAAATTGCATAACGTTTAAATACCCGAAAACTTGAAAAAAAAGATAATTTGATTATAAATTTAAGCCTTGATCATAACATTATTTCTTTAATTTCAATCCGGCTATTTGTAAAACGATGCTTTAAATTCAACTTTTTCAATTGTCAATTTGTTCTACGCGTTATGGTTTAGATCCTCAGAAAAGGTCATTTTTTTGAGTTTCCAAACGGTTTTCATAATAATTGGGAAAAACCGGAAAAAAACGTAGAAAAAACGTAGGAATAAACGGTCAAATATTTACGGCGTTACCGATTTCATTATTTTTAATTTTAGATTCTGATTGCTGAGAGTAGCGGAGAATGTATTGGTTTTACAAAGGTCTTTATTATTATTTTTTTTTTTCATGTGTACACTTTTTTTACCAGAAAGCTTACTCCAGTTTATACGATGTAGACTCTTTTCTGAAAGGAAATTTTCTAGAGGTGGTACTATAAGGAGGTCATTTTTCGATTTTTTCAGGAATTTTCTCATCAAATGGGAAAAACCCAAAAAAACTGAAGAAAAAACGGGAAAATGAACGAAATATACGTATTAGTATAAAATATTACTATATTTTTTTCCTGTGGACAACTTTTACCAGAAATTTAGCTCTGATTTACAATAATAGCACTTTTTCTGAAAGAAAATCTGACTGGAGAAGTACTTTATAGGAGTAATTTTTCGATTTTTCAAAGAGTTTTTCCAGCAAATGTGAAAAACATGGGAAAATCGGGAAAATCGGTACAGTTTTAAACAAAAATGTTTTAAAAAAATGTATAATACCTATTTAATTATTTTACCATAATATGACATAAATTTTATTGACAAAGCATCACTATCAACTGAACACCACTCAGAATCGTTTTTTCGTTAGCAATGGTGTATTGTTGCTTACAGATAGATATTAAATTCCCTACTTTATCCTACCTTCCAAATTCTTTTCTATAATAGTGACTGCACCCGTCTCCATTATCCTAAGACAGCTTTTTGTAACTGTTGTAATTTTAAATGTTTTCTACCAGAAATGATGTTCCAATAGACAAATGTCAAGAAACCTTTTTTTATTTAGATCTAGTAGCTCACGAAGAAAGTCGTATTTTGCTTATCTATGTATAAAATTAATAAATTCACCGCGTTACGATTTCATTATTTTTAATTTATACGGTTTACTTTTTTACCAGAAATATTGCTCCAATAGAAAAACAACTAGAATCTTTCATGTTGCGTTTTTAATGTAACTGGTGAATGATTGAGTCATTTTCTGATTTTCCATGTAGTTTTCTTAATAATTGAGTAAAATTGGAAAAAACAACATAGAAAGAACATCTGTTATCTGTTTATCTGTTGATAAATTTACAAAAAAAATTATTTCATGTTTTTTAATTTCGTTTTTTTTTTCAATTGAAAATATTTGTAAGCACTTAAAATATTGACAGAAAATCTATAATGGCCTTTTTTACATGTGATGTGGTAAAATTTCCGAATCATTTGAGCTTTTTATTTGGTACGTACTCTGTAGATAAAATGTTAGACTAAACTGTAATGCATGAAAATTCAACAGGAGTTTGATAAAGTCGTAATATGTGATAAAAAAAAAACTATCCATTTTAATGTAGTATTTGTTTTTAATAAGAATTTTAATATCAAATTTTAACGAAAATCGTAAATTTTACGGCCTTTCAAAACATGTATAACCGAACTTCGCTCCGAATCGTTTTTCGTTAGGATTCTTAACGAAGAATCAAGACATATTCAAGGACATCTATAACAACTACGCATCTTCATAATTTGGCATTGATATCAATTGAAAGGGAGTTCAGTTTGGAGTTATTGCGAGATTCTGCAAAAATTATTGACGAGTTTGCCAAAATGAAAAACAGAAGAATTAAATTTACTAAATAAATATTATAAAAAGTTATTTTATAAGAATACATTATAAAAATGACTACAAAGTAGTAAGTTCTACTTAAAAAATAAATTAAAGTTTTTCTTAAAAAAATTGTGTATCTTATACAAATTATTCTTATAATCGAGCCCGTCCCTAATTTTTACCCTGGACAAGCCCCCGGTTAGGAATGGTTTACCTTTGTTTGTGATCTTCGATATGAAAATACTGATAGTTAATAAGACGTATATAAGACGTAATAAGACGTAGTAAACATTTTCCCTTCTTCTAAAATTATATTATTATAGTCGATATCAAATAAATCTATAATGTTTTAGATACTGTTGTACACAATCTGTATCCGAGTGATGACGTCAATTCCGAGTCCCAAAATTTCCCAAGAAAAATAAACGATTACGTATACTTATAGTAGTTTTTAAAATATTAGATCATATTATGTAAATACTCAAAATATAAAACTACATAAGAAGTAACGCGTTTTACTGTTTTGTAAATTACAAACGAAAATAAATACCAGCCAATGTCAATACAGAGCGTATCCGAATTCGCTTTTACACACATTTTGTAACTGTAACATTTTCAATATAATACAGAGAGATAAGAATATATTATAGGTCCTATAATATATTATATTACAAAAATAGGTATTCGTTTTGACTAACTAACCCGTCTTCTAACCTGTCTAACGCACGAGTGATAATAATAATTAGAGCAGAGGACACGTACAAGTAGATCCAAAAAATCCATTAAATATGCAAGCATTTGTGTATTTAAAAACCTTAAAATATGCACTCAAAATAGGTTCTTAAAAGTAAAAATTGTTTTCTAGTGCTTTATTTTAGATATTATTTATTTAAAAACCATCTAAAATAAGAAAAACGATTAACTACCTAATTGAATTATATGCTTATAATGCTTATTGAATTATATGTTGTCTTGATGGAATTTTCACTTTTCGTTTGTATTGATTAAATTAAGTCGTTGATACATTACACTGATTAAATAATTATTAATTATATTTAATTTGACATTTCATTAATATTTTTAGTTTTGATAAATGTTACTTCTTAAGACATTTTCAAAACAAATTCGAAAAAACTCAAAAAAGAATTTTAAAAAATCTACAAATGTACCAATAAATAAAACGACCTTAATATTATACAACACGAAATTATAGATTTGGCTTTGTTATAAAATGGAATAAATTTTACGATTGCACAAAATAAATATACAAACGGTAAAAGTCCTCTGCCCTAATTATAATGCACCGGTCACCGACGATTATGGAATCTAGGAAAAAATGTCCACATTCAAAAACCTTGAAAAATGCATTCATATAATTTTAATTTTCAATAAGAAAACATTTTTATACCTATTAGAATATTTTTAAATTTGGGCAGTATTTTTCTCGTAATTTTTCTTCAAATAAATATATTTTGTTATGAGAACATTGATAGAATACCACGATTACAATAATTCGTTGATTCTAGTGTCAGTTCTATTTCTGTTTATTTATTATAACAGATATTTATGAGCCCGTTATAATATGATTTTATATTTTGGCCACCATAGAAAATCAACATGTCACAAAATCAAATTATAATACCTATAGGTATAGCTAGTAGAATTGAGTAATCAACTTATTATTATAATATATTATTAATTTACCAACATAATATATACATTATGAATGCATTATATATGAGTACGTATTAGGTTAATCTTGGAAAAATAAGTAGGTACCTACCTATTTAGATAATACGCATCTAACAGGTATTAAGTTTTCAGGTTCATTAAATCGAAACGTACACATACAAATGATACAAAATAAGTTTTTTTTTATAAATACTCGTGTATATATTTTTATATTTACTATGCGTATACGCGTCAAACTGATAACACGAATGAAACAATAAACTGCGTTTTAATATTTTTTATAGATAAGGTACTTTTCTACATATGTATTTTTATACATAATTTTAGTATAATAATATCCATAAACATACGATTGATAATTTCATTTGAATAAAAACAACTAACCGAATTATTATAACAATAATTGAACAATGCGAATAAATTACAGGAAACCGAACTTGATAGATACGATTTTTATAAAATAATTATTAGAAATAAGTTTGAGTAGATATGTTCTACGGATCAAACGATAAAAAATTGTTCATTATTGAATAGGTATTTATAATATACTGAGTTATTTTTTTATTATAAACCATAATTTTATTTCTGTTTTTTCTAATCATTATGAAATCGTTTAAGCTTTATTTTAAAACCATTTTAAATTTTTTACCTCTACTTTATGTACCTTAAATAAGTGCATACTTTTGATTTTCAAATAAGAACCACCCGCCCCCCCCCTTTTGAACACTGATTTGAATAGAGAATATTTTTCTAGAAATTTTTATATGCATAACACTAATATCAGATTTACCGTTTATGAGTTATAACTTAGAACAGTTTAAAGTTTAGACCAGAGGAGTAGAGAAGGGTCATATATAGGCAATTTATTACCCTTCCTTACGCCTCCCATTTAAAATTTAAACTATTATAACTCATGAACGGTAAATTTGATATTAGTGTTATGCACATCAAAATTTCTAAAATATTCTCTATTTAAATCTGTGTTAAAAAGAGGAGGGGTTCTTATTTGAAAATCAAAAGTATGCACTTATTTAAGTTATATAGAATATGGGTAAAAAATTTAAATGGTTTTAAAATAAAGCTTAAACAATTTAATAATAATAAGAAATTTCAAATTCACTTAAAATCCTTTGAGATAATTGCTGGTTTATAATAAAAATCACCCTGTAGATACTTACCGTACACACATCTCAATAAAAACTGTAGATATATAACATTAGTGGATATACAAAATAATAATTACATAATATTTTACCGGGCTTATACATAACCCATTTATAAGAAATGCACTGCACCCCCTAGAAATGTGGGAGAAGACGTATGATTTATGGTACGATGTCGTTTGGTAGTATCAAATGTATAATTTTTAATGCATCAGTAGTTACTTTTTAATATTTAATTCGTTATAGGATGACGATATATATTTATTATAATTAATATATCGATAATATTATTATTCTTTTTATCTTTGCTAACCGTACTAGTGGCCAACGTCGAATAAAATGTCTAGTAGTGTGCCCACCGGACGAAATTTAAGAACTCACAAATGAGCCCTTTATATACATATGATGTAAATCTGTGTACTACAATAATTTTTAACGAACATTTTCTATACTCTTACATTATAAAACGATGACCCCCATAAACGTGACCCTATGTCTTTTTTACTGGTTTGTCAGTGGCGGTGTTGGTGTTTAAAATACACAAGGGTGATCAGATTTAGACATTATGTCTGTACTCTCAACATCAATTGTGCCAACCCACTATAGATCTGGGTGTGTCTACAGAGTCATCTACTAATACCAATTACTAATCTAGTAATCTACTTTACGATATTGTTATTCAGTTCTATAAGAAAACAAAAGATAAATAATGTGTGTATTTAACTAATGTAAATAAATTGATACCATAGGCTACTAACTGCCTAAAAACGGATTAAACTTTTAATGAGGCTTAATGTATGTATCTACAATCTATTACTACTTTCTATGTCTTCAAACTGTCTGCACATATTTGACAATTTAAAAAAATGATTGGTTTTATACGGTATAATAATATTATATACCCGAGAATCATGATTTAATTTAAATAAACTTTGAGCTATTATAAACGATTTTAAAAATAATACATTTTTACAGAAAACCTGTTCAGAAGCAAATACTCAATCCCAGAGCTATACAATTCGATAGAAGTAGTTTGCACCGTTCCCACAACAACTTTCTTTTCGATTTATTCGATTGAATTTCTTTTGATGAACTATCTACAATGTCCTTGTTAATTGCACTTTCCGTGTAAGTGTAATCCACAGTTATGAGATCAGCGTCCGGAGGCTGAGGATAATAGCAATGGCACGTTGCAGACCGAATGATAGCTGTCGTCGACGGATTGACGTTGTGTAGTTCTTTATTACATGTAGTGTGGATTTCCACTGTCGTCCATATTCTGACGTTTGAGAAATTACAGGAATTCATTTGGGGATGGAAAAAATTTCTGTTCCTTTGAATTTTCGGAAACGACGATTTTACGGTTGTATTATGGCCAAATGCAGTACGTGGAGTACCACCGCGAATGAGCTTCGTATTCGTTGAATTCGTGTTAATACGAATAATATATGTAATGATTATTTATGATGTTATGTATCGTTAATAATATATAATATGTAGTTGCGATATCGACTAATAAAAAAATTAGATTATTATGTTTCGCAGTTGTTGCCTTGTAACAAGGTATACACGCAACGTATCGTATTAACACGATAAATTGTGTAAAGAAAAATCCAAACCAGATTGACGCAAAACCTTCTTTTTCTTTTAAAGAAAATGTTTATAACGATTAGACAACGAACATAATTTAAAATAAAGCATACCATTTCGAACGTCCGGAATATAGTTGAGCTGGTACCTCTAATAACATACCGGTATCACTGCGGTTAATTTATTTTCGGTCGTTTACTATAACGACCGTCAGTAACTCAAGTCGACTTAGTGTGAACGCAGCTTAAGATAAGCTCACACATGTTATTACATACATACGTATTCTGTGTATTGCCCAGTAAAATCAATCCCCAAAATCAATTGAAATCAAGCTGAATGTGTTTGATTGAACTAAGTACAATTATTTAAGTTTTTGAAGAAAACAATCGATTTTTTTTTTAAATCTATTTACACAAACTTGATAACGATGTAATATATTCTTTTATTATTTGTGTTGCAGTTAACCGGATTTTTAAGTAAACCTATTGGATACGAAGCAATAGAAAGTATATATGCAATACCACGGTGGGACTCAAATTTTAGATACTTTTTTCGTATAGTTGTCAGCATTGGTTCTTATTTGATACAGGTGATTTATACTCGATTTTCTTTAAACTTTTATAAAATATTATTTGAACTATACTAACACTAGTTAATATAAAACCAGATGGTGCATTCTGGAGTGACCTGGAATTGTAAACAAATTGAAAACTACCTCTCATTAATGTGGCCACGGATAGAAAAAAAAAATATTTTTCTCTTCAACGATATTTTCATTGAATATCATTTTGACTATCGCAAACATACGAGCCCGCAAAATGTGGACTTGTTTTAATGGTTAGATGTAATTTTTAAGGGGAAACCTTAGCAGATGTGTTTTAAAAAATACGCTGAATAGAGTAAACCAGTGTGAAAATATGACAAACTGGTTTACTTTTCTTTAACTGGCGTAAAACTTTAATTGTTATTGACTCAATTTATCCCCACCACAATACCTGATATTTCCCCATATTCAATTTGTAAATTTCTTATCATATTTTAAGAAAAAGAAAATTACGATTTTAGGTATAGTATTAGGTATTGTGAACTGTGTGCACAGTTAGTTTTATCTTGTAAAGTAGCCACACTGATTTGAAGTAGTATTCGGTTTGTACCTGAACATTTTAGAGGGTTGCAGGGTAGTTAGAAAAATGGTAAGGAGCACAGTAATTTTGTTAAATATTGTCCTGCAAACTTGGAGAAAAATAAAAACTATAATATGGTAGGTATTTTAATTTTTAATAACTTGTTATACTATGTTGTTATACAATATGTTGATGTGACGGTGCCTTAATGAATAATATTTTTAATTGTTATAACTAATAAATATCTTAAATAATATTTTGTATAATATGGTTATTATGTATGTATATTTTGATTTTAACGTATATGTAAGATGTAAAAATGAATAACAAAGATAAAAATATCGCATCCTTGAAAGAATAATGACCGTCGGAAATTAATGTTTAAGACCTAGGTAGATCACCAACAGGTTAAAATGTTATATTCTCTTTATGTGGTAATTATTAATTAGTAATAGTTTATTTTCAATAGAATATTTATTTACCATCCACAAATCACTATAAGTTATTTATTTTTTTAATATTGGTGTCACTCTATACTTAGTTAAAAAATAATTTCTTATTATTACTACGGTACTTAACTTCGATTTTGGAGTAATATTCTGTTCGACTCCGAAGGCGTAATTGAAAACCCGGAGTGCATCATTTGGTTTTATATTATAATATGTGATAGGTACTATTAATATCACTCACACATGAGACGTTAATTTGCATAACTAATACGCCGTACATTTTTGATTTTTTCTACAGACTACCAATCAGTATTTAAGAGATCAATTGATGTATTCAATCTTATGGAAGGTTTGTTTTAAATCGTATTTTATTTGGATAAATTTCATTAATGATGTATACTTTTACAGAAAAATGTTTATGAAACTCAAACAATCTTAAAAAATCAATCCGATCCAGATAATATGCTAAACGAATTACAGGTACCCGAAGAATAGTAATTAATTACATTTTTGTTAATTTTTTCTAACTTCGAGTGTTAAAAATAATTTAAATTTTGAACAGAGAATAGTTGAATTTGCTAAAAACATACCGTTGGTCGATGATGAAATATTTCATATGCCCACTTTCATTGCGAGTACATTAATGGCAAGAGTATGTTTCAAATGTTGTACTTTAAAATATATATGTATATAAAATATACATATTTCTTTTACAATTTTACAACTAATATTGTGAAATATTTCAAAATACAGGATCAGAAAAAGTATTGTAAACAGTCGTGGGAAAAAGCACTAATCGGCACGTTAAGTCCGTTGATCGAAGACTGTCCTACGTCCGCCGAAATGTGTTCGTTTTTATCGCATCATTGCAAAGACCAAAGTAGTCTACCTATCTTTAAAGATACCCTACTTCACACTATATCGAGAATACTAAAACATAATTTTGTAAGTAAAAATAATAGTATTTTTTTTTTCTATGTAAAAGTAACGTACGTTACAACTAAGTCTGTTTATAAAATGTGTAGGACCAGGCAACATTACTAACAGCTCGTACACTGGTACAGGATTATATCAAGGCGCTTTATATTCAGGACCATAGTGGTGAATCAATTAGATTTTTTTTATCAAAGTAATACAATTCGATGATTTTTTTAATTTGTTAATATATTATAATCAATATATTGCATTTTTGCCATATTCTTAATCAAAATAACACTATGTTTAGAGTCCACAGTAAAAGCGCCGTTTGTCCGCACAACAAGGTACTGCCGAATACGGTTTCCATCTGTATTACCGCTATATACTCCGCGGTAGAAGAGTTGCCGGTTAATAGTTCGGAAGCCGAATTCGAATACTATTACATTAACCACTTGAGATGCTACATTGTTGTTTTTCAAAACATGTAAATTAATAATACATTGATCGTTATTCTTTAATCTCTAAAACCACCATCCACCTATTGAAAACAAAAGTAATATTAATATTAAAAATTATAACTATTATTATTGTCAAATAGATCAGAATACAGCGATTGGCTGTACGGACTTGCTCAACTGTTGCGTCCGTTACCGTTTCCAAGATCGCTTCTTACTCGTTCAATTTTTATGAAGTATGTATTTTTTTTATTTATTTATATTATATACGTATTACACTATTACTCATTATACTGTATAATGATACATTCGATTAAATATTGAACTTTTATACCTACGAGAAAAATATCTATATGGATATAAACATATTATGACGAGCCACGACACATTCATATAAACTCCTTGTGTTGTGGACATTTGGTAATTCCACTATATAAATAACATGGTAAGAGAAAAGTTGTCCTACGCAAAACAGTTTTTACAATCGAATTACGGGTGTTGCAACATCTTAACATATTCTTAATAATATATTCTTCTTATTCTTCTTCTTTTTTGATATCGGCTAATAGTTCAGACCATACCACTTGTCGCTATCAAGAGTTGTTTAAATTAAATATAAACTTTAGTGGTCCCTTGGCAAAGATTTTAATTAAATAGAAGGGCACAAATAGTTCAATTAATAATAATGCAGGTAATTTCGTAACTCATAAATTTAAATAAATAAATACAAATTAAGAGTAAAATAAAAAATCAATTACCTATATCACATTGGTATGTCCGAACAATAACAATAATAATTGGTGTTAACACCGTTAAATACATAATTTTATATTGCCATCAATTTCTATCCTTTGATATTTCCTTTTATTGAATGCTTGGCTCCATTAGCTTTGCATATTTTTTTAAGACAATTAACTAACAGTATTCCTCAGTGTTTTTTTATCATCGTACAATATTTCCCAAGGTGTGTCCATTCTCCATTATATAATCTCCTTTACTATATCTGGCCGCTGAAAGAAGTTTTTAAAACTGTTGATATGTTATTTCCTCCATATCGATTGTGATAATAATTAATATACTTATTAAAATAGTGTATAATGTAGTATGTTCTAAACTCTTTTATATATAATCAATTTGCACTATTAGTGAACAACACATTTCAAATATGACATTTTTGTAAAGAAAATTCCAAAAGAGTTTGACAACCATTTTGATTCTGACATCATAATGGTTAATCGACAACCGCTTGATTTCTATTGTATGATCACTATTTATTGTTTCGTATTATCATATAGAATGGCAACCACGCGGCTTATGAGAATTCGAATTTACGCTACTTCAACACTAATAATTATCTATTGTTATTTTATTATATTTACCAGGGACATGTCTTCTGTGATATTAAAAATAGGACTGCACGAAAATTGTGAAATCCATAAACAGGTGTTAGCTCTTCGCGAGACAAAAGAGGGTTGGTTTGATACGTGTTCACCAATACAAGCTATGTTCTCCGACCGTTCACATATTTGGACTCAATTGGTAAAATATCTTCTTGTATATATTGTCGTTTACTATTACTAAATTTATTATGAATCACAATATATTAAGATTAACTCTGTCTTATCAATATTTAAAAATATCTTAAAAACAAAACATATTCTAAAATATGAAGTTTTAAAAAGAAATTAACAAACAAATACAATGTAGTTTTTTTCTATTTTTGAATAATTTATAACTAAATTTAGGTAGGTAGGTATATTTAATTATGATTCATAGTTGACAACACACTACATAAAATAGTTATGATAGTAAAATAATAAATATACATACAATATATTACATATTATTCTTAATTATACGAGTATTACAAATATTAGGTGTCCTACAGTGTTTTATCCTAATGTTAATAACTATTAATATTCATTTTTTTTTTCAATCCGGTTTTGTGCGAGGGGGGGCCCATAATTAGAGAAATATTAAATTTGTATTTCTATCCCTTCACCAACTGAAAAAAATACATTTTTATTTTTCAACTTTTTAAAATGTTCAAAATAGCCATTTTATAAAATATATTATTTTGGAAATTTCAATGTAACATACATTCATATTCGATTAATGGTTTCTTAGTTATAGTGGCTTAAATGTACAGAAAATGGTTGCGAAAACAATTAATATTTAATAGAAGATAAGGAATTACCATATTGACTGTGATTTCTTATCGCGTAACGTGTTATTCTGTTGAAAATTAATTGGTTTTAGGTCAATTTTCTAGAAATTAAATCGGCTATTACTAAGAAACAATTGTTTGAATATGAATGTAAGTTACATTTAAATTTTAAGAATAATATATTTTACAAAATGGCCATTTTGAAAATACCAATTGAAGTGATAAAATGCATTTTCTTTTTCAATAACTCAGGGATGAAAATAAAAATTTAATTTTTCTCTACACATGTGTTCCCCTCACACAAAACACGAATGAAAAAAAATAAAATGAATATTGACAGAATTATTAGCATAAGGATAACACTGTATAACACCCTATATATGACCGATCATTTAATGTACAAATAAAAATAAATAATCACATTACATTAATTATATTTGCTAAATCTTTATGTATTGTGACTATATTTAAACAATTATACACTTCTTAAGCAATAGACGGTCAGTTCAGTCACATAATTTGTATTATTGTTATTACGTTAACTAACGTAAATACCTATACTATGCTTACTATCTATAAATGGGCTATAATAATAATAATAAAATAACATTTTATTATGCAATTTAGCTTAAAACGTTAATGGCTTGCGAGCGTTGCAAAAAAAAAAAACTATTGAATCACTTGAAAGCCAAGCATTTGGGCACATGCGTTTCTGAAGCGTTAAAAAATAATAGGATTGTAATGGACGTTTTGTGCTTAATGCTCGAGTGGATGGTCGTCGATGACTTGCATCAAAGAAGTCAGATTGTCGACACACTCAATTCCAACGAACTGGGTAAAAAAGTCTACGATGATTTTATGTCGCGGCAAAATCAACTAATCGAATTGGTAATATTATGTTATTGATTATATACTATTTAATGAATTTATATTAAATTCTGTTAATTTATTGAAAAACAACCAGCTGCATGTTGAATTTTGACTAACTATGGTACCATGATTTGTATACATTAATTGTTCCACTAATTTTATATGCATACATCTACCAAAATCCGTACCGTGTATACGTATATAAGTAAAATATAATGACGTAAAATGTCCTTTTTCTTTAAATTCTTCATTTATACTATTTTGATAATTCTCCCTACAGTGGGTTTTTTCATTATTTTACACTATTAAAAATGTCCATTTGCCTTGCCTTGCCCATTCATCTTAATTCAGATTGAGCGGTGGCCTCTCAAAACCATTGTCACTGACAATTACACACTTTACAATGGTTCATTGGCGAACCTAAAATTGTACATACACGGTGATCTATAGTGTTATCCTTATACAGTGGTCGCCGCTTATAGAGATCACATTTGTCCGAGAATATTTTTGATCACTATAACTGGAATTCGCTATAAGCGGCGACTCGAAAAGCAGGTAAAAAATTTCGGAAAATAAATAATTTTACATATATACATACGTTTTATAGGTTCTTTCAAAAAAGTAGGTGATGTTCGACTGTTCTTTTTATATAGATTTATTGGGGCCCCAAAATCTCACTTTGCCAACTGACCCACAAGTTGCACCACTGGTTTGAATTGCATCAGTCATAAAATTTGTTTGTCAGTCTGTCAGTCATTATTAGTCACATATATGTATATGGTCAATCTTGAACGACAATAAACGTAATTGACAGTCAAGACTGACAGTATATGGGGAGCTTTATAGGTGGGTTACACTTACATTAGATTGGATTAGGTTCGTAAATTAATAATCGTCAGGTTTTTCTTCCTCATGTGTATTATTATATAATTTCTATTTCTGATATGATTATTTAAATATAACCGAAAATCTGAATGCAATAAACGGCGAAGATGCACTGATAACTACTGTTTGTTCCGTTCCTAGCATTTCCGATCACTTTAAGCGGATGATTCTTATAAACAGTGAACACTTTAAACGGCGACCACTGTACTTGCAATTCTGTCAATATTAATTTTTTTTTAATTTTTTCGGATTTTGATGAGGAGTATAAATTCAGAGACAAATTCAATTTTTATTTCCATCCTTATTGAAAAAAAATAACTTTATTTTATTACTTTTTAACATTTTAAAAATGGACATTTTGTAAAACAAATAATTCTAAATTTTAATATATCATACTTTCATATCCGATCAAAAGTTGCTTAGTACATAATAACCATTTTAATTTCTAAAAAATTGATGAAAAAATAATTATTCTCAACAGAATAACACGTTACGCGGTAATGAATCACAATTAGCACGATAATTCCAAATTTTTAATTGAATATTAATTGTTTTCACGCTTGTTTTCTATACTTTAAAGTTATTATAACTAAGAAAGTATTAATCGAATGTCAATATACGATACATTAAAATGTATAGAATAATGTATTTTACAAAATTATTATTTTGAACATTTTGAAGAGTAGAAAAATAAAGTTATTCTTTTCAGTGATTAAGAGATGAAAATTTAATTTTTCTTTGCATGGGTACCTTTCCTTCTTGCACAAAACCTGGTTAAATGTTTTTTTTTTCATTTGTGTATTTACGTAATTTTTTCTGTAACTAATTATATATATAATATAATATATTGAATTTTAATTTTCAATAAAACCACACAAAATATTATTTAATTAAGGGTTTTCTGAGACAAAAAAAAAACTCACTAGTAAAACTAATTCTTATCAAATTAATAATAATTATATCAATATATTTTATTTTTTTTTTATTTCATAATAATATATCATCAGCAACGCAAAGGTGGCCCGCAGGAATTATCATTGCCACCTCGAGGTACGGATTTGGACTTGGATTCAATGTTCGATTGTGGTCCACTTGGTAATTTAGAATCAGTCGACTTGGCCTTTACTAACGTAACAGATACTTGTGCCAATACTTTAATAAAGTTACCATCTTTAAAAGTGCTCAATTTGTGGGGTACTCAGGTAAGTTGATATTAAACGTTTCAGGAAAAACCAAAACTAAAAATAAATTGTAATTAACTAGTTATTTATTTTAGTTTGGTGACTCTGGATTATTAATCATATCGGATCATCTGACTAACTTACAAGTTCTGAATTTGTGCGAGACTAAAGTTACCGATAGAGGAATTTTATCACTCATAAGTAAAATATTGTGTTTTTTTTCTTGACTGTTTATTTATAAAATTAATTTTAGGTCTTATCAATTTGAAAAAACTCAATTTGAATAGTACTAAAGCAACAGTTCGATCTGTGGATGTACTGAAAAAAAAATTACCAGGTCTACATGAAGTGGATGTACGATACTCCTTTGCCTGGTAAAGGCATATTTTTCGTTATATTATAATGCGTTATAATATGTTCAACATATTAAAATGTTTATTTTAATGGTTCTCATTATTATCATTACTTTTTTTTTTGACAATCTGCCAGGATAATACACATTTATCTAAATATATTCGTTTTACACGTAACTATAAAATAATAATAACAATAATGATTCAATAATATTGTACCAACTGTTTACTCTTCGAGTATAAAAAGACTGTAAACCTAATGCGTATTATTATTATTAAATAGGTTTTATTTATATTTATAATACATGAATTTTGAATAAGTAAAATATTTAAGGTTTTTATAGAATAATCAAATTATTAATTTAACATTATTTTGTTAATAATAAGTATAAAATAATGCTTTAAGAGAGGACAACCGGACGCTCTATAAATAAAATGTGAAAATTAATTAATGTTAAATAATTTTCTGTGTATAGTATTATAATATACCTAGTGTCTTTTTTTTCATTAAAATGCTAATTTATAGCGTATAAGTATAACTTGTTTCCAATTTTACTTATAGAAACGCTCAAACTTTCAATTTTGGTAAGATTTTACTCTATATATTCTTTCATAATATAGGCGAATATGTTATATTTGTTTAAAATTTTTTTTATCAAACTTTTTTATCATTAAATATTATTCGTATAAAAATGTCAAATTGTGTAATAACGAATTTCAATGAACAAATCACTTTCACGGCGGATTGTTTGTATTTTTGTTTTGTTTTATTTTTTAATTTACATACCATATAATTTATAATAATATTATAATACATTAATGTACGAAAACTATTACTTTATGTATGTAAAAAAAAAAAAAAATAAACAAAAAACAAAAAATAACCGTGAAATCTCTACAAAAGGGTATGTATTGTGAGGGTAAAGATAAACATCAGGTAAAAGCCTAATACCTGCGTCATAAAATGTAATAAAGTAAAATAAATTATAATTTATTACAGTAATAAACATTACCTTTTATTGTTACTATTATATTATTATTTATTACTATTGTATTTACTATTCCTATTATTTATTTATTATTATTATTATTATTATTATTGAGGCTATATTAAAGCATAAACTGTTTTAAATAATTATAAACTATTATAGAACACTACACTTAGATACATTATGTCGAAAAAATCATTTTAATAAAACAATGTAAGATTTAAGATAAATTTTTAAGTGCTAATTAATTAGTACATATCGCTGTGTTTTTGTCTTCTAGAATAGTAGAATGTATTATTCTTTTTTTTTTTCATCATCCACGGCATATAGAATATAAGTAGAATAGAATTATTAAAAACATTAATAATAATAATAATACAAGTATGTAACTGACACGAATAAATAAAAACTTCTTTCAGATATGAAATCATTTTGTTCGTTTTATTACTATGTTCAATTTAAACAAATTAAATTTTTGTTCCCGGTACAAATCATGAAATGATAGTTTCAAATATAATGATACGCAGTGTCTCAACTACAGATCGAGGGGCCTGTATACGGTGTTTAATTATATTAGGCCACTTTCAAGATTCATTTTCGTATAAAAGTTTTGGACTATTTAGGTTTTTAAATACATTTTACTTCTGTTTGTGTATTAGAAACATTTTTATAAATCTCAATGTGTTAATGCTGACTAATTTATTTTTCTAACAACTCATTGCTCTTGGTATTATTTTATTCAATGTCTGTGGGTATCTTAATATGTGTAGGTATACATAATATGTAGGCGTTCGCACTGAGGTTCAAGTGCACTATACGTTCTGCATACCTGGATAAACGGCACACCATCAGTCATATATGAAATGAAATCTAAATGAGCGACTGTAAAATTTAATTTCTCCCTGTCTTATTATCCTGTATAGAAAAGTAGAGAAGACATCCACAAACTGAATCTTTAATAAATTAAGGTATATGCACTGACCAGTATTATGTGGCCATTACATTTCTATTTAACGTTACGTTACCAAATTACCTCGTTCTCTAGTTCTTTAATATTCACGGCACGCCACAGAGCCATTGTTTTTAATTTTTGAAAACTATGTTTTCTATCAGAAATATTGCTCCAATAAAAAAACAACAAATAATTTTAATATTGCTTTTTTAATCTAGTTGGTGATTAAGAAAATCGTTTCATTTATATCTTTAAGCAACGATAAACCATTAATTGACAAGAGACGATTCCGAGCGCAGTTCGGTAATGTATAATTTGAAGTGCCGTAATTTTTTTTTTGATTTTCGTTTAAATTACCACGTCTAGGTAAGTCCAATATAAGAACTTTTACCAAGTTTCAAGTATCTACGTGAATTTATAGCCAAATTAAAGCAAACAAATTCCCACAATTTAAAATAAAGTCAACAAGAAAGGTGTCTTGTGATTGTTTGATTAAATCATTTTTTCTAGTAGAAAATGTCGTTCGTATTTTTATAAAATAAAAGAATCGTGAAATTATACGTTTTCCTACATTTTTCGTAAAAATGACTTCTTCAAAGTACCATCTAGACAACTTGAACTCTCAGAAAAATTGCTACACGTAAAAATCGGAGCAAGTTTATTAACAGTCCACAGACTAGAAGTAAAAAACAAAATAAACATCATGTTAAAACCAATAGCTCCTTCACTACGCTCGGAATCTAAAAAAAAAAATAGCAAATTTTAAAAAATACAAAAATATAAAAGTGAAATTTATTTAAGATTCTGATCAAAATTAGGAATGTATTGGTTTTATAATGATTTTTTTATATATAACTATTGTTTACAAAAATTTTACCAAAAATCTTACTCCGATTTCAAGCACTTGAATTATAACACTTTTTCTGAAAGAAAATTTTCTTGAGACGGTACTTAAGGAGGTCATTTTTTGATTTTTTAAGTAGTTTTTAAAATAATTGGAAAAAAGTAGGAAAAATTTACAAAAATAAATGTTTTATTATTTTAAATTTTTTATTTTCTTATAATTCAGTTAAATATATTTATAGCGACTTGAAAGTTCTTTATGATATTAACTAATGTAAAAGAAAATCCATGTCATTTAAAGGAAGAATTCACTTTCAATGATTCGAATGGTATAAATAATCATAAATAATATAAAACAAGATTATATTTTGGATAAATAAAATTATGATAAAAATAGTGTTCTGAAAAGGTAGTAAGCGAATAAAGTACCTTAAATTTAGGGCTCTAATGTAACTGCATTTCCTGCATTCCTCTATTTACGCCACTGGCTAACACAATTAAGGAGGTAAGTACATAATATGAATAATAATATAGGAAACGTCGTCCGCATTAGGCTAATTTTAATTTTTTTTAACAATTAATAGAACTTGCGATAAATCTCGCATACAATTGTAAAGCATCATTAGCATTATAAACAATTCTGGATATAGTACTACTGCAATAAAAAGCAAGTGGGCAACCAATCTAAAATATTATTTCATTTACTTTCACTTGTAGATGGATATTATATATATAAATATACTGTTAGTATACTCGTAGAAGTAATTATAATGATGATTATACACAGAATAAGTATTATCATCATTCTCGTCGTATCTTTACCGAAACAACAAAATAGTATTTTCTATATTAATTATTATAATGTATAAATGATAATTCTTATTCTGTTTTTTTTTTTTTTTTTTTAATTTGTGTAATTGTGAGATATTTTATTAAAAATAAAAGCATTTTGTTTGTTTATATTGAGCAAAAAATGTATTTTAATTTAATACTTGTAGCGTTTTTTTTTTTAATTAGTGAAATATTAAATTCAACACGTAGAAAATTTAATGGTTGTTTAAAATTTGCATTAGTATTAATTTTTTTATTATTTTTAAAGACACTACTAGTCTTAACTCTTAAGAATTTTAGGTCTTAAATTTATTGTTAAAACTTGCTATTCATTTTTATCTTATTTATGCTTTTCATATAGAGTGAATCATAAATTATAATATTCGATAAATATTACAAATTTGTTAACTTTTGTAGTTCATAATATTATTCCATATTTGTATTTTATGATTATAATTTATAATATTATTATATTGTATTATAATATTATTTATTAACTATAATACTACACCCGCATTTTTCATGTTTCTGTATAATGCGCAACTTTACGTCAAATTAACGTGAATTGCTGTGTTTAGGCTGAAATCCGGATTCAAACGCAAATAATGAAATTTAAGAAGAATATTTTACCGTGAACAGTACGTGAAGTACGTGACAATATTTCTAAAATAATGCAGCTGTTAAGCAAATCTAACATGGCTGTAACTTTTTTGTTTGGCAATATTTTAGAAAAACATATGTAGTAATCTTAAAAATATTAACCTCTTTAATTTATTATATTATTTAAGTTTAAATTTCAATTTCAACTTAAACGTCACGTCGTAATTCTTAGGAGCTTTCTGTACAATCGATGAAACTCGGAACAGACACAACACTAACGATCAATCTTTGTTTGGTTTCGAAATTCAAAAGTGTAGGTTTCAGCGAATAAATATTAAAGAACACAAAAAAACGACTTAATGTTTTGAAATTCTACATTTAAAAAATGCTAATATAAGTATTCAATGAAAATTGCAGGTCTCTACGACTGTTTTTCACTGAATCAGAACGAATAAACGAAAACAATGTTTTCTATATATATCTAATTATATTAATCAGCTCCATGTATAATCTGTACTTTTTGATTATAATTTTACACATTTTATTTTAAAAATAAAATAGCATATTTTACGTAACAACAATATCATTTTATACCTCATCAAACCTACCTATGTATTTTTGATAAATTGTGTTTTTTATTTACATCGTGTACATTTACGTGCAAGTAAAATCACGAGCAAGTTCATTAATATAGAAATAACCGAAATGTAGCCAAGACTAAATAGCCATTAAAACATTAATCTTAACTGAGTACAGTTATTTCTGATATTTCGATTGTCGGAAAATTCTTTAGGTCATACCATTATTTTGTCCGGTATAACCGTAGTTGCTTCACCGAAAGCCAGTTTATAGTCGTATTCCATGTGACAATACCAACAATTGGTAAGTAACAAATATCGGAGAGTACAAGTTTGGTAAAAATATTTTGTTTTGTATTTTCTTATATCACTTTAAATATTTTATAATGTAACTATTAAATCTATGGATTAAAGAGATAGTATTTTTAATTTTGAATAATTTATTATAAAACATAAGAAAAACGGAAAAAGTTTAAGAAAATACCGGTTTCATTATTATTACTTTCGTCATTATAAATCATTGAAAATAATTCTAAAACTGAAATTCCCTTTAAAGTTATTTTAACTTTTAGAAAAAGTTTTACATTTTGACGATTTATGAACATTTTTAAACACACTTGACAAATACATTTTTAGGTGTTTATTGGTTTTACGTTAATAAAATTGTTTTGGCTGATCAGAAATGTTTGAAAATTGAATATGACATCCATTATAAGTTGTACTTTGTGGTCCAAAAATAAGTTATGTGTTATGAAGTGTTACTTTTTAAATTCTTCAAGCATTTACTCTGAAAATATTAAGACTAAATAACTGGTTATAAATTAAAATAGCGGGAAGATCGAAAACACTGTTTTTGAGAGGATGAAGACTAATCCACAAAGGTGGTTTCAAGACTTAAAGCGTGTTCATCAGTAAGGCATGGACTAACCGTGTACTAAAATGCAGCTTTCGAGAAGTTAGTTCATACAATTTTCGTAATTTTCCTAGACTATACAGTAGTTATTTATTGAAAAAAATAGATATATCAAAATTCTTTTTGGGATCTATACGCTAGTAATATTTTTGCAGTGAAGCTCGGTGTACTAAGCATTAGCGGTGTAATAAAAGGTATATTACCGTATATACCCGGTGTCGTTCACCCTGCTTTTTCTTTTACGTTCCTGCATATACACATGAATACTTCAATAACGGTGGTTAGATAGGGTAAAAAAGGATATAAGAACAGTAGTTGTGTCAGTTAAACTCCTTAGACGGGTAGTCCTTAGATAGATGAGAAAGTTTAATAGAATCTGTTAAAAATCTTAAAGGCTTATCGAACGAAAAATAAAAAAAATGTTACACATAGATCGAATTATTTATTATAAATTAGAAATATTTCTTCAGTCATCATATCACATATATAACCTACAAAAAATTATAATACAAATTCATCATAGTGATATAGCGTATTTATCAATTTGACACACATATTTTAAACAACCCAATCAAAATCCCAAGTATAATAATAAAGTAGGTACAATAAGTTACCTAATTTCGGACCATTAGAATAACGATTAACATTGGATTTTTCTTGTATCTTTATATTTGTAGATGGCTGTCAACGATATTTGTATGTAACAATACATATAAAACATACATTATATTTATTATTGTTGTTAAGAAATATGTTCAGAATCTAAAAAAAGTATCTATTTATAAAATGACATCTTAAAATATGTATCGCCAAAACGTATAAATAACGGAAATCAATTTAAATATATTTTAAAAAAATGTACATATTTTAATAGTATAAAGATATTATGTATATGTATTGACGTATACAGTCACGTGATTGTAATTGTTATTCGAAATTATAATAAACTTTATTTTAATTCGTTGGTTAGTTTGCTTAGTAATTTATAAATTGTAATAATTTCTGACGATCGTGACCTATTTCAAACAACATATTATGTTTAATAAAACTATACGTGAACTAAAAATGGGAAATAAACAAATGACTCATAGATTACTTTCCTTATTATATAATTTCAATTACTTATTAAATGTCTTTCTTTTTAATTATTTCATTGCTTTGAAAAGACAGTTTTAGAGGAAAAATGAAATAAACAAAAGGACAAATTTTGCAGTTTTTTCATAATAAAAATTATTGTATACGAAACTATAAAACATCATAACTATTGGTACTTATTAAACCTACAAGTATATTGATCGAGAAAATTATTTATTACTTTATTTTGAAGTATTAAAGGGTAGATTACACTGAGCGATTTTCCACGCTAGTCGCCGGTGAATTTACTCGCTGCGACTAAAGTCGCTCAATGTAATCGTTTTAGACGCTTACTCGTCGCGTGTTGAATAATCGCTGTATGTCCGCGATTAAAGTTGACGACCGGGCTACTTTTGTCGCTACTCGCTAGCTATTTTACACTCCAGCGAGTAAAATCGCTTTGTGTAATCGACATGGCTAGTAAAATCGCTAGTGTGCTTGCGACTAGTTGTTGTTGCAAGATGCATTTCATCTTTTAATTTTATGTTCAAATAGTCATTATGTTTTATGTTCCAAAGCAATGGATACTGTTCGTAAATTTTTAAAAAATCAACTATGTTATTACAATTCCACTTCATCATAAATTTAAGAATTTAAAATATAAAAGAAAACGAATGAATTATATCAATATCTATATCAAATGACAACTTCTTGTTACATCCATATACATGTATATCACACGAAAGCGTGTGCACGAATAGCGAGCGAGCGAATTTAATCGCTCAATGTAATCGGACAAGTCGCTACACGCTCACAAGCACGCGACTTTAATCGCCGACACGCAGCGTGTAAAATCGCTCAATGTGAGATACCCTTAAAACGTAAAATAGTAATTTAGTTATAATAATAAAAAAAACTATATAGATAATTGGAGATTCTGTATACCTATCCTTGTAGATACCTTTAGATTCCAAGTGGAACAAAGAATCGTATGGTTATACAAAGATGTTTATTTTATTTTTTTTTAATCTGTGCTCAATTTCTACCAGAAGACCTGCTCAGATTTTTAAGTGTGAAAGGAAATCAGTGTGGGAGTCATTTTCATTTTTCTCAGGAGTTATCTCATCTAATTTGAAAAATCAAAAAGAAAAAACAAAAAATATAAGAAATGTAGGTATTAGATAAAATATATTATGGACTTCATTTTTTCTTTGCACAATTTTTCTTCCAGCAATTTTGCTCCAAATTAAAATGATAGCAATGTTTCTTAAAAACAAATTTCACGAGTAAAGTACTTTACAGCGGTTGATTTTCGAATTTCCTAAAAGTATTCCCAGAAAATGTGAAAAATCGGGATAAAACATGGGAAAACCGGGAAAAACGTAGAAAAACTGGAAAAATCGGTACAACATTAAACAAACATTATTAAAAAATAAATAAAGCCTATTTAATTATTTTAATATAAAATGGCATATATTATATTGTTGACAGCGCATGCCTATCAACTGAACTCCGCTCAGAATCGTTTTTTCATAAGTAATGTTTACCGTTGTATACAGGTATATATTAAATTATCAATAACAGTGGCTACGCCCATCCCCATTATCTTAGGACGTCTTTTTTATTACTTTTTTTACAATTTTTCTCCTGGGTAATTATTATATTGTAATTTACAACATTTGAAATCAATTCGTAATTTTATAATTTATACTTACTATACTAATGATTATTATTATAACCTATTACAAACGATTGTAGTTTAGGAATATTATGTAAACGATCATTTTAGATTCTGAACGTAGCGAAGAATGTGTACAAATTATGTTGGATTTACTAAAATAATATGACGTATCTCCGTGCTTTTTGTAATCTCTGTTTTCTGTCTGTACTTTATACACAATACATTTTCTACCAGAAATCTTATTCCGATCTTCACCGATTTTCATCAAATATTTATATTGATCTTTTCTACTATTTTTAATAGATTTGATTATCATTTTAAATGTTTTAGTTTTTTTTTTTTGGATAATATTTTTTTGGCTACTTGAAAATGCTTAAAAATCTGATACAAGGTTCATCATAAGTTATACTTATACTGCTAAACAAAAATGAGCGTAATATAAATTTTTTTTTATTAGCGTTTAAAGATCAAATTTTGATAAAAATCGTATAAATCACGGTATTTTGCGTATTATTTTCCGATGTATGCGGATAAAACTTTTATGGCTCCATCAAAATTATCAAAAATTCGAGATGAATAATACGGACAATAATTGTAATTTATTTAGTAGTTTTAAATTACTAAATATATTTTATTTGTATACAGTTTTAAATGAAAAATCATCAAAACACATTAAACTGAACTTCAATCAGAATCGCTTTTCAATTAATAATAATTTATCGTTTCATAAACAGTACAACTAAATTATATCCTATGGCTTATAAATATATTACACATTTCTAACTTTTCACCTAATAGCACATACAACAGTGGCCCACCCATGCATATGGTTTTATTATTATTTGTTTACATTTTCAAATTAAATGTGTACTGATTTCAGAGCCTACCATACGTTTACTTGTATTATCAATTACATGAGAATTTAACAAAAACAAATGTCTATCAATGTACAACTAAATTTTAAAAAATCGTTTGTTGATCGTGCATCGGCGAATAACAATAAAATACGTCTCGTTCAAGTTAAACATACATTACCTATACACACCTTTACAAGGCCAATAACCTCGGATAAGCACCTGTCCACAATTCGGCCTCCTCGTAACGAAAATAATTCGGACACATAAAAACCTAAAAATAGATAGATATAGGTGTATTATGTAGTGTAATAGGCGCTATTATTTTCATTAATACCGTTGAACTTTACAGGTACCGATTTGTAACAGATGTACTTACTCTGTACACATAGTTAATTGAACAAATAATACGTCCGAAAGAATTTGTATAAAATAAACAATTAATGAACATTATTTATTTTTAATTTTTAGTTGATTAATTTGTAATGTTCACATATTACGTGCAGGCGTATGTATAAAATACACCGTGGAATTTCGAAGAGTCAATCGGTATACGCGCGTATACTATGCACTTTTGACATATTCGCATCCAATTCTCTTATACCAGCAGTGAATGTATAAAATATTTTGTAGTTTGTATAGGTATTTTTGTTTTTTTTTTTTTTTATACGTGTCCGTGTGTTTATGGGAGAGAGACGGACGTATATTAATCATTTAGAATATTGCCGTAACCGTCCGGACGGTCTACGGATAGACTATTATTATACTGTTGTAGTATACAGTGGTGTATGTGCCTACTGCAGTCGGATAACGGAGGGGAAAACCGTTTCGAGTTTCACATCAACTACGGTGCACACAGTGTCAGTGACTTCAACGCCCGGCTCAGTTTATGGCTGTCGTTCGGTGACTACGTTTCGATACCGTTCATACTATACGCACGTTCAATAAAAGTTCCCGTTACGCATCGAGTGCAATACGAACATATTATTGTTGGTTGTTTTTTGATAATTTTTTCCAGTATTTATTTTTGAAAACTTTGTCAGGATAAACGACTATATATACTTACCTACTAGTATTTCGTCAGTCTATAATATATTTTTGATTTGCCTATATTATACATAAATAGTGTTTTTAAAGGTCGGTTTTGTGGATTATACTCTGTAGTTGTGTGTACACCCGTGTGCGAGTGATTTATATAAACGCTTAAACAGTTTTATATTATAGTCTGTCCAAAAATATGTACTGAATACGCTGTTTCCGGTGTGATCGACTCGAAAATGTGATAAACGTCCATACGGTGATGATGAGGAGGAGTAATTCTATAATGGCAACGACATTGCTGCTCGTCATAATCGCCATCATTGGTATGTCATTAATTATTATTGAAAATATTAAAACAATTTTATTCTATTTCTATCGTACCTAATTGAAATAACCCAAGTTTTTCACTAAACGGTAAAATGTATTTTACTAACACGGTAACGATTTTTGAGCAAATTAAATAGGTACCACGGAAAAAAAAATTGTATTTTATTGTAAATCGATTTATATAGAAAATATTAACGTAAACTACTGTAGTATGTATTTTATGTACTGTTGGTTTGATTTTCTTCAGTGGTCAGAAAAGGATACTAAATTATGTTCAGGCATACAAGTTATATGTAGAATATTTTCTTTTCTGAGAAGCCTAGCAACTGTCTCAATATACTCACCACCAGCAGCCTTCCTTCTCTTATGAACTTATTAGTAATAAATTATTATTAGTTTTTACTTCAATAATGTTCTACATAGTATATGGCTCTACATTTTTACATCAAAAGCCGAGTTAAGCATCCAATTGGTCCCGAAACAGAACTTGAAAACAGATCCTCTTTGGAATCATTTTATGTACACATTATTGTAACATAAGTATATGTACACATGTTTAACAAACATTTTATGAACATTAATGAAGACACGGTGGGTCCTCCACATTCGAACATGGCTTACTTTCATCACCAACCACCCATGATCTGCGACCTACCCACCAGTTTCGATTAAAGCGCAAGCCTCAATAAACAGTTTTGATGGCTTATTGTCACCACGACACAGAGGCATAATTTATAAAATATTACGCACGGTTCCGAAGTATAATACTGCAGCCGGGTAACGGCTGTCATTCGACAGCTATACTACTATATGTTCCTATACCTATTTAGTTGTAAAAAAAATATATGCATATATATATATATGTATATTATACATATTTATATATTGTTTAAATAACGATAACGCAACGTTAGTAAAAAAAAATATTTAAAGACCGTGGTCATGTTATATTATTAGGTAAAGAATATGCGTAATATTAATATTATTATTATTATTATTATTATTTTTTGGCTGCAGATGTGTAGGTATACCTATATATTATAACGTCCTATACGGTGGACCAAATCGATTTAATTCGGTGAAACCGAATTAGTGCCTATATAATATAATAATCGAAAATATCAACTCTATTACGTACGGTTTAGTCGTGTATGTATATATAACAATATTGCCTGTATTATAATTTATAATATATTGAGACCACGCGAGGGGAAATCGACCGAAGACTTGTGTATTATGTTATTATATTATGTAGGTACCCACGATTTTTTCGTACATTTCCTATGTACCACATATATAATAGATAGCATCAAATCATATAGATGGTATTAAGCAACGATAATCGACACGCGTAGACCACCGGTAACAAAAAAACTATAGGTATATAATAATGTAATATATCGGAAACGAAATAAATCGTCTGACGATAATAATATTATTATCAATCGAAGTAAAATCGGCATAGTAAGTTGAATGACTTGTATAGTAATCGATGTTTATTTCAGGGAAGTGGCCGGGAGAGTATTACTCCCCCGCAGATTTAATACCATCCCTTGAAAATGAATCACATCACTACGTAAACAACTACATGTGACATATGGTACGTAATAGAGTTATGGGTCGGTTATAAATCATCTTGTTGACAATAAAATAAAAAAAAATATTGTGTTATATAAATTACCGTATTTGTAATGAGTTACAAAAAAAAATAATCATTGAGTAATCATTTTCTTAATTTTTTTTCCATGACTAAAAATGTCTAGATCCGGCTTTTGGCATAACCTCTTGGAAATTAATGCCCCCCCTCCCCCGAAAATGAAGGCCTAAAATAAACACTGATAGTAACTGCGGTGCAGACGTCTACTTAAGGCGCTGAATGGTCCTGTTCGTAGCCTTTTCAAAATAATTTTTAGCAACAAATTCAAAACATTAATAATTAACATTATATCTAGTCATAGCTATTAGAGCCATTAGTTTTACTTTTTGACATTTTAGATACGTGCGTCAAGTTTGCCCTCACAAATAATTGGCTCCAAACTTTCACCAATATTTGGAAACTTATTTGGAACTATTTGGAATCTTAATTATGTTCCGAGTTTGGAACTTTAAATTTTTCTTGCAAAAAATGTTTTTTATAATATAATATGGGGAGGCTCACTTCACGCGTGTATCTAATGTAGATATTTGTTTATTACGCTTTACACTACAAGACCAATTCGAATAAAGAATATAATATTTAAAGTTTAAAGTGAATCCCAATACTACAATAGTATTCGCAATTATAAATAAAATACAAAATACAAAATCGAACCAATAAACATAAATATTACAAAGAAAAAAAAAATTTTTTTTCAATTTTTCAAGCAGCATGAACATTTTAAATGAAATATTTCATACTCATACCCTGCTGATAGTATGTAGATGCCTACATTAGTTACTGATTGTTGGGAGGGAGGAGGAAAAAATATATTATCTTTGGCTTGTTGCAAGAAAGGTCAATGTCATAAAAATAAAATGTATTTATTACAATAACATTATAGGCTTAACGTTAAATTTTTGGAAATAAATCAATTTTTTTCGACTTCCAATTTTCAATTTATTTACATTTTAGATTATAAGCGAAGCGAGGAATGTATTTATTTATTTTACAGTGATGTTTATTTTTATATTATTTTTTAAATACATTGTATTGTGTACAAAAATTCTACCAGAAATCTTGTTCCAATGTATCAAGTATAACATCTTTCTTAAAAGGGAATTTTATCTAGTTGGTGCTTCTAGGAAGGTCAGTTTTAGATTTTCCAACCAGTTTCCATAATAATAAGAAAAATCATAGGAAAAACGGGAAAATGTACAAAAAAACTATTAAAACATGTGTAACCAAACTTCGTTCAGAATCGTTTTCCATTAGCAATGATTAATCGTAACATACAGACGTATATTCAATTCTTCTCTATACCTTGTCTTCCCAACTTTTCACATACACACCAGTGGCCAACCCATCGTGCGAAGTATGTCAGTCTTTTTTTTTTCTTTTGACATTGACCCTTCTTGCACTGAATGATAGCTATATATATTGTATTATACTACACACTACATGGAGAAAAAAGACGTGCCAACGAACGCGCAAAGAATTCGCGAGCGATGCTGCAGCGGTGGCAATGACAACAACGGCAGCGGCGCGACGGTAGCAATAAAATAAAATCCGATACATCGGTTTCCTGTGTCTTACGGTCAAAACGTGAACGGCTATCGTCGTCGGTTAGGTTATTAATTTTTTTCCTGTTTACCCGCAGGACCGTGACCCGCGGTACGTCTACCGTCTTTTGTTCTTAAAATAATATAATATAATATAAGAGAAAGTGAATATTCTCTGTCGTGGTGAGTGTGTGTGTGTGTGTGTGTGTGTGTGTCCGTGATCGTCATCGAAATTTCCAAGCGTTCTCATACGGAACTCTCCGGTATAACGATCGCAACGTTTACGTAACCGTCCTTCGAGATCGCGCACCACTGCCGCCTGCTATACAAGTAGAATATTATCATCACGTAGTTCGAACCGAGCCCGTTTGCGTGTAGCGCGTCTACAGAGAAAGGAAGTTCGAGAGAGAGAAAAACAGAAAGAGGGTCTCTAGTAAAAAAAAAAAAAAAACAACCCAAAGATCTGTCTTTAAATTGATATGGCTATAATGCACAGCGTCAATTTACGTGAAATCGATCGTTAATTGAATATAATTACTAGATGACTAATACAGTGATACTAGTGGCTATTTTTCTGACTTTCCGCTGTACACACATTCAGTTAAATTCGATTACTTACACCTAACCTGACTTAACAATTACACTTTTATATTTCGTTTATATTTTGGAGGATACAATCTTTAAATGAATTCATACATCCATTATTCAAAGGGTATAGCGCAGTCGCGTAATTGTTTAATCGTGAAATTATATTGTTTAAATTATTGACGCAAAACAGATAAGTACCCTACAATATAATCTTTAACCTAATCACAGTCATTTTAGATTCTGAGCCCTTTGAGCTACCTGTATTGGTTCTATTATGTTATTGTGTCGTGCTTACTTTTTTTTTTTTTTTGGGGACCCCGTACAACTTTTCTACCAGATGTCTTACTCTTGCAATCAAAAATAACAAAAGATCTATTTTGGTGCATTTTTGATCTAGTGTATGCATTAAGAAGATTGATTTTTCAAGCAGTTTTCAGTTAGCAGTTAGGGAAAAAAAAACGCTATAGAATGACTGTATACAAAAATTATCATTGTAATCGGACCTTTGAAGCTTTACGGGCGTTTTCACCATAAGGCATGTTTTTGAGTAAAAAAAAAATCGTATTGGCACCTGAAACTTAAACAAATAGAAAAAAAGAAACGAAATCTCTCGAAAATTTAAGGCCAGATGTGTGTTTGTGTGTGTGTGTTATTTTCGTATGATTTATTAATATCATTATATCATTATGAATACAAAGACATAAGTATATAATACATAATACGCGGATACGGTCCGACCACACTTATAGTGGTATGGGATTTCTCTACGTACGAGAAAATGTACCTGCTATTATTTTTCGTCAGTTTTCGTTCAATAAAACGCCACCGACGGGATACTACATTATCGTAAATTATTACCCCCTTCGGTTATGCCCGGAAATCAATTCACACTAACTGACGGTAAAATGATTTTGCGTTTTGTCCGTATAATATAACATTATTATCATTATATTCGTAATAATCAATCGTAAATCGTGATTATAATAATAAAAATATTCGTAGATACAATCAAAAAAAAAAAAAATTGTATCTATTATACATTTACAGTTAAAAAACGTTAGAAAAGTAATTAATTTCGTCGTATAAAACACGCATTTTACTTTTAGATAAATAATTTTTAAAAAACACGTCGTCGAATAAAAAGTCTAATCTAATTTCAATAAAACACGATGAGTATTAGTAGTACGGTAGGTACTACAATTTATTGTTTATTTTTTAAGCATGTTGTGTGAAAATCAATTCATTAAATTATTCGACACATACCTACATTTTTGTAGGACAATTAAATTAGTTTCGTAGTTTCGTTAAATGATTGCGATCGACTGCATTAGTTTGGTCTATTCGCGGTTAATTAAAACACAGTATAGTTCTTCGAGTCGCATGAATTCACCAAAAAACAATTTTTTTTTTTAAGATCTTTTTAATTAATTTTACAACCGCTGATTTCGTACAATGACCTCTTCGAATGATAAGTCAACAACATCTTTATAATTAAAAAAAAAAAATCTTATACTGATGACGGGCGTGCCACTGTTCTAAGTGAGAAGTCGGTAAGGTAGGATATAGAGTTATTTAAATTATATTTGATAAATCATTGTTAACAAAAAACGATTCTGAGTTAAGTTCGCTTAAACAATTATTAAATTAAATAATGAAAAATAATAATAATCTTTAAACAATGAAACCGTTGTTGTATACGTTTTTCTGTTCTTCTCAAGTTTTTCCCCGGATTAACTCAAGTTTTTTCACACATACAAAAAAAACTACTAAGAATATCAAATAACGGTTTCTTTAATACAACAGCCAGACAAAGTTTGCTTTCAGAAAAGATGCTACACTTTAAAAACACGCATTTTAAAAAATCAATACATTCCTCGCTGTGTTCAGAATCTAAAATATATAGGTATTAAGGTATGTATGTATACTATCCACAGAAAAATAAAAACGGTAAAATATTCTAGATTCTAGAAATGAAAAACGTATTTAAATACATAATATTTGCGGCTATGCTCAAAACGATATACCTATATTGGTATATAATATATCATTATTCATTACATTTCAGTTGAATATTCGGTTTGACGGAAAATATATATTTTTTACTGAATAGGAAAATTGTTAACAATACTGCCCAATACTGAACAGTTTGACAACATATAACATTATACAAATAGGTAATCCTAATAATAGGAATAATTCCAATATACAGTGTGTTGCACTTCCAGGTGTAGCCAACACAGAGCTAATGCGACTGCGCCTTTTTTTGATGACGGAGAGTCCCCGCCGATGTCTATTGGTTGAAGGTTTCGGAGAGATAATTATAAATATTATTTCAAACGAAAATTAGTGACTTCATTGTGCGTGAATAAAAAACTACATATACATTTACAACTTAGGGAGATTTAAAAAGGTCCAGACGTTTAAAAAGAAAATACAAACTTGAGGATAAATTTCAATATTTTAATCCTTTCGGTGTGCATATGCACAAAACAATCTTTTTTTTTTTTAAATATATTATACCTATATTTTCGATACATTAGATTCGAATAGCTATTTAAATTTTTTTTTTTTATTTCGAAAATTACTTGAGATACAAACTCGGTCTAGATTTGGTTAAGAAATATGATTTTTTTTTTATCGATTTTTGAAAAAACTTAAATTTTATGACTTTAGAATTGAAGACATTTCACTACCGTTTCAAGGGGAAAAAATACTATTTGTAAAACTATTTATAAAATAATGCTTACAGAATAATAACAAACGTTTTAAATTTGTTAAAAAATCCATTAAAAATAAAAATATTTTTTAACTAACTTTTGATGGTTGTATCTCAGGTAATTTTTGTGACAAAAAAGAATTCTATTTATCAAAGCTGTTTTAACAAATTGAAACCATTCGAATCGAATATCGGAGTTACTATTAAAAAGATAAAGTAATTTGTAATGTGCATATGCACACCGAAATGTTTAGAAATTGAAATGCATCCTTTAGTACGTATTTCAGTAACTGCTTTGTCACCTCTCAAAACGGAATTAAAATCCAAGGTCACCCGGTTGAAATATTTAATAATTCTTAGAAACGTGAACACACGCTATGTCTATACCTCGGTAATTTACAACAACGAAAATACTATAGGTATGTATTAATTATTATTTTATATAATTTCAAACAAAAAATTACAGATATACCCAATATATTGTACACATTGTGAATTATTCTGAATTTATGAAATAATGATAATAACGTATAAAAAAAAATACCTTTATGTAATTTTTTCCCGTGATCATATACCTAGTTCCATTTTTGACATAAAATAACAATTATTATTCATTAGTTCGAATTATTTTTGAGATGAAACAACGACATACCATCCGACTATATCACAAAAATTTAATGGGAATCAAATACAAACAAACGCATGACTCTTTCATTCTTATTTCATGTACGTATAAAAATTAAATCATGTTTATACTATGAATAGCAAATGCATAAATAAAAGTAAAACAATAATATGTAATTTAATAGTACAGTGTAATTGGATTATAATATATTACGCAATTGATCGAATGCCAGAGTGTCCTTGGTCTTATAAGCGCGTGCACTTGTCACGTTTAATAGAAAGTAGAATGCATGAATTATTATTATATAGTTGATTTCTTTCCCAGCCCATCTATTTTATTATACGGGATTGTTTATTATACATACAATAGTAAACTAATTATATTTGATTATTATCATTCAGGAAGTGATATGAATAACAAACAATTAACAGGTTGTCTGAAATTATTATCTAAAAATCTTTGTTTTATTTTTAATTTTTTAGCGTAAGATATACGGAGTAGACAATGATTCAGTTGTCACATTATACAAAAATGATATCAGCACAAAATTTAATCTCAAACAATAATTTGTATTTATTTTTCTAAATTTGAACCTATACCTATACAATTAAATAAATAACTCTAGTGTTAGATTAACATCGTCTAAGTTATACACCCTGCATTATTTTGTATTTAGATTGAAAGTCTGAATAATTATTGTTATTTAACGATAAATAGAAAAATTTATCTATACCAGCTATTAGTCCGATATTAGGTTTACTTTAATATCGGTTTAGCTGCAATATTAATGCAATGGGTATAATTAAAAAATCATGCATCCAAAAAGAAATAAATTAAAACACACACTGTCTAATTATAATTAGTGATTTTTACTTTTCACTGATCAAATGATAACTCACGAAAGCAAGCTCGTATTTAAAAGTGCTCCTACAGATAGTCTGCCCCGAATAAGATAATACCATTAGCCTCAACGCAGATTCCCGAAGTGAGTGTCACGGACCTCCCGGCGGCCATGGACCACAGCAGCTCAAAAGCCATTATTATAAAATAAATAATACTTTTTTTTTCGTAATATTTCCGTCCCCGATATTGGTTATTTGTTTTACACTTGTTCACAAACGTTTCAAAATCGATTATTATATCGTTTGTACGTTATGGAGTTCGATAATAATAATACTAATAAGTAATAACCAATCGAGTTTTTTTGGATTCTGGAAGACGTAGGATTAATAACAACATTAAATTCTCGACCGTGAAAACGCAAACGTAGGAAATGTAATGGAAATTATGGAACTAATTAATTCGGCGCGGTTGAAGTGACACGACGATCCGCAGGCATATCTACTATCGTAAGACAATTGATAAGAGGTCGCGGACGCAACATTTTACTATATAGCCAACCGTACTCGCTCAAAATATCAAAATACTATAACCATTTTGTTTTACACAATATAATACAAAAATTATAAAAAGGGTTCTTGAATATTACACTCAGAAAAAAATACGCTGCTTTAATGAAAACCGCCTATTAATAATTAATGAAAAACGGGTCATGATTTCGATCCTATGAAGACGTTATGTAATACATTTGTAAAAAGTTTATTTATTGGTTTTCCAAAGACGTGTCTTAGGTTTTTACTCGGGACACTGATTTCCTTGGAGCATCGTAGAGTATACTGTTTGGACGTGGCAGATTTTTTTTTGTTTTTCGTCGTTATAGTGTGGTTGCGCTTGCAATTCCTTCGGAAGCCCCGTGAATAGATGATATCCTATGATACCCGTGCGCGGGCGGATGGGTGCGTGCGTGGCGCTTTATCGTCATATTTGCAAAACACATTTTAGCGAAAAAAAGCGAAGTGCGGTCGTGTCTGCGAGTAACATTGAATAATTTCCGATTCTTCCGGGCTTTAGTCGTACGGCGTTCAATTTGAATTTTAATTTTTCGCGCCGCCACTGCGTTCCCGTATCGTTTTTTTCCCCCGCCGGCCGGATACCTGCGTAACGACCCCGTGGGTCGATCGGTCCCGGGGTGGCGGGACGTATAAATAGTAGAAATATTACGTGCATTATTGTTATAGGAGGCGCGGCCGAAATCCGTTCGGTTCCCGAGTTCTCGCGGCCGCGGATAATCGCGTCTGTTTGCAGTTATCCTCGATGATGATAATAATACGTAAACGGTAACGACTGACAGTAACAACAACGACGGCGCCGGGCGACGCAACCGCACGCTACGGTTACTGTATTATACCGTGCGAGACGGACACAATGGGTACGGTGTTATTGTTGCAAAACTCGCGCGCGCGTGCGTGCAGTGCGTATCGCCAGTGTTCCGGGCGTTTCGCGAGAGAAGAATCTCTTTTCCCGCGCCGTTTATACACCTACGCACACACGTACGCTATACGAGTGTTTATGTATATTTACACACACGTATCAGCTATGTACAATACGTATTGCACTCGTGTACGCTATATTATTATTGTGCATACCTGCGAGTGCATACGTTGTGCACGTATACGAACCGAACGCGTCGTAAGGGCCACTACACGGCGGATTACGTCCGGCACGGGAGTCCGCTTGCGAACGCGCAGTACACGTGTATAACACGACTATTATTACGTATATCTACGTATACAACGATAAGGTATGCGTGGCCTGTAATAACATATACGTATCGGACGGTCAGTGTTCGGGCCGAGGCGCGGACGGCAACACGACGATGACAATAACACAATATTTAATTACGATGGAGATTTCGATCGTTGCGCGACGGTAACAAATCGATTAAAAATCACGTTAGCCCTAGGGGTGCTTTGATGATTGACCTCATTTGGCCGCCATTCTGGGGACCTAGCCTCTCTTAAGATTGGTATAGCCATGTCCTGTCTACGTCTTCATTATCTATGGGTGCGACGACCGGTAAGGGATTTATCAACAGAATTTTCGGAACGAGACAAATAAGCTGTACCCTGCGTTTCGGCGTATATGATTCGTATGCGTGCGTTCCATAATATTATCGCGATAACAGCGAAAAGAACACAACACGAATACATGAATTATAAAAAGTTTTTATCTTATCGCTGGAACGGTTTAAAAAAAGTGAACTCACTGGGTGGTTGCGCGTGGTTGGTTTTACACGTGACATATAATATTAGGTACACACGAAACACTTACGCGTTATAAATCGTAATAATAATAACAGATTCGTTACTTATTTTCGGTAATCAATTCTGAACTTGGTTTGTAACAATCATCCGACCTTCCATATTACTCACGTTCCTCTTGACTCCTTCACACACACTTCCACGTCAGTCGTCACGTTTCGTCGCTACGTTAAAAAATCGTCAAAAACATCCGTTTGGATTACACTCTGTACGTATGTTTTAGGATGGTTTTTCTTGATATTTTGGTTAATATTACATGAAATAAAAAGGTTCCTTTAAAAAAACCAACATTTTATTTTCACACGTTCGTTTTATTACTTTCTTTATACGAGTGCACTTCTGTATACTTCTAAGCAATACTTATACTGTTCTAATGTGTGCGAATTCTCGCTCTGTTTCTCGATTTAAATCAAATACGTATTATATTGTTGTCTCGTCCATAGTGTTATTAAACACATCAGATAGTGGACCCGGTAAATAGAAATAAGTTTAAATTTAGAAAAAAAAATAATTATTGAAATTTAAACGTATTTATTTGCGACGAATCTTACTCCTAAACGGTGAAAGTACTAATTTCGGCGGGCCCTTCATAAATTCAATTTCAGATTTGGGCTTTGGGCCCGAACCCCTCGTCCCACACACACACACACACACATACAAGCATTTTAGTATTTTTCCCGTTTATTTTCTCAGGGTCTTCCAAAATTCAGGATCTGGCTTTTAAATCACCGATGATTGCCGTGGTTTAGCTATAGTCGGATAGAAATGACGATTTTACGATTGTTATTCGCTACATCCCCTCTTCCGTTGAAAATTCCCGGGCACGCCGCCGATGCGAGTGCAATTGTATACGTACAGCACGACCGGACTGACGGACGGACGTGTCGTTGAACTCACGCGCGCTCGAGTCGACTCGTCGACGATATTATTATTATTATTATTGTTGTTGCGGTCCGAGAACGGCCGACGGCGACACATATACGCGGCGAGACGAGTATACCCTATTGACAGGCGTAAAACTGCACATTCGGCGGGGCTGAATAAGATAATAACATTATTATTATTGTTGTTGTTATTATCGTTTCGTATATTCTCTCACGAAACCGCGAGACGGACGCGGTCTCTCCGTTCGGTCATCCGCGGAATGGATGCCCCCGCGTGTATTGTTGAACAATGAATCGCACGGGTACGCGCACGTCGTCGTGGCCGTCGCGTATAGCGTGCAATATAATGGAATCGAATTTTCGTTACGATAACAATATGTAACGTCGCCGTCATGTTATTACCATTTTGTTCGGCGCGCCAACATATTGTTGTTATACAACACAATATGTATTGTACAGTACGAGTAGTAGGAAAATTCCCTGCTACAGGTACGTGTCGTAATAATATTATAGGTACACGGGTACATTGATGTTACCCCGAGTGCGTGCAGTCATCGGATAAATGGAAGCGGCGGCGCGAATGAGAATTTCGAGGTGCGCGCGCGGTGGGTGTGACTGGTATTGTTCACATTACAGGTTGACTAGAATCATCGGGAATAAATATTACGAGCGAGGTTGTTAGGACATCGGGTAGACCGACTACGGCGAGATATCGGGGGAAATCGAAATATTTAATAATAACCGAAAAGTCGATAATCAAACGATTAAATGCGTCGTCGTTTTCGTTTCTATACATAGCCTAAGAATAAAATATAACTTTTGGGATCCCGAGAATTTCGAACGCTGTCGTGTACCTACTGGCTACCGAGTATAATTATTATTTCCGCTACACTCGTACTTCGCAGTACTTTTGTTCCGAATACTTGTGTACAGTATGTGCGTCTGTTTTCATATTAAATTGTTCTTTGCCGCCTGTTTTCTTATATGTTATCGCATCTAAACGCTCGAAACGATTCATTTTTATAATTAGCGATACACTCGATATAACAATTATCTATAAGCCAATATACTTTATGTATTATTTATGGTATGTAAATATAAAAATTCTAATCAAATAAACGAACGTAACAGTATATTTTCGTTAAAGTAAGAGCGCTCTTGTGAATACTAAATATGTGTATATAACTGTATAAGCGTCGTTAAAATATAATAAACGTCATTCATTAAGTTCGCTATTGTGCTACTGTTCTACTGTACGAGTATTAACAATTATATTTAATTGAGAATAGAAATATAATTGGTTAAAATTCGGTTAGGAAAATAATATTACTTAATTCTGAAATGTAGACAAATTCAAGAAGAAAATTAAGAATATATGTGATTTTACTAAAAAAAAAAAAAAAAAATCCAACTTAACTATAAACTCTTACAGAGATAATATTGTAGTAAAATTACACCTAACCTTGCAGCGATTTTATGTCCATTATAGATAACGGCAATCGATTTTAAATGCGATTGTTTTATTATATGTAATACAATATAATACAAAAATAATTAGGATGTATACAGTTAATTATAATTTTGTGAGTTGTAATAATATTTTAGAAAGAAAACTTTCATATATTATTGCGAGACGTTATCATACATTTTGTGAGTCATGGCTTTTCTTACTAATTATTATACGTATGCAATGTATTCCACCTGCATGATGTGTGTGAAACTTAAAGATGACCTTTAATATAACTATAGCCAGTGGTGGCTTTTAATTTGAATCATTGATTTTATTCTCCATCCACTCCGACCCAAAAATACCCCCAACCTACCACAAATCTATTGACGTTTATGAAATGTCAATAAAATTTGTTAAATTTATTAAATTTCCGCAGTCTAAAATTTTTCTAATGCCTTTTGTTATGCAAAAACATAATAATAATTTGTTGTTATTTTTCTGAACACCCAGGCACTCACGATCCACCCCTCCCCCCCCAGTATTTTTATGACTCACGTGATTTAAATATACTTCCTTCGAACCGCAACTGCCTATGGCTGTAACCTGGATAATATATTAGGAATATTTTATTTCGCGTTATTCTAAAGGGTTCGTATACGATAATTGTCTATTGTTAACCGTAAAGTCAATACGGATATATTTTTATAATAATAACGTAATAACCGTACGCGACAGCGTACAATGTGTAAAAAACGACGAAGAGAAAACAAAATTCTTTGCTCTTTCATTCGGAAGGAATTGACACGGGTAAACGGAGATACCAATCACTGCAAATAGAACTTCACTGGCAACAATGACTAAAGGAAAAAATACGTTGTTCTACGGAAAATATACAATGGCGACCTTGTGTTATTTCGTTCCTCTCTGTGAAATGTTTCCCGGACAGTAAAAAAATACACGTTGCCGTGTTCACCGAACAAAATGAAAATCGATCATGTTAACTATAATTGAAAAAAAAAAAAACGATAGACGGTTTGAATTCACTACCGTCAAAGATAACTCCTCGAAATAACTGTGAATAGGAATATGAAAAAAAAAAAAAATCGATAGGCACTATTCGACAAGTAAAAAAGAGATTCTCTAAATCGGGTTTATATATATTACATAGATATATAATATATTTTTATTATATAGTAAGGTGAACCGTAAAATCACGTTCGCTATATTATCGGTGTGGTTCATCGAACGCATAACTGTGTTGCCGTGTAGTGTTAGTATGAATGTAAACAATCATACGAATAACAGATCACGAATACAAAATCTCAGTGCAACCATATCTAATTCTTTACCAATTTAAACGGTAAGACGACTTCAGTGAGCGTTTCGCTTCAGACTGCAGTATGTTTGGATATGAATAAACGAAATATCTAAGTCTGAAGAAAAATGCATATAGGTATGATGAGGTAACTGTAGATTCACGTGTCCGCCGTCGTAATTTCACCGGCCACTCTTCAAAATGTTATGCCATATAACAACATACATGAATATATGAAACATGGACATTCAAGGTCGGAATTGGCCGAAATTCCCTCAAAACACAAAAACTGATTTCCAGTCATCAGATTCTCTGAAGAAACCGCTTCACGTGCATTTGTCGTCTGCGTCTTACTAACGCACGATCGCGACGTATATCAAAATATTTGCGCTCACCAGAACTAATGTCGTGCTGTCTGTTTTAATCTTAACGAGTGAATTGACCTGTTATCAAAATTAAAGTGGAGACTGTATCCAGTGGCGTACACACAGGGGGAGATTTAAGTGTTCTAACCACCAGTGGTATTTTTTACGCAAGATAGATTAAATAGATTGTCCACGTTATCGGTATACCGGGGGCTATGCCTTTAATTCCTAAAAACGTCACTGATGAGTTGAGACGAAAACCGAGGAAATTAGATATTGTTCTATGATAAAAATAAATCATTGTTAAGCAACATAATATTTTAATATGTATACATTATATATAATTGTTCAATGCAACCCTCCACCCCCTTAACCCATTGAAAATATCTGTGTTTTTATACGCTGGTGGTTTTCGTTGTTTTAATTTTTAAGCGAGCGATATGAGTGCGTGTGAAACATCGCAATTTAAAAATTCGTATACACAAAATACAATTCAAATGTCGAGTAAAACCGACGTACAATCACAGCGAGACGATGATGCGGTTTCTTTTGGTTTGATAACAACAAGCCAATTCGCTCTTAAATATTATAACAAACGGCAAAAAAAAAAAAAAAAAATTGGATTTACCGAACGTAAATTTGCTACACATCGTCGGTGTATACGTGGTTTTCCAATACAACACGACCGATACACTGCGACTCGGATTGTTGAACGATAATAATCGTCGTTTACCTATATATAAATATACGCGTAAAATCCCCGGGCGTCGGGCGGTATACTTAATGTCGACCGGAATTACACGAGCCGAAAAATTAAAATAATACTTTTGTTCGCGAATGTATATATAGTACCCATAATAATAATATTAATCTCGGCTATTCGCGAACGATCGCCTGCGGCATGCTATTGTCACGTCGACTATTACAATATTATTACGCGTGTATATAGTTACAAAACAATACTGAAAAGACGCGACGGTATAGGTATTATAGTTTTCTTTTTTTTTCGTTTTTTCTCCCCGGACCGCGCGTTTAATAACACTTTTTACGCGCATATTCCGTCACCGACAATTATATCTGGGTCGTCGTCTGCGGACGATTATAACACGGCGGACGTATACATTTTTTTTTTTTTTTTTCCACTAGCTCTACGCGATATTATTATTATTATTATTATTTTCGGTCACCTCGTTCGCGCGCGCGCGCGTTGGCCCCGCCGCGTTGGTCCAGTTACCGCGCGCCCTCGTGTGTGGCACACGCTCGTTTACACACGCGGCCGAAACTTTTTTTTTTTTTATCAACAACAATACGAATTTTTACTATTATTATACTGTACGCCTACTCGTTCGTTATTAAACACGTCGTATCGGTGCACGGTCGTCCGGGAAACCGCGAATATACTCCGGTAAAATATTGTTGTATACATACATGTGTATATATATATATATATATATGTATAATGTATTTTATACGGGTTTATTACACGTGTACGTGATTCGGTCGACGGACGTACCGGAATGAGAGCATAACCCGTACGCGTATATTGTTATTGTACACACGATAGCGTATCGTCGGACGACCGACTCCCGTGTTCTGTATGATATTATTGCGTGTGTGTTATTATTTCGCACGGAAAAATTAAAAGAAAAAAAAAAAAAAAAAACGCGGCCGGCCGGGTATTGTAAACGGCAAATCCGCGACGTCCGGCCGCGGGGAAACGATGCCCGGGGCTGTCGACCGCCGTCGGTGTGTGTACAATAATAATTATGCGATTCGTTCGCACGACAGCAGCGAGTGTACGCGACGACAACAATGACGTACCCGTTTGTCGCCGTACAATAATAGTGCCGTCGTTATATTTTTATTCGGAGGCGTCGACGAACGGCACCGCCGTCCGTCCGAACCGTCGCCGACACGTATTATCGTGTGCCCGGCTGAATGTCGCGTATCTGTTTAACAGGCCGTAGTCGATAGGTGTACGAACGACGACGACGACGACGACGACGGCACAGAGAAAGAAACGGAGAATAGATACGCAAAAATTACGTCCTCGTTTTTTTCCGGCCGCGTCAATAACGACAATATATTATCATCTCACCTATATAATACAATAATATGACGTCCGTATGCCCGTACAATAATAATAATAATACACCGTCGCGTGTGCGACGGCGACAAAAACGACGTGACCGCGGGCGTTTTTAACCGTAATATTACATCGTTATTTTTCGGATCGGATGAATCGAATTTTCGGATTTACCGTGGAAAATTGTCATTCCGGAGAGTCATTCCGAAAAAATACCGATGTCGAACACGGTGCCGTACACCATTATTTTTATCATTATTATTATACCGGTACAGTAGTGGTGGTGGTGCGATATATTTAACGGCGAAAAAACTTACTAAATCATTTTTCGATATTATAACCGCCGATGACACGGTTTATTATAATCGTCAATAATAATAACGCATTTTTTTTTTTTTTTCCTGTAATAATCGTGTTTTCTATATAACCGCGGTCGTCGTTATACTTAAATAATATTGTGAACTGCAGTTACATAACGATTTTTTTTTTTTTTTTTTTTTTTTTTTAATTGTGTCAAACTTACAATGCCGATAAAAAAACACCGCAATATTACTAAAATAGACAATTTATAGAACCGGACGATATTTTGACTGTCCGAAATATTTTAATAAAATATAGTACTTAAAACATTTTAGATTCTGGGTGGGGCAAGAAATGTATTGGTTTAATCTAACCTAGCCTTTACAATGTTTATTTTTTTAACTGTGAACAACATTTCTATCAGCATTTTTGTTCGATTTACAATCATAGCACTTTTTCTGAAAACAAATCTGACTGGGGCGGTACTTTAGGGATTCATGAACGTCTACGATTTGTTTAAATAATTTTGGACCACAGGTCGAGTGTCCGAGACGGATGAAATTATCCGTTTGTCCATTATTTTATGATTTTAAAGGCTTAAGTGAGATTGGTCACTTTTGAAATAGCGTACATATTCATGCACTACATGGCGTTCGTGTTTGTGAGTTGTTTCGATCGGTGATTGAATTATTCGCAGAGAATCTTACAATCATTGTTATTTATCGGTTTATTTTGGAATCGTTTAGAACGCCTATAGTCACGTAGAGATTTTTTGGATGTGGGTGAGGTTAGACGTGGAAACCGTTTCTAAAAGCTTGGGAGTACACGAAGGGATGAATTCTGATATTGACTGGATATTGTTTAATTTCTGAACAGTGTGATTGTTTATGTACAGAGGAAGATTGGTTATTTTATTTATAGAGCAACGGATTGAATGGCTTATCTATTTTTATTTGCGACATTGATATTATTATATGTTTCTTGTAATTTCCGTGATCGAAATACACCCCTCCATCGCAAGAAATATACATAAAACGTTCACCAAAAATTAGTGATTCTAGGCCCATAATAATAATATAATATGACAAATGTGCACATTCAAATAGTATTTAAACGAATATTTACTTTTTTAAACATGACATTCTTAAAATTTCTTAAATTTTACAACACTATACGCATAGGTGGTATAATACGTATGTAAGTATTATATTTTATTGTTCAGTTTTTAACCATAAAAAAAAAAAAAAAAACGTTTTGACTACTGTTTCACTGTGGGAAAATTATACTACCTGATGTAGTAAGCCGGTTTTTATTTTTTGTTTTTTGTATAGTTTTATAAACCCACGCAAATTTGTTCTCTGTGACAACGATTTATCGAGTGTTTTCATTGTTTGATATGGAATTTTTTTTAAATATAGGTAGGTACCGACATTATTCGGTTAAAAGAATTAGAATATATATTATTACAAAACTATACTTGTTGATTATGCATGTGAAAGTTTTTTTTTTGCGCATAAGCCATTATTAATGTGTACAATCTTAGACAACACAATTGTACAATGGTACTAAATAGGTTATTCTTATATTTCTGTATGGCAGGTGCATCAGTGACGATAACGAATAATATGGATTAGATTATATTAATATTGATTGTACAACTGCCGTTGATCTGCCGTTAAAAGTCGACACAGATGTTTGATGAAGTTTAAATGAATTTAATTTCGGAATGGAAAATTTAATAATCAACAGCTAGTGACACCATTTTAAAAGATAGGTACCTACTTATTTATACACATTTCGTACCGACATAATAATACAGCAATCATCGAGAATAATTCGTAATTATTACTGAAATCGTATCTTTGACGATTTTAAATTCGAGTCAATTACGAATAGGTACTATGAAGTTATTTAGTGTAACATTTTTTGTAAATTTTTGGTCGAATACGCAACGATAAATCATTGTTTACGTAGTACGATTCTGAATAAAGTTCGGTTGTATATGTTTTGAAATTCTGTAATTCTACAGTTCAAATTTGAACTTGAACGCTTATAAAAAAAATTCTACTAAAATACGCTCAACTATTTTTTTTAATTTTGTTTACCATTAAATAAAACTCATTATGAACCTGGTATTCAATTTCCAAACATTTCTGTTTGAACGAACCAACTGTGTCCACATAAAACTATATAAAACAATAAAAAATGAACCAGAATTTTTTGTAAAATCAGATTTCATAATTATTTTCAACCGAATCAAAACACGAAAATCGAAAATAAAACAATCAAAGTTTATTGATATTCAAAAAACGACCACTAAATGCGTCAACTAAACTCAACTTTCAAAAAAGACGTTGCGACTTTTGAAATTAAGAGCAAGGTTTCCGGAAAGAAAAACGCAGTAAATAATCGCAGTAAATTTTTCAGTTTTGTCCGTCCGTTAATTACTGCTGTTAAGAAAACTACCGGGAGATTCAAACAAGCGACCCCCTCATCCATGCACGTAGATCCAAAATGGTATGAACATAAGCTGTCTTGTCGTTTTTTTGTTCGGAGCGATATTTCTGGCGTATACAGAAAAGTTGTTTACAGACCGGAAAAAAAAAACACGCATCACACACCGCGTTCACAATCCGAAAATTAATAAATAATTATTTTTTTTTTCCTCGTTCGTTCGGGCCGGCATAACAGGTCGTCCGGCAACGTCGCATAGTTCAGTGTGTAACGGGTTAACGTAACGGTTCGGCAGGTATGCGAGGCCATCGTCGTCGTTGACGGTTTCGCCTATAATAATAATACACGTCGGTCAGTCTCCGTCGCTTTCGTTAGTTTTGCGCCGGACAAACACTGCGCCCGGACCCCGGTCGGAGAGGCGCCCGAAAAAAAAAAAAAAAAAAACAGGTTCCGAAGCACCGGTTCACGCGGTAAAACCGTACCACCCTTGAGGGGGATTCGTCGTGTCCCCGTACGTTATTTCATTATTATTGTTTTTTTTTTCCACGAGCGTCCGAAACAATAACACAATATTGCGTTTTGTTTATTTCTGTAAAACAGTATGCCTGCAGGAGTGCACGGCGTAATTGTACGGCATAAAGGGGCGTCGTCCGATCGCGTCCCGTTTCGACTTTTTTTTTCTAACCCTTCTCGAGTTTCGATCGCGTCCGGTCGCATCCAGGGCATGTACCCGGTCGTGTCCCGAACGAAAAATCCAGAATTTCGATCGTGTCCGACAATATTGTTTTGCACGCAAATTATTAAATGTAGAACTGTATTATTACAAACGTAAATTGGTTTCTACAATAGACGCAATAGACAAAATTGATTTGCGGCGTTAATTGGCCCGGCCGGTAATCTTTCGAAGGGCCGGGCCCGCTCGATATTAGATAAAACTCCGATTCGCCAACTCCACGTAAAGAGAAAAAAAAATTGTTTTATTTTTAAATTCACTTTTTCGGACGTTTTCGTCAATCGGAGTTTTTTTTTTTTTTTTGCGCCGCGTTTATTGCTCTGCAATTCAGGCCATAGGGCACCGCCGTTGTATCTATAGCGACACGCTGCGGGAAGCCAAAAAGCTCTATCTCGATAGAATTTACGCACCGTCGGTATATAATATTTTCCACCGAAACCGGCGCACCGGACCGCTGCGAAAACCCCAGCGCAGACAACACAAACCTACTGCGTGATACCTATAGCTAATAACAACATGTCGGACAAATCTGTCATTACGGTGTATTCCGTTGTAAATATAACGATTTTGGACCGCCCCGACAATGCAATATAAGAACGTATGCCGAGATTATAAAAATGTACCCGTCTCGGCGATAACTCCGTCGCTTTCCCATTAACCGTCGCGGCGTTTCCCGTTTAAATACTGACAACACTGCAGCAGTAAGACGGAAGGGGAAAAAAAAACAATTGTTCCAGCACCCGTGGCGGCATCTAAAACAACAATGGCCCGTTGTGTGCGGTACGGACGTATCGCGTCCATCGCGTCGTTCGCGGTTAAACGACGAAATAGACCCGTATTATTATTTTTGACCCACTGACGTTCTAACTGTCAACGATTATTATCAGTACACAATAATAACAACGGCGATGGCGATAATGACGGGTAATAGAAACAGTAATGTTCGTCACCGAACGTCGTGACCGGGGGTGCCGTCTCCGCACAGTGTCTATAATATATCACACCTATAATAACTATAATAATAATTGCGCCAAACACTTTGTGTACACACTGTATATGCTCTCCGGTAGGTACCGTGGTTGGATGGTGATGGGGGGGGGGATCGGTATATTTCGTTCGTCGTACGAGTGTACATTCAACCGCAGGCACGAGTCGTCGGAGCAGTACAGTAATAGTAACTATTCTATCCGTGAAATCGAGCTGGACGTGCATACTCCGATTATACACCCAGGTATACCAAACATAATTCGTTCATTACAGACATTCCTGCAGTGCTGCGCCCGCAAACGCGGTATAATTGGTTTTGACAAAATTATATAGATCTATCGTCGCTATAGTTTCCGGGGACGAACTTTTATAATATAAATAATACTATTATAGTAGCTTTTCATATTATTTATTAGATGTACATTAATTGTTTGAAATTCAGTTCACCTAGATCTTTTTTGTTGCGGAGTTTTTTTTTTTTTTTTTTTTTTTTACCGGAAAATAACGTTTCAATTAGCACAAACACTCCGAGTTATTCTGATCGTACCTTATTAAAAGATTTTTCACCCGGAAGTATTTTAATTGAACAATTTTCCTACGTTCCCAAAAGTTTTTCTAAAAAATTAAAATAAAAGCTGGCAACAGTAATTAACGACGATACGTTGGTTTTATTATTATTGATTTTTGGATATCATGGCTGTATACAATGGACAACCACGTCTGTAACACCTTACCGGTTTAGTTAGGTAATGTTTTCTAATTGCGATTTATAATAATTTATAATCATTGTTTACGGTATATAAATTAAATTGCCTGCGGATAAATTATCTTACAGCCTATAAATTCAAAACTTCCTACCTACAACAATGATAAGGCCCCCGTATGTATAAAGGCCTGTCCGTGTATATCCGGCTCTTTTTCGTTTATAAAAGCTCGCAAAGCTGGTAATATGTACTAATATATTTGCGTAATAATAAATATAATATGTATGTATAAATGAATCCATCGTATACAATTTTAATACAATAAAACCATATTAGACGTTTGACTACTCGACTTTTACAAGTTATTATAATATTATAATTTAATTTAATAAAAATAAATTTATCAACAGCTTAATATAATATTCATTAAAACTATACATCAATATAAATTATATACTTTATAATACGAAATCAAATCTATAATACCTATAATATACTAGAATAATACCGGTGCATTCGAGTCGCCTCCCAAAATGTACGAACTGCTTCCTATCCTTATCGTCAATAAAAAACTTAATATACACTAGTCGTCTCCGACGATTAGGTAGTTCATAATTATATACGAATTGCCTCTCGAAAGTGATCGCCTCCCATATTGAATAAAGCAGTGGTTCATAAACAAATTAAATTTAATATAATATTTATAATTTTATAAAAAATAATATTATAATGGTCAATAAAAAAAACACGTACCTAAACAGTACTTGTTCAGATAATGTCTATTATGGTTCAAATTATTTTCGTTCAATATTACCTAATCACTTTCATCTACTTTTAAAACAGCTTTGAATATTTTTATCGTACAATTCCCCCGTTCTTTATTGTAGGCTAACTGTTTTTGAAAACTAAATTTCATACTACTAATTATTTTAACACATTTGCTCTTTTTATCGATCATTTTCCGCATTTCAATTTGATCTATTCTAAAAACTTAATAAAAAATTTAAAATCATTTAATAATTTTTTGTAAAAATAAAATCGTATGACGAGTGTTGAAGCTCATCTAACGAAAATAATCATTACACAAGAGATGTAATGTTTAATATTAGCCGTACAGTCTTATCAATGCACAAAAGTCATAGATTACGACTTTGAATATATAAATACAAAAACCAATGTTAGGTTATTAGTGATATTAATAACCTTCATGATAAAAGATTTAAACAAATATATATATTGTTTACCGTTTGAAAATTTTAGATCGTTTGTGAACCACTTATACTGCTTATTGGGAGGCAGCTAGTAGTCGACCCTTTTCGTTTACGGTATGCCGAGAGGCCACTCGTAAATACCCGGCAGACGATTCGTATTACAATTATCGATCTTTTTTGACCTCGGGAAGCAACAGTATGCGCCCGATAATACCTACCGCATTATATTTCAGTGAAACTCGACGATAAATCTAACAGATTTTAATATTATCTGGTAATTTTCGTTCCAAATATTCAATCTGAAAGCGGTTGTTCGATTTGTAAATTTTGTTTGATAATTTTAATTTTGAAATAATACTTGAGAAATTGCCCGGTTGAAAACATTATTATTTGACAATAATAGAATATTAAATCGTGTATCTATAATTTTTAAAACGATATTTTTAAGTTTCTTGTATACGACTTAACAAATATAATAATTAAAAATATCGTTAAAAAAAAAAATCAATATTATTTGTGTACACAAATTAAAAATGGCCCCATTAGGTATATTATGTATCGTGTTTATTCGATTTTAGTCACATAGGTGGGTTGGCGATGACTATTCTGACTAACGCTCGGTTTTATATTATACATTTGAATCATACCACCACCGTAAAAACATAAAAAATATTACGATGTTTGTCATAAACACACTTATATTGACTTTCTATTTTTTTAAATCGCCATCATGTTGGTTATTTGCCACTTTGTCAGTATATATATGAACCTAATTTTATCGTCGAGCTTTAAATAAATATATATTTATTTTTCACTAATTATATATTTATTTAAACCTTGTATTTATATTTAAATATATATATATTCTATTTGAATAATCGTATTCCGTGTACTCTGTTTAAAAAAACGTGTGAAGCGCATTTAAATGTTTACGAATACATATTTGTTAGACATCAATATTTAGACACGCAATACTTTTTACATTAAATTATTCTTGTTAGAAAGTTTAACTTATTTTTATTCGAATGTATAGGGTAAACTTGAACGTGCAGGGAGTAGATTCGATTGTTTAATATAAATTGATAATAAAAGTACTTAAATCAAATAAAATTGTTTCTTTATTCAAATTTCAATTTGTAGGTTTACATTATTGAGACGAATAAAATGAATACCGTTTTAAAACATATCCAAATAAAAATTTAACTCGCACGATTTATTTACGAAAAAATCAGAGTAAACAATTTTAATCAAATGTGTGATACTTTAATATTTTGTTTTAAAGCAAACTTATAATTACTTATTATGCTAAACTCGTGTAAATCCGATTTTCTGCATTGTATTCATCGTTACGGATAAAATTAATTGTCTATTATTTTTCAAATTATTCAACCTAAAATATTACAAACCGACGAGTGTTTTGTTTCTACGAATATAAAATTAATTTTCAATTAGTCACCTGACTTAAGAACGTTCAATTAGAACGTATATACGCATAGATATATGGTTTGTATATTGCAATCGTTCACGGAACACTTATTTTTATTCGTTGTTTGCAAACCAGTTTTTCCGAAAAACAATATTGCAAGCAGTGTTTGAAAATTTCATGAAATATTTCAATATTTGAATAAAATATGTTTTCTTTTTTTTAAAAAAATGTTTACCTTTCTACATCTGTCAACGTGATTGTTTTCTATAATATTTTAAATTTTTATATTGACAGAAAACATACACAAATGTTTAAATGATGCAACATCATACATTCATACAGAATACGTAGTACGTGCATTACAATAGGAATTCGCATTATATTATAGTTTTTGAGTGAAAATAATATGGGTATGTTACCTATAATAGTATACAAGTATAATACTCCTATTTCTATTATTCTATACACATTATATGGAGGCGTAGTGTAGTTTTAAATAGGAATAAGTATAATACTTTTGGTTTAATATATAATTTACCTATAGCCTACGAGGAATTAAATATCGCCCTACACAAAATAGGTAAAAAGTCGAAAACAAGACCGCCAATAGTAATAAGAAAAAAAAAAATCATCAATGTTTCACGGTTTTTTTTTTATGAAATATTCCAGGCTTCTAACACCACGATTGCTGGTATGTGCACACGCTAACGTATACTTCCCCTCGTATTCGCGGCGACGATAACGGAAATGACTGTGTGTGTAGCAAGTAACTCGTGCCCCTTGAAAACCTGCAGTAATAGTCGGGCCAATTAGACGCGCGGACGTTACTAAATCCGTTGAAAATTTCGCCGCGTTTGTCGCGAAAAGCGCAAACGCTGTGAACGGGATCCGACCGGTGTTTTTATCGCGTGCGTACGGACGGCCGATTTCCTTCGTACACAACATTACCGTAACGATAGTAAAACGTGTGCGTCGGCGCTTCATATTTGATTACGCGTGTACGCTATAAACCGTGTAGGCGTACGACGCATTTCCCCGCGGTGACGGTGGCGCAAGAAAGCGTAAAACAGTAACACGTGAGCGAGCGAGTCCGATGTCGTTCGCTCGCGCGCACGCCGCACACGCGTACGGCATGGCCATGCGGTACAGCCGCGTACACGCCCGGGTACAGCGACCGAGCACGGATATGATTTTATCCGGGAGAAAGTGAAAATCGTGTAAAATAATATTATTCCGGCCTTTCCGGAGTGTGTAAACGTATCGCCGGAGATTCGGATGTCCACAGTGTCCTTGCTGTTTGCGCGGCCGTTCGTCGGAAGGGGCGTACTGTAATAACGTTTGGTAGGTAGTAATCGCGGGCGCGTACAGTGGTTGTGTCTACACGTATAATAATAATATGACATCATCGGAATCGCTGTGTGAAAGCAGCCGCCGCCGATGGAAACGAATAATAAACAATAATAAACACCCGTGATGAAAAAACGATTTTAGAGAAAGCGCTCGGTTGCGACACCCACGAGGACTAACCATACTGTTATTGCATAAACACGTAAGTACGTGCACATGCGTGTAATTCGAAAACGACATAGAAAAGATCCGAGACTGGAGCTGAACAAAACAGACATTTCCCGCCCAAAAGCCACCGAGTGCCCCGGCGAACCGTCAAATTAATTAAAATAGTTTTCTGTTTATATCTATATTGCGGACAGTACACTGTGGCTATAGAGCCGCGTAAAAACAATATTTAACCTTGTACTTTTTCAAGCATTTTTTTGTGAGAACCGAAAAAATTAACGGACTCTAAAAAAGAAAAATTTATAGTATTAATGATTTATACGTGAACCAATGTTTCTCCGTGCAACGGAGAAAATATCAAATTCAGTCTTTAAAAAAGGTCTATTTTTTTATTTTTATTTTTTTTTTTTTTTCCCCCATAGACTTTATTAAAAAGCCCGAGCTCAATACGGTCTGCGGAACGTTGTATATCAATTGAAATAAAAATGGCAGATATATTTTGCGAGCCATCCCTATTCCCGCAACGTAGTTTTCGTTCGTATAACTAACGTACCCCGAAACGGGTATCGGACAGCGTAGATCGATGCGAGTGTCTTATATACAAGGCGGTTATTAAAATGTTTAAAATATGGGAAACCGGTTCCGGGTCGTTTAAACACAAATTGTTATTATTATCGTGCAGCGCTTATCCTCCGGTATAACTTGGTTCAAACCGATTATATTTATGCGCGTTATCGTTCCGAATAAAAGGCGCGTAATTTGCTATTAATCGCAAATTATACAGTGTCTGTTCCCGGAAACATTTTACTTTGTAATAAAAATAATGTTGGCGGCGAACAAATCTAAACCGAACGAACTTTTTTATGCGCGCGGGCCCGGACGACGCGACGATTAGGGAATATTACAAATCGTACATCCGGTCCGATTCGACGGCGGCGGAGACGACTGCAGCAGTGTCCACTTCCAGCATGCACGTCGTATTACGTCAGCGGTTCTACTCCCCCCCCCATGTATTAGATTAGCCTATTATGAAGGCGACCGTTCTTTTTTTCTTTCTGGATTTAATAAATAGCCGTGTTTCCGTCTAAACGCGTTAAACTCCTATTGCGCGTACGTTTAAATCGAATATTTACGATTTATTGTTGCCGCCGAGAAAATGTCGGCTACGCAGCGCCGAGCCTCGCCCGGTAAACAAAGTTCGCTATCTTGTATAATACCCCATGTACCTGTGCTTGTATGCCTCTCGCGATAAACCGGTGGTAAGGAATCTACAACGGTTCCGGTCACACAATAAAACGTAAATAGGAAAAACGACGCGCGGCAAAATACAAATGTAAAATTCCATTAAGGGTATTGGAAGCGATTTTGGTTTTCTGTCTTTGTCTTACACGCGGGCGACAAAGGAATTTTGACGCGTTCTATTTCCCACGTACCGATTGGTCTAGTGATGGAGCGATAAGAATTCTGAACACAAGTTCGAATTTTTCCTCGACTTTAGTTGAATTCGGTTTTTTCATATTTTTGATTTTATCCTCCAAATCCCGAAAAACCCATAATAAAAAGGAATAGTTCAAAAAATGGAATATTTTAACGCTTTGGAGAAATGAAAATGAAAAGTGTGGGAAAGTCGATTTCAAGTAGACTTGACGAAAAATTAAAATCTGTTTTCAGAATTCGCTTCACTAGACCAACGCACAGACAAAATATCACCGCTCCCAATTGCCTTAAGACTTAATTTGTCGACGGATCCGAAATCGTTGTCTTCGGTTTTCGCCGGACGCAGAAATTAAACAATTATCGTTGAAATAATCATAAGATAATCCTGCTCGTTAAACATCTTTGCCGAACGCTGAGATGTTTCTTCGGTTTAATATACGCGTGTGTTCCACGTTACGTACAACGGTTTTATCGGAAACATTTACTGAAAAATGACAACAAAGTTGCCCACAATGTCGGTCATTTACGGAATTTTAGCGCAATACAATAATTTTTTTCGTCCGTTTGTTTTAGGCGTGGCGTGTGGCGACCACAACGGCGGAAAGTCGGGTGATATGGTGCGGGTGGTGCGCAGACGGCACCTGGACGAGGCGACGAAAACTGGCGAATCGAATGAGATCGACGATCAGCGGCCCGGCATGGCGCTGACCAGGGCCAAAGAATTCGAGCCGACCGCGGCGTGCCGAGGAGCCGGGTGCGGCGGTATGCAGCAAACGTTGAACGCAGAAACGGCCGCAGAAGCGGCAGCGTCCGACGATTCGAAACTCATCGCTCCCGACAGACCGGCGAGAACGGCGGCGGTGGCGGCGGCGGTACCCTCGTCGTTAGTTCAGGACGAGGAAACCTCGCAGTCACAATACTATTACGAATACGTGGGACCTACCAAAATCGGTCCGGGGGAAGCCAAGAGGGCTTCGTCGCGTGGCAGATCACTCGTACCGACGGAGCCCATGAATACTGCACGGCCGCAGCAGCAGCAACCGCAGGCGGATGCAACGGACCGCCAACAGACCCGTAAGGCGGGCAACAGCGACATGGAAGACATACTGGACGGTTTCGTTAAGTTGCTGAACGGACAACCGGGACAGGCGGGCTACCGGCAGCCGATTAAGACGCGCATCAATAACCGCGGCCCGCCCCGTATATCGGACGCCACGGTCGTCTTGGAACCGCCTGCGTTCGTGCCGATGCCGCAACACCAACAGCAGCAACAACAGCAGCAGCAGCAGCAACAACAACAACAGCAGCAGCAGCAACCGCAGATGCCGATGACGCAAAACAATAATAAACCGAAAGACCCACCGCCGTATCCGTTCGACGTGCCACAGCCGGCCGTCCGGCCTCTGCCACCCCAACCGCCGACCCTCGTCAAACCGTTCCTGACCGGTGTGCCGCTGCCCGAACAACTCGTTCCCACAAACGGTGACAGCGACGACTTTGGCCCGCCGTCATTGTACGACCACCATCAGTCGTCCAGGCGGCCGGTACACCCGACGGCCAGACCGCAACAGGAATACGACTTGTTCGCGCCCCACGAACACGTGCAGACCTCTTCCGAACGAGACTCGACCGACACCGTTACCGAGAAGTTCGCGTCGCCGCCGTCGCCATCCGCATCGGGACCGGGATGGTCGACATCGGAGAACCCGACTTCGACGACGGAAAAACCGACCACAACGGAAAAGCCGACCACCACGGAAAAACCGACAACGACGGAAAAAACGTCGCCGTCGCCCTCACAACCGGTCGCCGACATCAACGCCACCCGAGTGCTCGGCGTGCAAGTCTCGAAAATCGTTGACCATTTGACTTCGCCGGTGCCCATTGCCCACAACGATAACGCGACCGCTACGACGGCCACGACGACTACGACGTCGGCGTCGACGGCCAGCACCGAATGGATCGCCACAACGCCCGTGCGGCCAGCAGACACTACTACTTTGACGGGCGGCGAACACATCACGGGCGTGGGTTCGGCCGTCGTGCTGCTCGAACCGTCCACATCGGAGGAACCGCATCGGGACGAGGCGCACAAACCCACGGACAACAAACTGATGCCCGCCAAACCGACGGCGCCCATCAAGAAGACCCCGCAACAATCCGGTAATGATCCAATATCGTATTATTATAGGCGATTTTGGTTCGCTAATCGGTCACGATATCGCCGAATCGTTTTTTTTTTTTACCGGGCTGCATTACACAGCCAAAGACAACCAAATACAGTAAACGTAGTATTTTTTTTTTTTTTTTTATCATTTACTGATCCCGGTAACCCGGTTGTAGACAAGTAGTCGTCTAAACAATCGCAGTAAACAATATCGCTAAAACAGTTGGTTCCCGAGCTCACACGCCGCCGCATGTCGCATCGGTTCCCGTTTGGAAAAAGTACTTAACGAAAGTTAGCCGAATGGGTTCTCGTTTAACACGTACATTTCAATAATAAACACAATACATTTAGGTACAATGCGTAGTACATTTTTAAACTTTTATTTAACTTTTATCACACTACGGCGGGTATTTTACATTTTACATCAGGGTAATAAAATAATGCCATACCGGCGAATATAGAATGCAGAAATTTGTCTAGTATAAATTCTAAGTGGACAGTCCTAAGCCTGTAAGAATGGAAAGGGAAATGCGTCCAATGACTGTCTCATTGCGAACAGCGTGAACCGATTCGACCGGTAGTGGATACATGGCAAATTTAAACGGGAACCAGTCCGGCTCACCTACATAAAATTCCAAACGGGAACCGATTCGGATGCACCGCACTCGACTATCGGTAACCCGTAACTCGCTTAAGAACCCCGCGTCGCCAAAACACGCCTGTTTAACAGATACCACTTCCTGATCCGTTTGGAATCGGTTAGGTTAGGTTAGGTGGTTCCGCGTGGTTCGGAATCAACCGCCCGGTTGAACTCGGTATAATTATTATCCGACACCCCTGCAAAAATAAATATCGCAACAGTGGATGAATGTATACCGACGTTTCTAATGTACGTTTTATTTTTTTTTTCCCAAACAGAAGGGTTCCCGTATTATTCCCGTCCCGGCATCGTTTTGGACGATCCCGAATTCAAACCGCACGTCGGCGGACAACGACGACCCATCCAAGTACAAGTGCCCAGCAAAGGTGACGTGTTCGACATTATGGTTTCCGCGATCCAAGGACCGGGTGACAAACCGGGATTGCTCACACGTAAGTGCCGTAATAATATTCGTATCTAATATAGGTAATATCAACTCTTCACATTTATCCCGCACAAATGACGTCATCGCCTACCGCATCCTGTGTATCCAACGCCGTTTGTTTTTTGTTTTTTTTTATCTTCTCCCCGTATGCGCTCTCGTGTTACGTACAAGTAGTATGCATATAAATAACATTTCATTTCATTTAATAACCGTAATTTATGACGATTAATGATTTTATTTGAATACGAAACGTTTACCTTTTCTTTTCTTTTTTTTTAAATTTTATATTACATTTACAATTCTAAACTTTTGACCTTATTAAACATTATAGGCTGCTACGATTGTAATATTATGTAATTGAACTCAAATTAAAATAAGTCATATAAATTATATAACAGAATATTCACTAAATTGACGTGGAATTATGGGAATTAGCCACGATGGTCGATTTATAGAATATAGGATACTTTTGAAAATGTTGACGAATCGACTTTTTACTTTCTTTGAATTCGTGGTTTTCAATAATTTATTCAGAGTTTTAGAGAAAAGTCCCCTACATAATTACGTAGCAGACTGTAATCGCATTAGCTAATTGTTTATTATTATTACGGCTAATTGACTGTATATTTTTTTTTCTCTGGACTTTAAGCAATTAATACAAATCACGAATTTAATGAAAGTTTACATTACACCTAACTTTACGACTATACCTTAAAATTTTTCGAAAATAATAAAACTAAGTTATTTTATTTTTTTTTTAGTATTTTGTACTAAAACATAAATATTTATACAGTTCTTATCCCTTTATATACATACGGAATTGATTATGTTTTATACTTCGGAAGATATTGCAATGGGTTTATTATTGTCGTCGCGGGACACCCTGTTTAATTGTATCGAGATTTTTTTTTTTTATTTTCCAGTGTTTTGCCCGATCCCGCATTCCGTCTTTCATTTTTCCTCGCGCTTGCGCTGATATTAACGCCGTTATCTCATTTTTGTTTTAGCCGGCGAAATATCGCCGTCGGGCGTCGGCAAAGGAGAAGTGTCCGTAATAACATCGGCGGAACCGAACCAGCAGTTCGTGTCCATCGACGGCAAACGCACGTACATAAATCTGTTCGGTTCGGCGGAACCGACCGCCGTGGCGCCGCAGTCTATAAAGCCGACCAGCGCGGCTTCCGGGTAAGTGTTTCGGCGCAATTGTCTAATTGGTTTTTCACCGGCGAACGCGGGCGGTCAGACGGGAGACGGCGGCGCGCGCGTTTTTCTAAACGGTCGAAACCCGCAATCCGGACAGCGTTTCGGCTTCAATTATTTAGATACCGCGGACCGTGACTGCTGCACGGGCGGAGCGCCCGCCTTCATATACGCGCGACCGCGGCACAACATTGTGTTACGGCCGTGTACGCGCGCGCTCGCCTTGATAACAATCCGAGTATCACCGGAATAATAATCATCCGGGCGACTTTCTCTCGGGTCGGTCAACAAAATATTCATCTCCGAGGTGTGTGTGTGTGTGTGTGTGTGTGGTTTTTTTTTTTTCCTCAAAGTAGGTAATCCAAATCAAACGCAACAACATCGTAAACATCGTATGCTTATGGCTCGCCCGATGCGCAATACCGCGGTATACCGGTTGGCCGCGCATACGATTTACCGTTCGGGCGTATAACGCGATTTACGTCCGCGTCTGATTTTCACGCGAATAACGCTGATATAGTAACACATTGACGGACGCCACTCATTACCCGGGAAAACCGAGAAGCCACCACTCTACTAAAGTACCGCCCCAGTCACGTTTAATTTTAGAAAAAGCGGTATCATTGTAAATCGGAGCGAAATCGCGGATAAAAAAAAAAAAAAAAAAAAAATTGTCCGCGGGAAAAATAAATACCGTAATATTTTACTAACATATTTCGTACGTTTTTCCATTTTTCCTCTGTTCTTTTGCCCGTCTCTTCGGAAAACTCCTGGGAAAATCGAAAACACGACCTTGTTAAAGTGTCCCCCTACTCCGACTTTCTTTCAGGAAAAGGTTGTACACTTGTGAACCGGAGCAAGATTTCTGGTAAAAAAGTTGTCCACGGAAAAATAAAAATAAAAAAAATAAACATCTTTGTAAAACCATTCGCTCCACTCAGAATCTAAAATGTCACATTACGACATTGTGGCATTACTAAATATAACAGTCGAAATTACCGTTGCGAACGTCTGTCGATTCGATTATTTCAGACGTTAATTCGGATATACGTATACCGGCGAATGTCGCGTTTAAGAGGACGACACGCCCGCGTACGCTGTGCAGACTGTCTGCACACACGCGATACACGGTGGACGCCACTTATAAGACTCACGGTTCAGTCGCTTATTATTAGACTCGAAATCACTTGGAACGGTCCGGACGTATCCGAATACATTCTAATCCACTTAGCCGATAAGCAGTTGCGGTTATAACTGACTTTTAAGGGGAGGAGCCGAAAATGGCAAACGAAAAAAATCATAGGGCAACAATGCGCGCCTAGTATTGCTATAACAATTAATTAACATTGTCATTTGTCGATTTTGCAGATCGTATTCTGTCAGCCAAGTGCTACAGCCGAACGGTGGCGGTTCCGGGGCCCCGGGCCCGCCGACCGCCAGCAACGCGAAACCGTCGATCCCGGGTTGGAAACGGCCCACGCACCCGCCGGTAAGGATCGACACGTGCATCGTGGGCGACGACTCGACGTGCGACGCGGCACAGCACGAGAGATGTCGCACCGAGCTCGGCGTGTCGTCGTGTCTGTGCAGGCCCGGCTACAGTCGGCGAAAACACCGAGACCCGTGTCACCGTACGTGCAATACCTATTATTACCTGCCTAACGTGCGCATCGTTGGATTCCGAGCGTAGCTATAAGAATCAATAATACTGTGAACGATTTGTCGGGGCCCAGCCCTAAGCATGTTTTCAAGGGGCTCGGGCTCAAAAATACAAAAAAAAAATTATGAACAATCCAACGTGGGAGTATACATATATTTCAGCCAAGCTACGAGGAAAAGCTTGAAGCATTGATTATAAATTGGCATTTTTTTTTTTTTCTTTTTGGGATCCGGCTTTTAAACTACCGATTCCCACAGTTGAGTTGCACACACAGAGAAGACGAATTCACAATTTATTCACGATTCTTATTTGCTGCATAGGCACCCTCCCGCTGATAATTCCTAGGCGTGCCAATGATTGCGATAACTGATAACAGTTTTATTACCTGTGTAATATTGTTGAAAATCGCGGTCTTGGTCAATTTTTCACGACACTATACAAAACTACATACCTCTTGGGTATTATTATTTTTTTTTTTTGTACAATTTCCTACGTGTGTAAACTCAGGAAAATAAGTAAACAAAAGTAATATATAGATAAGTATTACTTCTTATGTTCCTTTAAAAAAAAAAAAAAAAAAAAAAAAAAAAAAACAAATGCATTACATCAAAAACTACGTGAAAAACGCCGTTACACGAATTTGGCGGTATCGCCGTGTGGTTTATTTGCAAAAAAAATTTTAAAAAATGCGATATTCTATTAGGCGATGTACTTTTCGATAATTGGTAACCGAAACAATGATTGTTGCCGCAATAGTACACGACGATGGTACGGGCGATACGGCCTTGTAGTTTTATACACCAATCATTTTTTTTTTTCTCATATTTTCGTAAATACCTATATAATATTATACGCGATGCGTTCAAATTACTCATTTTCGGAAACACCACTTTAGCGACACTGGCGGATAAAATTGTTAACATTATCGATGACATAGCGAAATTGTTTTTAAATTACTACGTATTATAATGTGGTGTGTAATTTGTATTGCTATTATTTTTTCTTTTCTTGTCTAGGAATCGTATCTATTGTTTTTTCATTGCGCGTCGATCGGCTGTACGACACAAAAATTACGTGGGCGGACAAATACAAAGACCCCGACAGCCAAGAGTACCAGCAACTCGAGCACGAAGCAGTTAGAGCGGTAAGTGCGATCAACTGCACAGCGGCAGCGGTCACATTTTTCCCACCCGATAAAACAATAATTTTTCATTTAAACACGGTTTATTATATACGGGACGTTTTTACATTGTCTACACGGTAATAACGATAAAATATGTTTGAAATTGTTTTAAAAAATATTCTTCGGCCACTATACGACCCCTTTTCAATCGAAAATAACTCACTATTTCAATATTCCTAAATAACTGTTAAACTCGAATCGAAACTTGTATGCTTTATATTTAAAAAATCCACAACGATTTAATGGTGCGCCAGTTCCAGCTTAATTCCAACAACTTAAAACCATTTGAAAGCAGAACTTTAAAAAAAATCCTATCAAGTCATTTATAGCGAATCGAATTTGCAAGCGCGACATATTTTTTCGCACGATAACGGTTCCATAGATAGATTTCCTCTTCATTACGTTACGACAAAATCGGTACTAAATTTTACCATGTGAGAGAGGACGAAGCGCGTGACTTGATATTTTCTCTGCTGCACGTAAAACAACAAATTGTCCCTATTGACAGTAATTTCCAAAAACGTATACCGACGGCGCAAGTCCAAAAGGTTTACGGTTTTAGATTAAACGTTGTTCGTCAATATTTGTAATTCAACTTATTTGAAAAATATAATATTATAACGAATTTGTCCGGCTTTTATCGGTCAAAAACGTTATTATATTCGACGGTAAAACTATTTCCTCCTGAATCTATTGAATATTTAAACACGTAAATTAGGAAGTACGTGAAATCGGTGTCCGTATACACGTGAATTAAAAATACACTGTGTTCACATGTTTAAAATAAAAAAAAAAACCGTAAAAACGTGTACACGCAAAACAGAGATATTAAGTGCCTTCAAACGTTACAACTTTCTTCCTAATATAAAGAGATAACAGCAGTAGTGGTAATTTTTTTTTTTTTATGTGAACTCGATATTCTTTTAGGGGTTTTTGGGCCCCTATTCATATGCAGCAATTGTTAATTGTATATTTCAAAAGACAAAAATAATATAAAATCTATTATATAATACTGTCTATTCGATTACAGCTAATATTTTTTATTATAATTAGAGACCGGATGTATATGATTCTAAAATCCTTAAAAAAAAAACTTGAAAAACCACGAAAATATTTAAAAAAGTAAAATGTGGATTTAAAAGTTCCCCCTCTAACGGATTTAACTTATAAATACAATTTTCTAATCTTACAAAAATGATTAATAAAAAGTTATTCTTCTTTGTAATACATACGATTTTATTTATAAAAAAAAATTACTTTGTGTGAATCATTTTTTTTTTTAGTTTTAGGAAATTTATATTAAAAAGTAAAAGCAACTATTGGAGAACTTTCAAACTCCTCTATTATTTTTGCATTTTTAAATGTTTTTAAGTGCTTTTTCGGGGATTTGTTGACGTCTTAAAACGTTTTTTTGTGGATTTCAAGGGAATATAAATCTGATTTCTAATATTTAAATAACTTTTGGCGATAATAATTGAGGACGATTTCATTTTCGTTGTATTATTATTATTATAAAAATTTTCAATACGAATTGAGTCCGCGACGGACGGTAAATATAATTATTTAAGCGCGCGTCGTCGGTTTGAACAGGTTTTGTCATTTTTATTGGTAAAAATTACGTCCGTTCGAATAATATGCGGCTGCAATAATCGAATTCGGTTTTCGGCACAAATAATCGTTTAAAACGCGAAACAAACGAACACAGGTTTTCTAAAACAAAATGCCATTGTTAAATTTGCACATTTTAAACGATCTACATCGCGGACGAATTACGAATAATTGGTGTGCGTGTCGACGGTATAATGACAATATTAAAACCGTCGCAGAGATAACGCGAATTCGATTCGGATCGAAATTTCCTCCGGGCGACATTTTCGTTAAAGCATAACACGGCCGGGGTAATAATAGAAAATGTGTTTTTGTGCGTGCGTATACAGATCGATTCCGCGTTTTCCATGACACCGTTCTCGGACACGTTCGTCGGCGTCAAGATCAACAACATTTACATGTCCAAAACCACGCCGGGCACGCCGGTCATGGTGAACGCCACTGTACAGCTGACGGAGAACGCGGAACACTTGCGATCGTCCGTCAAACAGGACGTGCAAAAGCAGTTGACGGGCGCGCTGCAGAGACGCAACAACAACGTGGGCGCCAGCGGCCTGTGGGTGGACTCGCCGGCCGGCGCGATATCGCAATTGCACGGTAACGATATAATAATATTATCTCGCGCGAAAAGCGTACTAATTATTTATCCATTCGAGTCGCCCGCGAATACCCGTCGATATCGTGGGCGTGCCTATCCGCCGGGGTATTTTCCACCCCGAAACGTTTCAGACATCCACGTTTTTCAACGGAAAGCCCCGTTAACATAGAACGTTGCGGTCAGAAAAAAATGTTCACGTTTTTCGCACGCGGTTTCCGGTTACTGCGGCCATAATAGTTCTCGGCGTTCTCTTATGGGTACCCGAAAAGCGTGCGCGAAAACTAGAAATACATTACGCGCAAGTGGGTGCGTTATCTCATCATTTTATTGTTATTTTTTCGAATTGCGGCATTCTTCCTTAGCGGGACAGATGACGTATAGTCGCGTGTAAAAAAAAAACAAAAAAAAGAAGCACGCCACTGCGGGTTTCCTAATTTCACCGTTTTCGAGACTATATTATTGTAGTCAATCTGCCTGAGATGGGCGGGCGGCCTGTCGGGAAATCGAGATTTTTCCCGGTAGGCCACACTTGACGAGCCCACCAACGGGATTCTTGGATTGCTCTTGATACGGTGATGATGTCGAAACTATCGATTTACCGGTTTAAATAATGGATTCAGCTGGTATGTTAGTTCATGTATAAGACAAAAAAAAAATCGCTATAATTTTTTTTATGTAGGGGCCGTTTTTACAATTTCCCGGAAGGAAAAAACTGCCCTATCCGCCACTGTAATCTGGCGAATTATTTTTTTAGAGGGGTTAGGAGGGTGTAACTTCGCGAAAATCTTTATAGACAACGTATGTATATAATTTAAATATATATATATATATATATATGTATAAAAAACACATTCGATTGATTTGCCGCAGTGTTTAACAAACTCGGCGGCCCGTATCGTCATTATATAATAATATTATGTGTTTTAACCCGTTTTGTGTTTTCCGCAAACAGATCTCGACGAATGCAGCAGTCCGGAACTGAACGACTGTCATCCGTTGGGCAAATGTACGAACTTGTTCGGCACGTTCCAGTGCGCGTGCCCAGACGGCTACAGGGACCCGTGGATAGGAAACGCTCAGCGCAGCGGCCGGACGTGCGAGACCTGCGACCCGGGCCAGTGTAACCTCCGAGGCGAGTGTTTCTTCCAGGCCGGACAGCCGGTGTGCAAGTGAGTAACGATACGTCCGAGGACAAAAACAGTGTAATAGTGTAGGCCTTGAGAAACGATTAAATGGTCTGACATAGCAATGCCGGGATGGTCGAATAGCACTCTGGTACAGGACGGAAAACAGTCGAACTGCATACGGGTCAAAAAAGGTTTTGAAAAACGAATTTCCCTTTCCACTCACATGTATAGGACTGTTAAGAACTGACAATGATTTTAAACATTAAAGTAGTTGAAAATTAGTTTTTTTTTTTTTTACATATGTGACGTTTTTTGAACTTGTCAAATTATTAATGTTATTATTCGAAAAAAATTGTTTTCTTGTAATGCCTAATCAGTAATCAAACAGATCATTCACGTACAAAAATGGGTTAAATGGGGAGGGGGGAAGGAGAGCGAGGGTCAAGCGCTGTAAATTCCTCGAATTCAATTGGTGGTTCCATGACGGCTATTTTATTTCTATATACTTATCAGCAATCGATTTTCGATAGTGAGGTCGCACTGCCGCGTATTATAATTACCTTGCCTAGCATGTCACGATCAGTGTAACTATACTATCCAGTACCAATAAACAATCGTTTATCTCGGTATCTTGTTTGAACACAAGTGTAATTCTGTATGGCCGGCCCACAAACGATTGTGCGGATCCCGTCTCCTATATTATCGAATCGCGATGAACCCGTACGCGCGACAAACCCGACCTTATCGCGACGGGGCGGTAAACATTAATACTGTTTTATCTCCATTATTATTATTATTATTATTATACAAACGCGAGTCGTAATATTATCCGTTTGCTGTACGTATACAATCGGAACTGGCGTTTTACGCGGATAGATCGCAGTTGAACGATACGGCCGTCGCCGTCGCAGACGCCTGTCGTGACGGGAAACCGCGCGAAGGAAGAAAACGCCGAGCGGGGAGAGGGCGGGGGTAAAAAATTGTAGGTCAGTGTGTGCGTACGGCTGCAGTACGAGTCGGCGACACGTGTCGCCAGCGTCCGCATTTCTTAATTATTGTCGTACAGACGCGAAACCGGAACCGAAATTCGTTACGTAATTCGTGCGAATTTGTAACAGCGACCCGGATATTTTTACAACCCCCACCTCCCAAGTGTGATCGAATCAATTTTCGGTCAGACGCGACGAGTTTGATGGTTATTCACGTATATAACCAACTATAATGTAGCTTGCGCGTTCTCACTTTTGCGCGTCAGTGTTGAAAAAGAGTTTTATTTTTTTTTATAAATATTAATATATCACGGATTATAAGAGGACAACGACAAATGGGAGTTATATGACGACACGAAACTCAACGTTACCAGTGTTTCGTTATCAGAAAAAAAAAAATGAAACGACATTGAACTTTTATTTTATAGCTTATAATAATTACTTGCTTTTATCACTATGGATTTTATTTTCGTTTTTACATTTATTTTTATTTACATTGTTGGTTTAGCTATTTAAATACACAATTATTAGATTACGTGATTTGCCGAAACTATAGGAATATACGAGTATTTATATTTATTTCTTTAGGTACAAATATTAAAATAAATAAAAAAACAATTCATTTGGCAAACATACTTAAAAGCAATTAATAAATTGAATACACGACTATTTTTGTTTTTTTTTTTTTTTAAATTTCTGCATCGAGAATAGATGCGTTAACTTTCAAAAGTTTTCTGCCTGTCTAAACATTTGAATTATCATTTAATGTTATTAACGGAATTTTTGTTGAAAAAGTTCATAAGTATATAATAGAAAAGAAATACTTAATTTTTAATAATCCGTGATTAACAAATTAATAATATAAAAAAAAAAAAAAAAAACAAAAACTCTTTTTCAACACTGACGCGCAGAAGTGACAACGCGCAAGCTGCATTATATAGTTAGTTATCGACGTAAATAACATCGAACTCGTCGCGTCTAGTGAGACGAAAAATTGATTTGATCACACTTGGGAGGAGGGGGTTGTACCTTCGTCGGGGTCGCTACTACAAAATTTGTGCGGATCATACAACGAATTCCCGGCACCGGTTTCGAGTGGTATTTCGTACGGCTCCGTTTTTAAACCGCCGTCGTCGTTGTCGTCGGTTTTTCCCTTTCTGTTCGCGTACACCGCGCCGCCGCCGCCAATTAGACGCCCACGAAAACGCATTCCGGCAACTGCGATATTATTTAAAATACCACAACCGCAGTGCACAACTACTACGGGCGTATAATATTATACCTGTCGTACTTACAAGCACATCGTTATAAATTATACAGTGAAGGTACACGCGTATGACGTACGCGAACGAGATTAACGGTACGCTATAAGAACACTAATTATAACGCCGACGTCCGTATTAAAATTTCAACGGCAGCAATTATTATCGCGTGTGTAACGATGGACTCGTTTCTTATGCTGCGCGCGGGTTTTACTGCGTTTAATGTAACTGCGTTTGTGTGGGATCAGAAACCTTGCCCCGACCGTCCGCATCGAGGGACGGTTTCTTCGTACACTGAATTTCGTCCGGTTGGTGCGCCGGGAAGGTATTATGTCTTTCCTTGTAAAGATGGTTCCTTGTTAGTTTCCTAAACAATATCGAGGGAAAACCGGAAAACCGGGAATATTTATGCGGCAACGGTTTATGTTATTTGTAACCGGGAGAAAAATTATCTCGGAGACCGGAAATTTTCACCGAACACTTGAAAATTAACACTTTCAAGCCGCAGCTCGAAGTGATGTTCAAACCGAGACCAAGCTTAATGCGTTCTCGGTTTTATCGCAAGTCTTGCTTTATTCGCAAAATTCATAAAAATAAACAAAATAGCTACATACCATACGGGTGATACGACTTTACATTACAATAATGGGCAAATAACTCATTAGCACAACGACGCACGGCGGTCTTTTTCGGCGATTGTGTGTCCGAAACCTTTTTCATCTGCTCGATCGTCACCATGATGGCGCAGTGCTGGACACGGGCTATCCGGGTCGTTAATAATTTACATTACTACACATCATATATACAGAATCTTAACGTATCCCGATTTCAATATCGTGTGATTTCTGCACCGTTGAATTCCAAGACTGTTGCGCGGTATTGGTCTTGGTATTGCTAGTGTCAGTAAACCATCTTACAACGGTCTTGTTCTCGCAGCAACACCAAGACCGTTATCGCATTCTATAGACGCGTGGTAACATTTTCAAAATATACTGGCGTTTTTTCGAGTAAAGAAATGTTTTTTTTTTTACAGGTGTTCCGGATCGTTTTACGGGGCGCAGTGCGAGATCGACGGGGAAGTACTGAGCGTAGCGGTCGGCTCGTCGGTGGCGGCCATCTCCATTATCGTGCTGACGCTCGTGTGCCTTTGCGCGTGGAGCCGCCGGTGGAACAAAGAACAAAAGGTCGGATCGCCGGTGTTCGGATACATGCCTACTGGCGGCAGTACGGTAAAAACGCCAGTAATCGGCGGCCCGCCGTACCAGGTGTCCATCGAGGACCGCATGCGATGGGCTCAGATTGCCGACGCTATGGCGCACGCCAACCATTACGCCGTAAGTAACCTTGTCTAACGACATTTAAAAAAAAAAAAAAACCCTTCCTTGGGTCGCCCCGGTGAGTACGCTTATACTAGTGACGTTATTTCGCGGCTTTTGGATATTGGCATCGCGAATAATCGGATACGTCTTATATAAATCGGCAAACGATAACGAATTATATTACGTATCAATATAGAACCGGAAACATAATGCCTCGTAAAACCCGCAAAAATGTCCTTGAAAGAAAAAAATACATATAAATCCAAAATAGCACGCCAATACAATTTACCAAAATACGAACCAAATAACATTAAAATCGAAACGAATGTTCTCGTTCTTCGAAAATATACACGAAACGAATTCGTAACAAAACGAGCGTCGCGAAAAACTTGGGATTGACAACGCTAAGTGTGTTTACACCTTCCCGCGACAATAAGCCTCGTAGTAAAAACATTACTGTATACAATGACAGAATTCCGGATTCGCCGCGTTATTTGCACTGGGCACGGGCACGATTTTTGTTCGTAATTTTCGTTGTCGAATCGAAAACGCTATACCGCGTCTGTCTTTCGGTTTTCAGCCCGAACCGGGAAACGGTACCATGCGGTCCAACATGTTCGGATATGCGGGCGCTCCGATGCCGTTGCCTAGGCTCCGGCCACCCGGCACCAGTACCATTTCGCACGCTTTCCGCACGCCCGAGTCGAGCACCAGCGAAGAAGAAGACCGGACCGACTTGCTAGGCCGAAGTTTTCAGACCTCCAGGCCGAAAAGCAGATCGTCCTTAGCCGTAAGCATCATAATAATAATAATAATAATAATTACGTGTATACGTTTTATTTCCGTATGGGACATAGTATTATTATCTCATAAATTTAATCCGAAACTCGCGGTAATTATGTATGATATTGTAATAATGTGTAATTAGAGTCGGGCGAGCATAGCAGGCTTTTTGAAATCGAAACGAGTATTAATTTATTTGAGCCGTACTCGAAAACTGCCGTGTTTTAAATTGTACACGTATCGGGGGTATCTATACTAGAATATTGCAGTCACTATCACAGACTGTTGGATATAATGATAGTATTGCAGATGGGTACCAATCGATAATGGGAAATGGGAGAACGGTAACATAATAACGTTATCATAATACTAAAAACAAAAAAAATAACAATATATTTTTGTAAATTCAAACCATCATCACCATGTTGTTCTTATATACATAGATATACTATGTATTTTAAATAAAACAAGTCTAATACTCAAGAATTCGAGAAAAGTCAAGTAAATATTTACAAAAACAAAAAAAAAAAATTATCCAGTCGAAATCGAGTAGGAACTGCAAGTCTAATATTTATATTCAGAAACAATTTTAAAACAAATTGATAATTGAATATATTTTATGCAAGTACGGTTTATATCAAACATCATGTTTTCTAACTTCTTTTTGTATAATGATTGCTTTATCGTTCGAAAAGTTGTTCTTAAACTTTCGTTTCGTTTCTTAAACTTTTTATTACTCGCGATCTAATTCTGTATTCCGAATATATTTGGTACGGTTGTTTGAAATATCGGACTAGTTTTAATCAATTAGTAAAAAAGTCGTTTTCAAAGACACTGAACATCTTATATTTTCGTGTTGATATTATTACGTAAAAATTCCTACATTGCGATTTGTTCACTTCCTCGAATACCCATCAGCAGGAAGTAAAAAACAATGTTATTGTTTTTTTTTTCATTGTTTAACTATTACTATAGTCGGTTGACAGTTGTTTAAGTGTTCTAATTTTTGCCATTTATACCTATATATGATAAAGTAAATCGACAGAACCAACATATTATATAGGGTATAGGTAGATTAAAAAAATTTAAAAAAAGCCCCATATTATATACCTTTAATAATATTGCTTCTATAAACTGCGAGGAGTAATAGTTGTGGAGACATAACTTCTTTATAAATTTGGATCCTAATAAAAATCCCGACACCGCGCTATAGTGGATACGTTTAAAAATTATAAAAACTTAAAACATACCACCGGTTATTGCTTAGAATCTGAATTTAGCCAAAAGAAATATGTTTTAATTTTACTAACATGGTTTTTTTTCTCGGTAAACACTTTTTCTGTTAGTAAAAATGCTCCAAATCGTAACCTTAAAAGATTTGTTCACCCGATAATATTTTATTAATTATAACAATTTTTTAGATTTCCGACTGTCTTTAACAACAAAAGAACTGATAAAAATGACAACGATAACTCAGTTTTATTTTTGTTGATTTTTAAGTCTTCCCCGAGCTATCTCAAACCAAACCTTTGAATTAATTCAGTCTTATTTTATATAATCGAAAACCTATTGGTTTTTAGTCCTGTGTATTTTCAAAATTCATAATTATATTATGTCTATGCACCAGACCTTACCGGTTTACCGATTCCCACTCAAAAACGTTTTTTTTATTGCAACGGTTTACTGTTCCTTTCAGTATACCTGTATACTGTTAACTAAATTACCCTACATACTATTTATAATATATACCGATTAGCGATTCCTTTCCAACTTAACACCTACAATAGTGGCCCATCCATTGTTTAAAAATATCGTATTTTTAATTTTTAACACACGTACCAACACAAGTAAGTAAAGTAGTTTAATAATATTTTAATTTAATAATTTAATAAATAATATTATTGCAATTTTGGCTATTTATCAAAAATATTTTAAAAACTGTCCCCAATATTAATTCGTTTGCACATTATAGATATACGAATTGATAATATCATTCACTACTTTCACTTCTGCGGACAAACATAGAGAATATTACGCCAAATCAGCGTAATAGAGTCCATTGCTATTTTGAACATAAATAATAATAACAATTTCGTTTTCTCAATTTGATTCGAATTATATTCAGCATATTAGGACGATTAAAATACTGAACGTAACAAAAGTCGAAACTATAAACACTTATAAAAATAAAATGGTGTGCATTTGTATTGCTCCCTTTTATTGTTCTCGGCTATAAGTTTAAGAATAATAATAATATATAATAATATTTTAAATTATTATCAATTTGCAATGGTTTTATAAAATGACTCTTGTACAAATTGGTCGGATAAATCAGAATTAGATGTAATTCGGATTATTAAATTTTTAAAGCGATTTGAGATTTTTAAAATGTATTATAATACATGACGTACTCGTATATATTATTATATTCTTATTTTATAGATATCTTATAGATATAATTATTTACCTACAATTTTAGTAAAACTGAAATAAAAACTTTATAAAAACTGAAAATTTGACATAAACTTGATTCATACTTAACTAGGTAGGTATACCTGTACTATATACTAAGACGTTTCCAATCCCTTCGTTCGTTTTAAAATTAGCCTTTTTTGATTGGTGCGAGATTTCTGGTAGAAAATATTAAACAGACACGAGAATAAAAATAAAAGAAGCACGCATATTAATAAATTACTATCAATACATTCATCTCTGGCTCAAAACCTAATACACTTTTAAATGTTTAATGCATATTAGAAATTGTACCAGAGTAACAAAATATATTTCACTAAATAGTAGGTATCTATAATTTTATTTGTAGATTTATTTCATTATAATTGTGAATTTGTCAATGATTTTAAATGTATAATAATAATAGCACATAATTTTGAGGATTGAGGCGAATGTCCAATAACGCTATCTTAGCTCTCTAGCGGCTATGTGTCTGTACTTCTTTCTAATTTTAATTTTTAATTTTGTTTTTTTATCGCGAAATTTTCAAAAACTCAATTACGCGAAACAATTTAACCAGGCAATTCTACCTGCGTATAATATTATTTAATTACGGTCAAAACTCAAACGTTACCTACTTTACACTATTGACGTAAGTAAGTATGTGGACCTATGTATACCGATGAAAACATTAATTAATTTTTAAATTAAATGTGTCCGACCAATATTGTTAGTTAATATAAAACCACCAAATAGTTATGTAACAAAAAACGTGGACATTACGATAAAACATAATAATGAAATAATAACTGCTCTCTTCGCTCGCTCGTAATATCCATGACTGATTGTTGAAAAAAGAACAAATAACTAATATATCAAACAACTATAACAAATAACAAATACACACCAATGTATTACCGGAGACAAAATATTTTACCACGATAACGGGATTTCGAACGGTAGAAATGCACGAAAATCAATGACAAAATGCAATTACTATGTCACGTTTCAGTTTTACAAAGGCGCGTTCGGAAACTTATGCATTAAATAACTAGGAGAGAATATGAAATATATACAGCGCGGAAATTTAATAATATACGAGTTTTACGTTCCCGGGAAATGCCCGCATTGTAACGCGTATGATAATAATAATAATAATACAATCGCATTAATTTCGTCTTCGCAGTACTGTTCGGATGAAAAAAAAATTACGCAAGTATACCTAAATATAATTTATTAAATTTGCTTTAAAATGTTTTTCGTACAGACACTGACCCGATGTCTCTTGTATAAGAAAATCATTAAAAATGCATACCCGCGAGCGTGTATATTATTATATTAAAACTTATACAAAAGTGTATAGGTATATAATGTAAATTTTAAACTATATTATACTCGTATTTTCGTTTATAATAAAATAATATAATATTTCGTCGAAGAAAATCTCTGAACTTAAAATTACCGATATGCACTATCGCATTATAATGAATATAGCTATTTTACGTTGTTATAATAATAATACAAATAATAATATTATGAACAACAATAACCATACAAGGTTATTATTATTATGTCTAAAGCACTTAAAACTTTAAGTACAATATATAAGTAAACCGTTATTAACCATAAAAAAAAAACATGATTTAAAAAAAAAAAAAAAATGATACAATACCATCTTATACAATAAGGCCTAATTTTTAACGCGTAAATAAAATCAATTTAGAATAATTTTTGTGTTTACCCCGGAAAAATTGCGTGAAATATTTCATTTCAAAATATATACCTATACTGTATATGTGATTCCCCCCTCCTCCGCGTGAAATCAATGAATTCATTCCTTATAAAAAATAATTAGGTTTGACGGTTGCGTCTTTTATTTATTTTTATTTTTTCATGTTCTTTAAACGACAAAATCATTTTTTCTGCAATAACTTCCGACAAAAGTTAATAAGTACACCGAATGACAGAACCTATTCGTCATCATAGAAATCACTGCGGCGGCGGCGGCTGTATATTTTCTATTATCGGTGCAATTGTAATAATAATATTAAATTATTTTTTTTTTACACGTATTATTAAACCGTAAGCGGCGTTGCACGTTTCGTGTAAACTGCGGCGTTTAATAATAAATTATTAAATGTCTGATATAGACATTATATAGACACTTACGATAAATTTTTTTTGGCACAGAACTCGAAAATGTTCAATTATTTTTGTCATTAGACATAAAACTCATCACAAGGCTGTACAAAAGACATATTTTAAAGGGGATGATATTTCTTTCTGCTTGTCAAATATTTGTTCGTCAATTTTCAATAATTTGTATATTTATATTATTTGGGTTTTTTTTTGGTATACCTTATTAATGTATGCCATCGAGATGCGTCGACTTTATTTACAGTAGTCATATACTTGTATAAAATAATATATAATCTATATAATCTACATTCGTTCTATCATTTTCTTTCTCTTCTATATAAAACATACACACGAGTGTCATCATTTTGATAATACTATTATAAAACAAATCGAACAATAAATTATGTTTGTAATGTTTATGTATTATTAACTAGCTGTCCCGCTCGACATTGCCCGTGTCAATTATATATATTTTTTTACCCATATTCCTATTTGATTTTGACCGTGTCAGTAATGAATAAAAACAAATAGGTGAAAAGTGGGTAGTCCACCTTTGGCAGACTAAAAGTGTTCTGCTATGACATTTGTTCATGATTTTAATATGAAAAATTTCGAAACCTCAAATTTTGTTTTTTTTTTTTTTGGAAAGGGACGGGTAGGAAGATTGGTGGGTTTTAAAGGAAGTGAAGCCTTTACTAAACTATCAGGGAGTGGGGACGCTCGACAGCGGGAAAGCGCGCGTGTGTACCGTATTATAGCTAATCGTCGCTCCGTCATCGCTAATCTTTTTGCCCTTCTCGTTGAGCGGCCAATATTGGATTTCCTTTTGGGCATTTTGTCAGACGAATAGCAATTGGAAAAAATATAAGTGAAAAACTGGCATGTAGTCGAGTCACGTGAGTGAATCTCTATCTACGCGCGAATAATAGCGTTAAAATTATTTATTATTTACGTATTATTTATTTCAAAAATTAAAATGTTTTATTAAATAATTTCGTAAAGACATTTTATAACAAAAAATGTTATTGCTTAATATAGCACATAAATCTTTATAATTATTTGTATTTATATTGATTACCATAGATACCTACAATTGGTATGTTTTAACCAATCTTTTTAATTTTTTTTTTGTCATTTCATCCGTGTTACTAAGATAATCCATAAAAATAAATAATTTAATAATATCTAAAAACCGAATTTGAGGAGATGATTTTTTATAGGAGACGGATATCAATAACTATAAACTTTCTCCGGACAACGCGGATCATTTTGAGAAAACCACGTAAATATTAATCCACTCGTTTTTGATATCAGCCGTTAAAAAGATTTACATTACGTTACAATTTCACACTTATATACTATACTCAAACCGAATCTAAAATAATCTGAAATCTCACATGGATTCTGTATTTTTCTCTGGCGACCAGATCTGAAAAATTATGTTTTTGACATAACGTTTTTTTTTTTTTTTTTTAAATAAAAATGAAACAGTTTTGTTTCTGTGGTTTCCTGTTTACAATCTATGCAAAAAAAAAGTAAAAATGTTTTTTTCTTTTAGTTTTCTGAGCTATTTAACTAATTTTTCTTTTCATAAAAACCTTTCTTAGGGTTAAACGAATATTTAAAAAAATAAACAGCCAAATCAGTTCAGCCATCCTCAAGTTTTGCGCTTACCAATGTTTTGAGCGATTTATTTTTATTTATATAGATAGTACCCATATAATGATAATTATAATAAAAATCATTTAATTATAATTTACAATTTGACATTCGATTCCCGTCGAAATTATTAATCCACTCACACGTATTTATTGATTTACCAGAATATATACCGATGGTTAATTCGATACGACAAATCGAATACATTTTTTTGATGCTTATTAAGTTTTTATGTTTAACTAAACGCGAATTAGATTGATGCGCATTAGCGATTCCATGATGTATGCGTGGTACCTATGTATAATATGACCGCGTCTAAATCATTTGATAATTGGTATTTTTTTTTTTTTCTGTCCACGTACAGAATCAGAGTGGAATTTACTACGACGTGGACTACGAACAACAACAGGGTGAAACGACGTTCTCGCCCGGTTGCATTCCGCTGAGCACGTACACGATTGGCAGCCGCTCAAACTACTACAGATGATCATATTATCGCGTTTGGCGCGACGACAACGGCCAGGACGAGAACCATTGCAGACGTCTACGGCGACGAATATTACAATATAAAACAACGATAGTATTCGAAATATTATAAACGATTTACAGACTGAGGACACAAAACATTTTATTTACTATAAATACACTACATAATATATATTATAATAATTATTACTATATTTACAATGTACACTCCTATAATGCCATTAAAAAAAAAAAAAAAAAAAACAACGAATTCTCATACGCTATATTATTATTATATTCGTGTATTACACGTGTACGCGGTGTACGATCGTTCAAAAACCTCAAATATTATATTATAACAATAACTGTGTGAAAATTCGATAAAATTATTATTATAATAGGTATCCGATCTGCGGGTCGAATTTTACGCGACTCCCGGACGTGACATCGCCGATCCGAGTGATATCCGCGCGGCTCGGTAATGCCACTCCGAGAACGGTTACTATTGTACCAAGTGTATTTACGTGTTGCGATATTATTACACAGAGTGTAACTGCAGGATTCGACGATTTCCGATGTAAGGCGTATAGGAAAATGTCAAATCCTGCAGATATCATTATTATAATATTGTATATTATGACTCTAGGCGCGGATACACAATTCAACGACCATACACGTAAAACCAAATGCACGTGTGTGTGTATGTGTGTGCGCGTGTACGTGTCTTTTTTTTTTTAAAATTTAAATTAATTTAATTTACATCAGTCAACGTAATAAAAATAGGTATATCTCCACGTAAAGTGTATAGTATTGTTTATAATATATTTAATGATAATTTGTATGTACATAAAAAAAAATATAGATACATAATAATATAGGTATACGAATAAGTAAAATATTATGTAGAATATAATAGGTAATTTGAAAAAGTGTTGGAAAGATCTATACAAAACGCGATCGTTTATATTAACATAATACGGACATATAAGTATGTCCAATAATACTATGTACTTGAACAATTTTTTTCGAGGGGGTCCAATCAGTTACATATCACATTACTCGTATAATAGAACGCAAATTAACCACCTATTTAAATAAAAAATAAAAACTTTATTTAGAACGATAACTCAAGATTTCCTGAAAATTCGAAGAGGCCGCCGCCCCGAATACGCCACTGTACTTAGGGGTTCGTACCTGCTTTATATTATAGTTCATACCGACGGTTAAGAGAGGTCGTCGTTCTACACGTGTATTTGTCGTCTCTGTCTAACAAACTCGTACAGCATACCAAATTTACAATAGGCAGAACCAATTCCGGGCGTTTAGTTTTCATATACTAGAATTAATTGACCTATTATCAAACTCAAAGACTGTGTTGTTTGTGTTTACACGGCGAGTTTGTCCGATATTTTAGTTTTTAAGCGGGATAAAGCATTTTTAAATTGTAATATTTCACTAGCTCGTCTTATAACTCACTTAAAAATCAAAATAACTAAAAATACCAACTTTTCATAATTCCTTTTAAATTTGATAATATAACGCAATTCACTGTATTATTGAAACCAACAGCCCAAAATCGGTTCTGATGCCATTTCGTTTGCTATTGGACGTAGTGTACAATTAGTAATATATTTTAATTATTTTAAGTAGGTACTTAAAATTTTCGTAATGCTCAGCGTTCCCGAAAAGTTAAAATATCACCAAATTTGTATTGGTAAAGTAATAACTGAAGGCGTATAATATTACACACATAAAGTTAAACTATTTGGCTAATTGTATGACTTACACGAAAACGTCTGTATAATATACCTAATTAATTTTACTAACGATTCATATTTTTCGCTGTACGAGTATAGGTATGTGTTACGCAGAATATTATGTTTGTCAGTGGTTATTTTTTGTTATAATTATTATTTTCCATTATCGTACGTATAATTATTATAAAAGGTTGTATCTTGGGGATAAAAAATCCCCACAAAACGAATATCCAAACTTTCAAGAAACGTTGCGTGTCGTTGTACAATATTATTATTACCAGCATGGGTAGGGTTAAGACGTTTATGAACTAAAACATGATTACATATTAAATATTATGTACACACAGTACACTAAATTTGAAAAAAGGAATCCTACGATACATATTAAATATATTGTATACATAATATATCAGTGGCTTGATTCTAAAAAGGCAATCTCACGTTTTGACCTAACCTAGTCATAGAGGCCAATATAATATACATTTTGATACGTTTTTTCTTGTATTAAAACGGCGTGTCTAAAGCAGAAGTGGTAACTGAGATACCAATTAAATTTGATACTTTGAAAAATAAAATGTCTAAAATAATTTTGATTTCAAAACCTAAAAAAAGTTTAAATATTACCGAAAGTTGTAAAACTGAGATTGGCCCTTTTAGAACATATTATATTATAATAATTTTGCAATGCATATTTTGCTCACTTGTCATTCATATTCAGCAATTGTATTCATTGTTTACTGCATTTAGCATCCCAAACTAAATCATGTAACACTAAATGTATTTTATAAATACCTACACCATCAAGAGAAACGGCTCAAGGGAAATCTATATACTGCAACAGTGCAATAATTTCACTGATGTGTATTTACACTGCGTATAATAGTCTTGAACACGGGTGCCATAAATGTTTCCCCCCCCTTTTTTTTTGTTTAGGTTCGAAAATGTCACGTTTCTTTTATGATATTATTATTCCATTATGGTATAACATTATGTATAATGATTACAATTAGGTATCTATTTTTTTTATGATATATTTATAAAACTTTCACTAATATACTCGTATTATTAAATGTATATGTACAGTCGAATTTATATTTCGGTGATGATACTATGTTATTAAAATTTCGAGTGTAAACATAATATTAGTATATTATAGATTTGTGTAGATTTTTCTAGCACTTGATTGTTTTTTTTTTTTTAATTTATTTATATATACATTTATTATACATAATTTATTATAATACAACGATTTAATGTTATGTTTGTTTTATTGTAAATTTGTCTGAACTATAAACACTATGATGCGTATAGATAATATAATATAATCGTATTTGTTGCGTACATGACGCATACACCTGTTAGAACCTTATTATACCAGGGCCACCAGTAAGGAAACCTTACGGGACCCGAGAGTTGCGGTTTTTTGTGTATAACCTTAAACCCCCTTCCTGAAATATTTTTTTATAAATACACCTGAATGGATAAATGTTAAATAGTTAGATAGGTATGCCAATAATTAAGCCCAGATTAAGGGGGGGAGGGAAGCCACGGCCCCCGGGCCTCGATAGTTTGAATTAATTTAGGGGCCTCAGATTTTTCTATTACTTTTTTTGTTATAGACATAAATCACCTAAAACAAATCGTATGAAACGTCACATATGTACAAAAGTATATCTATTATAATAGATAGGTATATATAATAACAATATATACATTTTTTTGTTCTTACAAGGGCCTCATTAAAAACTTTGGACCCTTGGCCTCAAAATTTCTTAATCTGGGCTTGCCAATAATAAATTGTATATTTTGTTTTGTAGATTACAATGTGGGAATTTGTGTGTATATATTATTATTATATATATTAACGAATATAGCAGGATATTTATGTACCAAAATGTACCCTCAACTTTACTTCCACACTGTATTACTAAGTCGGAAAATCGAAATATTTGATAATGGAATAACCTCGTGAAAGCTTTTAAGTTTAAATCTATTAATTGAATGTATTAACTGAAATATAAAATAGTAACGATTGCGTTCTTGTTGAAAATTTCAATCCTCCGCGTAGTTACTATGATTACACCAAAAAACATTTCGTTAAACTCAGTGTACAAAAGAGAAAAAAAAATCATGTACATGATTGTAGTGACATTACATTTAGTAATGATTCAACTTTAAAAAGACGTAATATAATATGGAAATTGGGTAATATGCCATTTTATAATATTACGAATACTTTTAACGACAAATAATATTGATTGTAAAGTTCAACACTTAGTCAACATAATGTTTACTTGGCAAAACATGTAAGTAAATATAACCACTGTTAGCATTTTTTAATTTGAGCTGTTAGGTTTATATTAATTAATCTATTTTGTTTTTCTTGTTATTATTCGTTTAGTAATTTTTGTATGTATCCTTGGTAACTCCCTTTTTAAGTCACTACAATTGTAGTTACCGATATTGTATTTTGAATGCCATTTTTGTCTTATACAGAAATATAAGGTTTTACAATTTGGTAAATTATGTCGTGCACGTGTTTCGTCGTGATAACGTTATTGTTATGTGCCGATGCCGTATTCTCCGATGCCATCGCCGAACAAAACGCTGCAAATTTCGGCACCACGCTGTACACCAAATCGGATGTCGAGAAACATTGGACCGACACCGAACTAATCGCACTCCAATGTAGAATGTTGATTGGATGGCTCATTCCGACGAAAATACCGGACAACGGTGAAACGTTTCTGGCATATTTCGATTTAATAAAAAACCACACCACTAAAATCAATTCACTGGCCATCCGGAAACGTACGATGATAATAATCGTGGACGCAATCGGTGGATATATGCACACCAAAATGTTGCCTCAATTCAAACTCTTCTACTATGACGGAAAAATGAAATATTCAACAATGAAACGATTACACGACCTGTTAAAAGCTATCAAGTAAAAGTTAATTCGCTGACAGACGCGTAATAATTAGAGCTGGAACTTAATGACCTAGAAATCTTTAAATTTAAAAAATACTTAAAAAAAATTATTAAATAACTCAACAACATCAAAAAATAACATGAAAAATTAATATTTTATTGAAATTAAAAAAAAAGAGCCGATACAGGGGATAGGAGCGGCCTCTGTTGGAGGTGAGAAGTTGGGAAGATAGGTTATTTCATTTACATCTGTAAGCAACGATAAACCATTGCTTGACGAAAGACGATTCCGAGCGCAGTTCGGTAATACATAATTTGAAGTGCCATCATTTTTTTTGCAATTTTCGTTTAAATTTAATTTCCAAACACTTATTAAAAAAAAAAAGTCATCCGGTAAAATTCTCTGCGTGTATTTATAACAGAATTAAAGCAAAAAAACTTTCAAAAATTAAAATTCTTTAAAAGCTCAAAAGTTTCAGCGATGATACCGTTAGAAAAGTCAGCCCACTCAATTCTGATTTGACTATCGTTTTTAAATCAGCAATATACATATTACGTTGAAAAAAAAAAATTTAAAAATTAGATATGTCCCACATAATTTTTACTCAAACGATTTTCGTCAAAATTTGATATTACAATTAATTTATAAAAAAAAATACTACATCAAACTGATTTTTTTTTTTTTTTACCGCTAAGCAAGACTCTTAATGAACCTCCTCTTAAATTTTTAATTAGTAATCTTATTACTTTAGGATTTTAAGATAAAGATTACTAATCAACCAAACCTAACCTTACTACTTGACGTCGTGTCGCACAGGCACGTTTTGGGCACGGACGGCCGAGGTTGGGCGAAACCGACGGCGGGCATACGGGACCCACCCTATCCGGAGGCGGATGACCGATTGGTTAGGTTTTTCGTACCAACCGAGGAGACGAAATATTGCGGTGGCGTGGACGCGGGTCCGTACGTGCCGCCGGCAAACGACAACGGGACCGGCCGCGAATCGGCACCGCCGTTATTCGATGAAAACACACGACCGCATTCACTGGTGATACCGTGGCAGCCACTCCGGCCGGTGTTGTACTCGGTCCGGGACGCCAGTTGCCACCGGGCACTTTTCGATTACTGCGTCCGGTCCGTTTACAGCGGCCGGCACGATCACGAAGCCGTACGCCGTCACGTCGGTCAGTGGCTGGATGCCGCGGTAGGGCCACTCGTAACGCCCGAAGCCGCCACCGGTCGTTGGTATCCGGCCCTGTGGGGCGCGTCCGTGGCCATCCGACACGTGGCCGGACCACCGGTAGACCACAATCCGGAACGCCGGACAAACCCGAACGACGACTACTACCTCCGAACCGCTCCGGACTTCTATTTCTATGCGGCCGTAGTGTTCGCTCACACGGTCGTATTCTGGTTGATCTCGAAGGTGGCCACGTTCATCTGTCGGCCAACGGTCGAGAAACCGACCGAAATCGTCTAAAGCGATCGGCATACGAAAAAAATGCGTCATCGTTACGCGGCGCACCGCATTCAAAGGATGTTCAAACGTATTTTTTTGCTCGATATCTTCCCCGAGGCCGTGAAATCAAAAAAGAAGAGTCTCAGTTGAGGCAATATTTTGGCGTGTTAATATCCACCGATCGCGTCCACGATCATTCATTATCACCGTGCATTTCCCGAAGGCCAACCAATTGATTTTTAGTGGTTAAAATACGCCAGAAACGTTCCGCCGTTGTCCGGTATTTTCATCGGAATCAGCGATTCGACCAACATTCTTCACTGGAGTTTGAGACGTCCCGGTGCGGTCGGCTTTGTTTCTGAGAACCGTCCAGCTGACTACCCGCCTAGGAGCAAGGTCGCCACCTAGGCGAACCTAGAACCCGAGGTCCGAGAACCGGAGTCCTAGGATTTTTTTTGTTAGGAGGGAATAGGGAAAATTACATTTATCTAAATAAATAAACACATGTTTTTATTTTGGGGAAAATAAAGAATTATTTTCTTAACTCATTAATCATCAAATAAAAGTAAAGTTACGTTGACGTGACAGTAAAGCCCATGAGCATAAAAACTGTCAACTGAGTGAAAGCGAATAGTAGGTGCGATTTTACATCGGTATATATTCATAAAATGATGGACACATGTATCCAAACAACACATATTTAAAATACATATATATATATTAACCGGGGCGTCGACCAGTCTTAAAAATTGTCGTCCGGACGCAGGTAGTGATATAACGGGAAGCGCGCAGGCCGGGGGACTCATGAATAGTTATTGACAATGACGAATTCACATCCACGTGGAATTTTCGTGGACACGGTATGTATTCGGGAGACCCCAGCAGGGATGTGAGGTTGCAAAGTCACATAAATTATAACCGGGAATGGTAGCTGAACGCTCTTATTCCAAGTTGGCTGGTCCGTGGTTGTGGTGGCCCAACGGGTTAACCTGCGGGGTGCGTCCGAATATGGATCGCGAGGTGGAGAAGATCGATCGATATTATATATATATATTTTTTAGATACGCACACACACGTGGTTGCAAAACTTAGTGCTTAATGGGAATAAAAATAAAAATAAGAAACAAAATGCCGGGGGGTTTTGGCCTATCGCACATAGTATGTGGAACGCGGGAATTATTACAATTAGACGGACACGCAAACCTAATAGACGCTGGTTGATCGCCGTAGGTATAACGGAAGTGTTTAACATAACCTATCATATCGTATACGAATTTAACATACGAGAGAAAAAGAAAAGAAAAAACATTTTTGATAAAAATATTTATACGGGGACCTTAATTCAACTACCTTAAAACTAACTAACTAACGGGGTATCGGTCAATTAATATAAATCACATACCATTCATCTCGCCCGAAGATTTCCGCCTAGCGGACCAGATCGGGACTCACTTTTCATCGGTTCGTTTGAAGCACCATCGGGAAACGTGCCAAGGTACACGACCTTTTCTTAATGGCAAAATATGTGAATCCGTGCAATACGGGAGTGTTTTGGTAATGAAAAAAAAAAAAAACTTTATCGAAAGACCGTCCGGCGACAAAATCTCGAGACGAATTCTAGACACGAACAAGGAAAGGAACGAACAAAAAAGTGAAACTGGGTAGCGGAGCGTGGAGACGTTCGTGACACACGTCGCCGCGGGCCGACGTTTTTGGCGATAAGGGGAAACGTTTTTTGGCGATAAGGGGAAACGTGATCTGATTGGCCGTTAACCCGTAGCCAAGAATATGGTATTATTGTGAACTGCAAAAGATTGCGATCGCATAAACCTTTGCGCGGGGGGGGGGGAGGAATCATGATGACATAACATATCCGTCGACGCAGGCGTAATCTATTAACCGGTCGACCATATCGATTGTACGTATGCTTTGTTAACGGAAAATGATCGTTTTCGGACGTTACGAGTTCGATCGGTTCGGTGTAGGATCAATGTTTCTTGACGTCTGCAGCGTTCCGTTGGACGAGGGCGCATTATAATTATCGATCCATCGGTACCATTATTATTATATTATGAACACCATGCTAAAATCGTTAATTTAATATAATGTATAAATGTGAATTCCCGCATCGTTAATACATACGATTTGAATTGAATTTGATGTACAATTATTACTTAGGAAAACGTGTGAATTCGAGCATCGTAATCCGCAGTACAACATGTACGATTATTAATTATTGGCGTAGGTACATGACTGTTTAATATTTATCAATTTATATAGGTATCAACAGGCGCGGACCAGTAAAAAAGGGCAGAGAGGATAGGCTAGGTACGCAATTTTAGGACAAATATCAACAATTATTTGAACAATAAAGCAAATTTAAAAAAACTAATATACTCTGTACAATAGGCGGGTAATTTTTGTACGTTGGGAACGTCGGGAAAATACCTATATATGAAGTACCCAGTTTAGTTTATATCCGTACGCAATGATAAATCAGTACAAACGAAAAACGACTATGAAGCAAGTTCGGGTCAACAAGTATCGACAAAGTTAAATTGAAAACTGTACATTATTTTATAACCACAAAATAAATTATAATCGTTCGTGTTTGAACGAATTTCAGTGAAATATTGTGCGACGCGACACCGTAATACGTGTCGATATCCACTGTCCGGTAGGTGTATGCTGGTGATGTATACTGTGTAGTATGGTAGGGGCCCCCGCCGGATTCACGTACCTACCCGCTGTGTTTTTCCGTTTTCGCACGTGTCAACCATTTGTCAATAAAATTCCGGTTTTCTTTTTATTATGCTCAGAATATGCTTTTACGGGGTTAATTCTCCTACCTCGTAGAGATGTCCGATGTCGATGTATTTTTATTTTTGTTGGAAACTGGTCAACTTGCTACAGGGCGTCTTGGACTTCAATTTTTCAATATGTAACCAAAAATATTAAAATATCGGTCATATACACACTGTAAATTTAGCGATTGCAAACATAATTTCAAGAATCCAAGTCCAATGCGCCATGTAAGTTGTTATCTTCTTAAAAAAAAATGATCGAAATTGATCTGCTCTACGCGGCAGAAGAGTTAACCCCATAAAGCATATATTTGGGGAAAAAAACAGGTCACGCGCAGTACCCTTAATACTTAAGTTCATCTTTATTCTTTATTAATAACTGCATTAATATTTATAGGAACAAAAAAAAATGTGTTGTTTTTATTTTATACTAAATGTAAGAAAATTCACAAAGTTAATGTGATTTGTTAATTTGTAACAAGTTTAAATAGGTACTAATTAAAATTTAAAATATACAGTATTATCACTATTATAATAAACTTAAAAGAAAAAATATTTAGCTTTACATTAAGCTTTTTCATTATTAAAATTTACATGTTTGATTCATTTTATAAGTTTAAATATGTGGGGTACCTATTAAATATTTAACATATAACTCGTTTTATAAGCGTATACTACCAACACTGATTTTTTATTCATTATTATTAACTAAATATGAATTAATTGCAATAAGATTAATATTGTGATCATTATTACATACATACCTATTACTAATTTAAAAAATAAATATATTCATAAAAGATGTTAGATGATAGAATTAAAATTTTTTTAAAATATATATTAAATTCCTATTCGCTCCGAAAAAAGATAATCATTGTGTGTGGGTGAGTCACTGTTGAAAGTAGTTGGGAAGGTAGAGGAAAAATTTAATGTATATCTAAATGCAACACTTAACCATTACTAATAAAAAACGATTCTAAGCAGAGTTTGATTAACATTATTGCTTATCTACAATATATATGTCATATTTTGTAAATGGGTTATGAAAAAAAACAAGACAATTTTATATTCTCAAAACAAATTATAAAATTTTATTTTTAAAATATATTATCCCATGTATTTTTTTTCATCATAATTATTTTGGGTTGTATTTACCTAACTTAACTAATTCACAAATTATATTTTTATAGTTTTGAACAAATTCAGGTGGTAGTCCAATTAAATAAAAAAAATATATATTTATAAAGACCACACTAATGAATACAAATATTAAACTAATCATTTCATCAGTTTCAAGTTTTTTTTTTTTTACACAAAAACAAAACTTGAAAATGGTAATTTAATTTGCTAAAAAATATACAATAATAATAATTCTATAGTATTTAGAAAATATAACGAATTTAGAGATTTAAAAATAATTTATTATATAATAATTTTTACAATAATTTACTATTTAGAGATCTGTGTAAACAGTACATTACTATCCAATTAATACATAGTACAATAGTTTACTTCAGCCATTTATATAAAAAATGAGCTCTCATATGCAATATTAATGTTATATCTAAACAGTACAAACAATAATTGTAAACATTCAAACATTAAATAATATATAAACTTACTACTACTAAAAAAAAAAAAAAAACAATTTAATTTAAACATAGATATTTTAAGACTAAAATCAAAACTAAATGAATATTATAAGACCAACAATTTAAAACACTAAATAACTAAACTAATGTAATGATCTATCTATTGATTAACCTTATTCATTGAGTTTAGAACATAATTTAACTGTTGGTAAAAAAAATATAGACAATATTAACAAATGGCATACCATACAATTTAAATGAATAGTTAACTAAGCTGCAATAATAACTTCTGAATCATTGGAATCTATATCTAACTTAGAACAATAGTCTGATGTAGAAGAAACTGACCGATTTGGTTGGTCTTCAGTGTTTATATTAGGTGACAATTTATTTATATCTAGAAACATTGCAAAATCGTCAATTTGTTTACTAAGAACTATAGTTTTAATGGGTGAACACTTCATTTCTAAGTTTAAACCAAATTTTTCAAACTTAAAATCAGATTTTGGCGTATTATCTGAAAATAATACTTTTTTAACATCGGCTACAGATTTTTTTTTCGTTACAACATTATCTTTATTTTTTATATCATTTTTCGGAGAAGTCGATTTCAATTTTAAAACAGTACTTTTATGCTTCATTGCCATAGTACGCATTGCTTCACTAGTACTAGTTTTTCCTTCAGTATTTGGTTGCTGTAACCATTGTTTAGAACACACTTTAAATAATTGTTGAAGAAAAGATCGAAACTGCTTGTGATGACTATCAATACCACACGTTTTTAACACTTCAGAAACAGCCCATAATAATTTCTGAAAAAATGTATATGCTTAGAACAATATAAAGTTATTTATCAAATTGTGAGCAAAATTAGTAACATTATGTAACATGCATACCTGTTTATGAAGTTTACTCAGTTCTTTTGGATTTGATTTTGTTGTATTAAACAAATTTTTTGGAGTTGCTTTTTCTGAATTACTAAAAAATTTCAGTGCTCTTTGACATTTTTTAATTGGTTCTGTTCTAGGAATATTGTTTTTTCGCTCTTCTTGTAGTTCATCTTTAAATAACTGTGTACTCCTAGATACAGCACTCCATCTATTAAATAAAATATAAATACTATTTATATGGTAGGATGAGTTTAGTTAACTAGTGGAATATGGAGTATTTTATATTTATATAGAAAATAGATAACATTCTAAAATAATTACATCTACATATATATTTTAAAATCGAATTTCAGTAAATGGACTCAGAAAGAAAGATATAGTACTGTTTTCTTAAAAATTATTTATTGTTTAGTCAGTAAAAATTATCGATCATATTTCTCTAACAATTTTATTTTTACATGTAAAACTTCAAAATTTATTTGTTTCATAATTTTTCTATTATTTTAATTATTTTTACTAGAAACAGTGAATAATTTAAAAACAAAAAAATAAATAAATACAAGCAAAGTTCTAATTCTAAAGTTTACTTAATATTTGATTTGTAATAATACAATGAGATGATTAATATCTGATATGATAAATTATTAATCCAAAACAAAGAGATAGTTTAAACACTGTGTTTATTGTTTGAATAAACATAATAATACAAATATATATACTAATAAAAAATCATAACAAATTGGTAAGAAAAAAATTATTTTTGGAATTGATTGAACCACATCTTTATAATAGTACCAACTAATGAATCAATAAGTGAATAAAATATAATGAAATTTAATATTCCTTAAGGAACTGTTTTAGGTCCCACACTATTCTGAATTTATATTTAAACAATTTACTTGACCTAAACATAGATGGAAACATACTATCATTTGCCAATGATACAGTTTTATTTTCAATGACCATAGTTGGAATGAAATAGGGACCAATGCAAATTTAAGATTTCCCAGTATTAATTAATAATATCTATTAAAAAGAAAAAATAGTTTATCATGAAATTATAGTAAATCAGTAGTAAAATTACACTGAAATATTTTATACTAGAAAAATAAAAAATTGATTACTGTCAGAAAATGTGTAGAGAAATAAATAGAGTAAGATCTTATAAATTATACATACAATATGATAAACTATAAATAATCAAAATAAATAAAATAAGAATATATTTGAATAATAACCATAAATAATAAGAATTTAACCTGTAATCATTTGAGATAGGTAAAACATTTTAATTTACTATGCGTAAATGGTCACAGGGTAAAGATGTTTATTATCTCCGGAAATATTCAAGGGGTATATCATCGTGGGACAACCTATATAAAAATATATATATGTATGCACAGTCAGCTTTTCATATGGAGAATTTAAATTTATTTTATAATTTTCATACCTCTATTAGAAATTTAATTATTTAGTTTTTTGTGCCTCTTGAAGAATTTTTAAATACCTGATTTCTGTCTTATGTTTATAGAAAAATAAAATGTATTGAACAAATCACTAAGTAATATCATATTAATAATAATTTAGGATTGCAATAAAGAGATTAATCAATTTATTATTAGTAATAGTGTATTTTCATTGTATTTATGAATGTGTTATTATTGGTATTATTTTTATTATTATTAGCTTAACTATCATTGTTATTGTTTATTTTACTGTTACTTTTCACTTTAGTGTTTCATAATAGTTTTATTAATTACTAGTTGATTAGTTTAACTCCCTACTCCCACTACAAGCATTGCTTACAAAGCATAAGTATCAACATGATGCATATCATAATATTATCAATTATACTGTATATTAAAAATGTTTATTAAATAATAATATACATGTTAAACATTGATACTATTATTGTTTAAATTGATGCTGCTTATTACACATGTACAGGAATACATGTTTCCACCATGTGAAATTAATAATGATATGTTCTCGACCTGTAATTCAGAATTCAAAAATACCCATGCATGAAAATATGAATACACATAAATTCTAAGAATTTAAAATGTGAATTTATGTATCAAGTAACAATACATGAATATCCAAAATAAATATTTGTAACATTGTATACACATTGGTACGATAAAACATTTGATCTCATTGAGACCTCTACTTTAAATGCATAATCAAGAGATAAAATTATTTCTACACTGAAAAAATATAGAATAGGTAGTAGAAAAAATCAAATTTGGCAAATACCATGACAGCTCACTTTATAGGTATCTATATAATATTTAACAAATGATTTTCAAAAATGTATAGTAATTGCATTACCGTTTTACTGGTGTAGTATTCGATGTATCACTACAAATTGAAACAGCACTGAGAGGACCTGATGACTCATCAGAATCTGGATTTTGGTTATAACAAAACCGTTTTCTAGAACGATTAATTTCAGGGCTTTGGAATAAAGCTCTTTTATGAGCAGTTGATCTTATACTATTTGAATTTTCAAGGTAACTTTTCTCTAATGGTTTTGTGATATTTTCTCGCTTTAATTTTCTATAAAAATGATTATATTGATTACATTAATAAATACCAACATATAATTTATTATATACATACCCTGGCACTAATATTCTACGTTTGTTTTCAACAAGAGCTAATTTTGCTTTGGCTTCTGCTAGTATTTGAGGTTTTGAAACTGGTTTTCTTCTCATTATTCGTATATTTTGTTCAAGAGGTTTCACTTGAGTAATCAATCCTCGTTCTTTTTTGGGCTGTGGTGTGTGTCCCGTGTTCATAAGAGATTGTGTTTCATTTGAAACATACCTTTGTTGATACTTCATTTCCAGCAAAGCCATTTCTACAGATTTATTATCAATGTTGTAGCTATAATTTAAAACAAATTTTAAAAACATACTTTTCTTCAATTATTTACTAATATCTACTTACTAAACATCAAAACATTGAACATTAACAACTTCAGGCCATGACCATTTTTTTGCTCGGTCAATATTTTTTAATTCCTTTGGTTCAAATTTGTTAGTTTGACTGTTTGAATTTTGATATTGATACCATCTATCTAGTATATTATCCAAACTCAGTCGACAAGTAGTTACTGTTGGTGGAGGGGGTAAAAAGTTGGATAAATCATTTTTTAATTTTGTTATTATACGATCCCTATTTTGAAATAATAACGACTGATACTCATCTTCATAACTAACAGAACTAGTTAATGTTACTATGCAATCCTTTGAATCTAAACAAAGATAAATTAAACATATTATTATAATTTATACAGGATAGAATTGAAGATAAAAAAATCAATATTATTTTTAATTAGATATTAATTTACAATGGGGTTATTTCTTAATAACTTTTTCCTAATCTAGTACCAACGGGATATAAAATTCTAGGCTCATTAGAACCCAGCAATAAAACCCAATGAATAAAAAAATTGCATGATATTTTGAACTTTAAAATTAGAAATTCAATGAAAACAATATTTATAAATAATGGGTACACACCCCAAGTAAAACAAAATAACTTTTTCTTACCATTGTCAAACAGTTCTTCATCTGAAAACATAGATTCCTCCTCTTCTGCTGACATGCTCGTGTCTTTAGTCATGGTTATAGTTATAATTCAGACATTGTATACATATTTAAGTTATTTTAAAACATTTGAAAATTGAAAGATTACATAGGTAATCTAAAGAATTACGCTAATGAACTGTGTGAAATCCTTGTTTGAATCTATAATAATGCAACGTATCATTAATTGATTGTCAAAATTGAAAAAAAGTTGTTTCTTATTTCTTGATTCTGGATCGATTCCAATAACAACATTTTTAACAACGGGCAACGAACAAGAATAAAACGATAAACTCACAATTAACAGTTTATTAGTTTTATACACGTAGACTATAGATAAACGAGTAGCCGCTAACGATTTTTATAGGTAATAATGAATTGGTGGTTGAACCAGTTGAACTTAAAATAACAAAACCATAATAACCAAAAGAATTTAGAGACGGCTCAATAAATTTTAACATCTGCTATTAATATGACGTCATAGAATTATTGTAACTGCGATTTGTGTTTCCGTCCATGGTGTTAATATTTTACGTTACTATGTTTCATCCTGTTGTATTGTGATAATAGATATTAAATGATAAGAGCAAAATTGAACAACAATATCTGTTTACATTTTGAATGAGGTCTGAAATCCATCATCGGTAGAACATTATCTTCTAATTTGGTAAGTTTTCACTTGTTTGATTTATATTTTGTAATTAATATGGCAGACAGTATGTTAAATATCGAAGACATGGAAATCGTCTTGGACGAAGGTACACCACAAGTGGTTTTAGAAGAATATTTAGATGTCACTATGCTTGAAGATGATATATTCGACTCGTTGATTGTTCATGAGATTGAAACGCCCACCATAGAAACTAAAATTGAAGTACCTACCGGAGAATCCGAAATTGAAAAAGTAGCCATCGTTTATAATTTAGAAGGAAACACTATCCAAAGTCATGAAGATTGTTCAGAAGTTAATTTAACGCTTACTGATACTAAAAGTACCTTGCAAACAAAGAACACAAAATCTGATAACACTGATGACAATAATATGGTTGTTGAGGGACCTCGTTCAAGACAAATTGGAAAAATTCCAATAGCCTTACGAGGGCTTATTGGTCAAGCTAAAATGTTTTTGTTAAAAAAAAATTATAACATGGCTATTAAAATTTGTGTAAATATTTTAAAAGAATGCCCAAATGCATCCGAACCATTTTTTACTTTGTCGGATATTTATGAACAAATGGGAGACACTAAAAAATGTTTAGAAACTGCTGTAATTGGTAGCAGTTTAAGTAGTGTAACGTCTGAAGATTGGGTGATATTAGGAGAAACATGTGAATCAAATAATATGCTACCATTAACAGATTTTTGTTTGACAAAAGCCATACAGAAAGATAAACGTAATTTAGACTTGCATATTAAGAGAGCTTCAATATTGGAACAACTGGGTACAGCTAAAAGTGCCATGAACGAATATGATCGTCTGTTGCGCAAGTTACGACCTGATCAAAAAGATTCAATTATTACTTTATCTAAATTACTAGTTCATAATTTTGTAAAAGATAAAAACTATGACCGTGCGTCAAACATATTAATACATGTATTTAGTTTATTTCCAACTGAAATACAGCCTGAACAATTTGTAAAATGTTTGGATTATCTTATTATAAATAAAAATTATAAAAAATGTCTTGAACTCTTGGTTGAACATTACAATGTTGAGTTTGCAGCTGATATAAATGATGAATCATCCATAACAGATATCATAGAATGTGTAGTCCCCAGTACTACACCAATATTGGTACGTGTAAAACTCATTGAGATATTAATTCAGCTCAAAGCTTTTTCCATATTACCGCCAATTTATACACCAATTTTAAATATGACTCAAGTTAACCAATTTCATTTAAATATCGCTGATGCCCTATTTAAATACAATCAATTTAATCAAGCTATTTCATTTCTAGAAAAATTAATTAATTCTGAAAATGAAATATTTGATCAACAAACACTGAAAATTAAATATTCAGAATGTCTAAAATCATTAGGGCTTCTCGAACAAGCTGTTGACAGTTATAGGAAGCTATTGAAGGTTAATCCACATCAATTAACAGTTAAATTTGACTTATACATGTCCTTAAGAAAGTTAAACCGAATAGACGAGAGTCTAGAAGTATTGTTTCAGGATGATATGGAAAATAGAGATTGCAGACTATTGTACGAATATGCTTTAGCAACATTAAATAAAGATGATATGTTCGATAAATGTTTAAAAGTAGCTAACTTAATGTTTTCTCGTCACTGTGTACCTGTATGTTCATTAAGAGAAGTGAAGTCTATGATGGCAATACATAAAATTGAATCTAGACATGATACTTTACTAACAATAAAACAAGAACTGTATGGTTATCGGCAAGAGAATATCTTGACCATTAACCCAATACCTAGTGCTAACGAAGAATGGAACCTAATGCATAATATTTGTTTAAAGTTCATTGAAAAGAATCTTTACTATGAAGGTTTAAAAATGCTACTCTCTGCTATGAACTCTGCTGTATTAGCGCCATTCAATCAACAAATTGTTTTAAATGCTATAAAATTTGCATTTAAAGTTCGTACTTATAAACTGAGTTTTATTTTATCCAGATACTTGTTGTTTAAGTATCCTCAAGCACCTCAAATTGCCAATTTATTTTGTTTCCTTTTAAATAAATGTGCAATCAAAAAACAAGCTAAATTCATTTTTCGACTAGCTGCCAAATACCCAGATAATATTGCCCTGAACTTACTCGATACTAATGTGTTTAATGATACATATAATTATCAACTTAAATTTGCAAGATATACCGAACTATTAAATAAACTAGAGGATAAAAGCCAACTCTACTTCATGTTAGGCGTTCTTATACTTAGGTTATGCACATTTAAGGTCGGTGCAGATAGACACAGCTTAACACTGCAGGGTATTGGATTCCTAATGAATTATAAAGAACATAGAGGTATTCAACATGAACAAGAGTGTTATTATAACATCGCCAGAGCATATCATCAAGTAGGCATGGCAGCAAAAGCCCTGCACTATTATAAATTAGTTTTGGAAACTAAACCATTTAGTGAAGAATATTGTTTAAAACATGCCGCTGCGTATAATTTGCATTTAATTTACATGAACTCTGGAAATTTGGCTGTTGCATTAATGTATATTAATCTTGTGCAAGTGTGATTTGTCTTTTTTATTTTTTTAATTATAAATAGTACCTATTGTTAAGTGTTTTCTTTTTCTTTTTTTTTCTTTTTTTTATTTGTATTGTGTGTTGTTTAATAAATAAAACAACTTTAATTGTAATCAGTTTTTGTACATAATTTTAATCTGTGGCGATACCTACAGTCAAATAACTGAGTAAAGACAATGCGTGACTAGAATTTGTATTAGTAAACACTATTATAAAAAATGAATAATATTAATTTTAATAATACTTATTAGGATCATGGCCACCTCAATTGGTAAACTTTCCAAGAAAGTACCTTTTAAATTATTTTGTCATGTTTGTGAAGATATTTGCAATGCTAAAACTGAACGTAAAATCACCATTCTAGAAAAATTTATTAGTAAATGTCGAGGATCTATTGAAAACAGTGACAACTTAGATATTGTGAGTCAGTCATTAGACAAATATTCCATTTTACCACTTGCATAATAATCATAATATGCATACTCGTTTGTATAATTCTATAATACATATGTTTAGGATGATACATTTTATCCTGCACTGCGGTTATTGTTACCAGCATCAGATAAACAAAGAGGCGCATATGGAGTAAAGGAAACAGCGTTAGCAAAATTATATATAAAAATATTGTGTTTAGCAAAAGACAGTCCAGATGCTCAGAGGCTTTTAAATTTTAAGTAAGAAAGTATATCGCAATAATAATCTCTATTACCATAGTAAAAATGTTTATCAAAAGTTCTGTCATTTTGATGTTGAGTCCTCATAAAAAATAGTACAAATAAATATTTTATTTAGAGTTCCAAAAGCTACTGGTCCTATTGCTGGAGATTTTGCTGAAACTGTTTATTGGGTTATCAGAAGTCGTTTTGAAGAAGATGGTTCAATGACTATTGCAGATGTAAATCAATTATTAGATAAAATAGCTATGAAACATGCAAACAATGAATCAAGTAATTATTTGTATTTTGTAAATTGCCTATTAAAAGTATTTTAGAAATTAACAACCATTTTAAACAATTTATTTCTATTACATGTATTAGGAGAAGTTGAACAAATTTTACAGTTAATGCTGTTAAAGTTTAGTTCTAATGAACAAAAATGGTTAATTCGTCTACTATTAAAAGATATGCATTTGGGTATATCACATGTAAAAATATTAAATGCATATCATCCTGATGCTGGCCAATTGTATGATGTTTGTAATGATTTAAATAAAGTAATATAATATTTCTTAAAAAACTATTGAATATATAATGATTCTGAAAATATTTGTTTAGGTGTGCAAAATGCTTAATAATCCTACAGTGGTTTTGCACGAGATATGTGTTAATTTATTTGAACCATTCAGTCCGATGTTAAGCCAACGTTGTGATGTCACTGATGTTAATAAAGTAATAAAGTCACAAAATGATATGTTCTTTGTCGATGTTAAATTAGATGGTGAAAGATTTCAACTTCATTGGGATAAAGAAAAAAATAAATTTAAATATTTTTCTAGGTATTTTAGTATGCTATTGTAGTGATATATATGTTTTAAAAAAAATTTAATTATTTTACAATGAAATTATTTGATTTTTATAGGAAAGGTAATGATTACACAGATACATATGGTTGTACTGATGGCCATGGTGTTCTAAGTCCAATATTAGCAAAACAATTTAGTCCTAATGTAATAAATTGTATCTTAGATGGTGAAATGATGTGTTACAACACTAAATACAAAACATTTTCTTCAAAAGGTGAATATTAATTAATAACAAATATATTAAATATGTGATTTAACAATGTTTTATTATATTAAATTTCAGCCATGAATATTGATGTGAAAAAACTCAGGGTTGGTAACCTCCATCAGCCATGTTTTTGTGTATTTGATATTCTTTTTTATAATAATCAAGTTTTAACAAACCAACCATTAGAAAAAAGATTAGATATTTTAAATACATTGTTTGTACCTTTAGAAGGCATTTTCATACATGTTACACGGCACACAGCAAGCAAGTAATAAATACAATTTATATTTTGTAATACTAAAAATATTCTTTATGGTAAAAGAATATTTTTAGTCTTAGTATTATTTGAAAATTAATTTAAAATGAGTAAGATTAAAATCAATTAATACTTTTTAGAAATGAATTAATGAACTGTCTTGAAGATGCAATTGATAATCGTGAAGAGGGAATCTTAGTCAAAGATCCGTTATCAGTGTATAAGCCAAATTCCCGAAATGCAGGATGGTATAAAATTAAACCAGAGGTACAAATTCTAAATTTGTAATATTTTCAATTATTTTATGTAATAAAAACTTCAAAATATTTGTTTAGTACACTGAAGGTGCATTAATTGATCTAGATCTATTAATTATTGGAGGATACTATGGCGAAGGCAAAAGACGTGGTGATGTGAGTCATTTTCTTATGGGTCTTTTAAAGAAAGGTAATGTATATATATATAAAATCATGTGTATTAGGTTAACACACAAAATATATATTAATTTTATTATTATGAATATATTTATGTGTAGAACTAAAATATTATTTTAGAATGATATTTATAATTTTTTTTTTTTTTTATGTGCAAATAACTTTTTTTACCAGAAATTTGATTTTCAAATGTAGCATCTTTTGTGAAAAGACATTATTTGGGCGGTACTTTTGGCAGTTCATATATTTTGCCTTTCCAAATAGTTTTCATTATAATTGGGATGAAACATAGGAAAAACTGTAAAATTCACAAATTTTATTATTTTCAATTTTGTTTTTTTGTTGTAATTCAGTTAAATGTATTTGTTAAAACTTCAAATTTGAACAGAAAATTTTACCTTTTCTAGACGTAAAATTTTTAAAACATTTGTGCCATTTTGAATTATTTATAAACATTTAAATTTTGCTAGTTTTAAAACAATTTTTATTCGGTTGGTACTCTGTGGATAAGATTGTTAGACCAAATAGAAATGATTGAAAATTTAACAGAAAGTTTATTATAAGTTGTACTTTATGGTAAAAACAAAATTAAGTCTTGTAGAAATTTTGTTTTTATACAAATTTAAATATCAAATTTTGATGAAAATCGTAAACATTATGGCCTTTCAAAACATGTATAACCGAACTCTGCTCAGAATTGTTTTTTTGCTATTAATGATTAATTATTGCATACAAATATACATTAAATTCCCTTCTATATCCTACCTTCCAACTTTTCACCTACAATAGTAGTCCACCCATCATGTAAAGTATATCTGTCTTTTTTTTTAATTTAACTGATTTTAATTTGAGTATAATATTAAATCATTCTTTTTCTAACTCTATGTTATACTATATTTAAATTAAAATTATTAATTTTAAACTATAACAAATTTGTATTTATTCATTTTAACCTTTTTCGTTTTACACTGTATTTATTGTTACTTTTATGTATACATTATATACATTTCGTATCTATTAATTGTTTATATTGACATTCAGGGAACCAGAGGTATAGGTCATCATAGTCATGGCAAACAATTATAAACATAGTATAATTGTTTTTCCATGACCTTCAATTTTAGTTAATGGTAGTGAACAATCTATTACAACTAAAAACAATAAACAATGTCTAGTTTACATTCCTGTCTGCCTAGTTTTGGTATATATTTTTCAACCTAATTTATATTCTATTTTGTTTTTATCAAACATTCAATATTTATTTTATATTTATAAGTTTATAACCTAAGTTGATGATTTTATTTAATTATTATTTTTGGTAATTAATCTTTAGATGACGAGTCAATAAAATGTACTGCTATTAGTCGAGTCAGTTCAGGATTTTCAACAGAAGAACTAGCCGAGTTATCTAGAAAGTTAAAACCTCACTGGAAAATAGTATACCCAGGAGTGATGCCACCTAACATAGAATGGGATAAAGAGAAGCCAGATCTTTGGATAGAACCTGAATTGTCTGTTATCTTACAGGTGAAATTAATATATTTTTAACATATTATAACATATATAACATTTAAATTAATTTTTTTATAGGTTAAAGCCACAGAAATTATGACCAGCCGTACATTTAAAAATAAAATTACTTTACGTTTCCCACGTATAGAAAGGGCCCGCTATGATAAACTTTGGTCTGATGGTTTGACAGTTGAAGAATTTGAGACCATATTAGAAGTTTGTTAATTTAACTAGTTCAGAAATAATAAAAATTAATTTGATTTATTTTTATCCCAATAGAAAACCCATGGCAAATTATATACTTCAGATGGTATTGACATAAATTCTTCAAGTAAAACTAAAAAGGCCCGTATGGCACCAACTGTTGGTATACAATTTCAAGCACCCAACTTAAGCGATATCATTCAGATTAATAATATGTTTGAAGACAAGGAATTCTGTGTCATTAGTGACTGTGAAACAATGACTAAGGGTGAAATTGAAAAGAAAATCCATGAATATGGTGGTCAAGTTGTACAAAACCCTGGTATTAAAATCAATAATATATCAATATTTACTTAAAAAATTGTATTGCATTTTTTAAACGTATTTAGGAGATGATACTTTTTGTGTTCTCGCTAACAACATTAAGCATATTAGAGCACATGCTATAAAATTATCTGGCAAGCACAGTATAATTGATACAAAATGGATACTCTCGTGTTTTGCTGATAACGAATTTTTGAATTGGACACCTGAAAATGTTTTGTTTTTATCAAAAGAACACCAACTATTAATGGATGCAAATTTCGATCAGTATGGTGACAGCTATACAGAATTAACTACTGTTGATGGTTTACGTCGTGTGATGAATCGAGTTGAACTAGACGTATGCATATATACAATTAAATAATTTAGTAAAAAATTTGACTTTATCAAACTATAGTATTATTTGGTATAGGATGATTTAGTGAACACAGAAGTTGACACATTTTTGGAATTTCAAAAAGAACTTTTTGACAAAGAACAATGCTTCAAAGTTTTTGAAAAGTGTCAAGTCTATTTTGATGATTTAAATCTAGTAAGTTATATCATCACCTTACAAATAATTAATTACAAATTGTATATATTTTTAGGAAAACTTACCAGTCAGAAATTTCCATACTAATTCAGTTTTAGAAATGCTTATATTTAAGTTTAATGGAGGCACAGTCTGCAAAAATATTGATAACAATACAACTCATGTTGTAATTCATTCGAGGTATCTATTCATTATATACGTTAACTGTGTTCTATGTTTAAATAATGTTATTATTTTATTTTGTTTTAGTAGTCAAAATAATATTCTTAAATATCAAACTATGAACAGAGACCGGACAGAAAAATTTGAAATTGTTGATGAGAATTGGATTTCACAACAAATAAAATGGTAAAAAAAAACAAAACTTAAAATTTATTTGTGATATTTAATTTTCTTATTCCAATTTGTGCAAAACTAGCTACATAAAAACTACTACATTTACAATATATGTATACTATAATAAAAACATTTTTTTTTTTTTTAAATTATTTTTTAATTATTTTCAATCAAACTTTCTTATTATACATTTAAAAAAAAAAAAAAAATCTCTTTTAAAACATAAATAGTCTACTTTAATGGTCATTTCATCTCAATCTGTCGAGACAAAACAGCCTTAATAAATATTAAATACATAATTATTAATTGTTATCTTTAAAATATTAATTTTCAATATTTACACTTTCTAAAATAATCCATAACATAAAAAACAAAATAAATCTGTACTATGTTAAATTAATAGTTAGGTATGCCTTAAGAGTATGGGCATTTTGTGTTGTGATTGTTAATTTACGTTTTGAAGACAATATAAATCATAAACACAATATTTATCATAATAAAATATAGGCGAGTGGGACAAGGGATAAATTTAAGGAAGTCAAAAGTTTATATTTTGAGATCTAACGTTCAATACTTAAAATATTCTTTTTCTTTTTTCTTTTTTCTTTTTTACTCCATTATTTACATGTATGCACCTCAGCATTACGGATGCATGTTTTACATTGCACAAAACAACACCAATGAAATTTGCATTCGCATTTCTCGCGTGTAACTAGTCGTTGTGTATTGTAGCCTCTGCCACAACATAGTAAACTGCAACCGTCTGTTCCATGTGATGTTCGGTTGCATTCTCGACCATGAGTACCTAAAAAATCGATACATATAATTATTATTTGAATATTATAATATTATATACAAATAATAAACCGAATCTAATATTGTACATTTATTTTTTTTCCCTTAATTTCTGCGTAATTAATTATACAATTTTATTTATCAATATTTAACACTAATCGTACCAGTCACATTAATAATATTATAAACTTGATATTTGTAACCAGCATTATAATTAATTTGTATTGTATTGTAGATACTATATGGAATAGAGGGGTAAATAATTAAAGAGAATAATTCAAATAGTAAGTACACTGTATGTTAAAATATTTTTTCGAAAGTTGAATGCATACGATATACGTGAATTTCCTGTTCAAAACCACCACACAAAAAAAAAAAAATGTTTTATGGATGCCAGGAAGTCATCGAACATGGTTCAAAATATCATCAACATTTTTTGTACATCGATGAGAAATCACTTAACTTTTAACTTTTTTTATTTTTCTTATAATTATAATTATAATATTATTATGGCTGAGAGACCTACCAGCAATGTTTTATTGCTAATAAAAAAAAACCTACCTACTTTATATGTTAATATAAACTATATGGCTACAACAATAATACTAAATTATATTATTAATTATTGCATTAATACTAATATCGGTTGATTTATTTAAAAAAATTGACGTGTAAGTAGATGCATATTTTTTGTTCCGTCAGTTTACTTCATCTTATCTAATAAGAGTAATAATTTCACAGTCATTTTTATCGGTTTGAAACAATTAGATTAGATTAACTAGATGATTTATTTTATACTTTCCGATCACAATACTTATATATTACTGTATTAGTGAAGTTATTATCTTTATCAGTGGTGATTATACTCAGTAGGTAGAACCACTTGCGTTGGAGTTTAAAATAATTTATAAATTAGGAAAATATGAAAAAGTGAGTTATTTCAAGGGAGGAATGTATTGGTTTTACAATAGTATTCATTTTTTTTTATCTTCAAACAACTTTTCTATCGGAAATCTTGCTCCGATTTTCAAATGTAGCACCTTTTCTGAAAGGACATTCGGATGGTACTTATGAGAGGTCATTTTTCAAAATAATTGGAAAAAATCGTTTTTTACGTAGTTTTCATTTGGTGTGCGCTATGTGTATATTAAATTATTATACCAAAACAAAAATGCTTGAAAATTTAACAGGAGGTTTGCTATAATATTAAGTTAAACATAGTGGTCAAAAAAAGTAGCGTAATGGTGTTATTTTTTTGTTTATATTTTTAAATCAATGTTTGATGAAAAACTTAAATATTACGGTCTTTCAAACGGTGTATAAACGAACGAATCGTTATTCGTTAGCGATGGTTTATCGTTGCTTACACATATAAATTAAATAACTTTATGTAGCCTACCCACGTGTCCGTCTTTTTATTATTGTTATTTAGTTAAATTTTTTTTTCCATTATCGTCAGCACTAATTCTGATGTCGCCACGCGATAATTATGAACTACGCTCAACTAGGTATGTTCCTATCCTGTCCGCGAAAGTAGGTTTACCGAAATTTTAAAAGTGAACTCTACAGAAATCCGGTACGCGGGTTTTTATTTATTTTTTTTTTTTTTTCCAACTAAAACTTTAAGGGTTGATTTCGTTCTTTTAGTATTGTTTTATTGCCGTTTGTGAAACAAAAATGACACTTATAGATAGTCGGTCGTTCCGCCGCCAAACACCCAATGACGGGAAAAAAACAATCGGACAGAAAGTCGGTAACACCGCCGTTACGCTCGGCGAGGCGATAATACGCGACGTAACGCGGCTATCGTTATTACGACGGCTGCGGTTATCGGTCGTTGTTGTTGTTGTTGTTTTGTTATAATTGCGTACCGTGCGCGCGGGCCACTCGAGAACGAAAATCGCGCGTCGATCGCGGGGGCCGAACGTTGGTTGCCGACGGGAATCGCGGTCGGCCGCGTACGGTGTTTTCGATGAGAGCCCGACGACGGTAATAAATATTATCATTGCGATTACTATTACTATTGATCGATCGGATCGTCAACGGTTATACGGCGGTAGTATCGCGGGTATGGCGGCCGCATGGGTACGCCGCGCTTCCGCCGTCGTTCCAGGATATTATTAGGCGCCGCGCCCGCGCCCGTGTATTATTACACTGCCGTTATTGTTGTATTCTTGTCGCCGTTGTCGAGTGGCGATCGGAAAGTCGCGGTCGCACTGCAACTGCGGGTGCGCCCGCGCCACCGCTATTTACAATGCCTACCGCGCCGGGACCTAAAGCGCCTGTACCTAAAAAAAAAAAAAACGAAAAAAAAGACGACCCGCGGGCGCGTTAATCGGACGACGGTCGTGATTCGTTTTCCGTCGCGCCGGGAGACTCGACCCCGCGGCGAAATACGCGCGCGTACGCCACTGCGCCGTAGAAAGTTCCGTCGTTTTTTATTTTCGTTTTTATCGACGCGCGATTTCGTCCGCCCCACCCCCTCCCTCCCCCCGTGAACGGCTCTTTAGACTCCGAGCGGAGCGAAGACGAAGCTCACGGTTTTTGCAAAGATTTTTTCTTGTCCGTGGACAACTTTTCTACCGGTAATCTTGCTCCGATTTTCAAGAAGTAGCGCCTTTTCCGAAAGGAAATCGGTATGGGAAGGTCAAGAAAAGGGTTTTTCCCAGCAAATGTGAAAAACCGGGAAAAACGCGGAGAAATCGGTACAATGTCAAACAAATACTATGAAAGAAAATATTTGACGTCTATTTGATTATTATACCATAACATGACGTATATACATTGTTGACTGAGCATCGACTGAACTCGTTTTTTCGTTAGAAATGGTTCGTCATTGCTTACAGGTGTACATTGAATTCTCTTCTTTATCCTACCTTCCCAACTTCCCGCCTACAACAGCGGCCATGCCCGTCCCCATTATCGTAGGGCAGCTTTTTCCGACCGGAAATCTTGCGCCGATCGTCAGCGAAATTCACGGGCGATTTCTGGCGGAAAATTGCGCACTTGTGGAGGAAGTCGTATTTTCCTCGTAGTTTACTGAACAACGGTGAAAAAACGCCGGGAAAATGTAACTATGTGTACGCGATAACGGTTTCCGTTCTTGTACGATTCGGTTCGAAAAAAACCGTGCAGACGTGACGATTCTCATCGTATGACGTTTAGAGACTTGACTACACATTCCCCGGTCCGAATCTAAAAACGATAATCTATAAACCCGCCCCCTGCCCCTTTATTCAACGGTCGGAGTGCGGGTATTCATATAATTATATCATACGGCGTACCTATAGAACCGGCGGTGGCGTTTTTGATGCAATAGTTGGGCGAGTCGTCGATGTAGACGAGATCGCTGGCCGTCGGCAGACTGAACCGCGGGTCCCTGATCTGCAACCGTCCGCGCTTGGTGGCCCTCACCTCGATGGCACCTTCGTACTTTTCTTTCAGATATTCTCCTGTAGGGGGGACAAAAAAAAAACCAATAAAAAATAATGCGTACACGTTATATATTATATAGGTATCCGAGGGGTGAGGGGGGGGGAGCGTAAAATTGAATATTTATTATATCCCCGCGTGCGCCGCGAGAAAACAATGCCATAAATTAGCGTTGTGTAACAATAATTATTATACCTGTTGGAAATTATTATTATTATTGTTGCGTACGTGCGACGCGATATAATATAGTGGCCGGCGCGTATTACAAGTGTAATGATATAGCGTTTTTTCGAGCGATTTTCGTTGTTTTTTTTTTCTCGCCGCGCAGTGGCCACCTCATACGGTACTTACCTACGACGACGTTTACGCGCGACGCCGTACGGTGATGATAATAACGAGGAGCGGAGCTGTTGCGGGGACGACGGACGAGCCGAGTAATCGGATTAAAAGATACTCGGGCGTCACACAATATCTTATTTATGTATGGGTCACCCGTGTGTATAATATAATAATATAATATACAGGCGGGTAATAATAACGACGCGTAATATAAACGCGCGCAGTAATAACATACTGGCGTCGTCGTCGACGGTGACGGTGTTGTACCGAATACGAAAATATTATAGCCTAATGTAAAAACGAGCACGCTCACGTTATTGGTCCTCCCCATAAAACGCGCGAGAAAACGCGTTTGTTGTAACATTAACGGGGCAGGTACGGACACCCGGGCGTTAAAAACGACGTAAAAATGTCCGTGCATAAAAAAAAAAAATGCCGTGTCGGGTGCCAGCCGCCACCGCCGTTCGCCGTCGTCCGTATGTGCGCGTGAACCGTTATTACACTCTGAGCGGATATTGCCTATAGGACACTTATTATGTTATATATTACTTTCAATACCCATTATTACTGCGATATAATATTATGCGTGCGCCGCACGGGTAAGTACAACGGTAACGGTGCGTATATGGTGTACGAGTGAAACCGATTTTAGAGGGTTTCCACACTGGTGCGGGGCCTCCGTCCTCGCGTTATTCGTGGCGATGTTACCTTTGAGTTACCGAATTCACTCGTTACACAGTGCAGGTTTACGGATTAAAATTGTACACTTTTGTTTGAATAAATAATCGAAATAAAAAATTATAACCATCGGTGTTATATACCGGTGGCCGGCCCGGAAAAACAAAAAAAGCCGTTGAAAATCGATGCGATATTTGGTCGAAATTCGGGTCGTTTGTCGGTCGATCTCGTATTGGAAAAAAATTTTTAACAATATTACGCATATTATTAACCGTGGGGGCTGAGGAAAAGATACATATACAGAGTGAGGTAAAAGTTGTCCCACGCCCGGACAGACGACACATCCGGTTTGTGATTACGCGTTATCTCTTGAAATAATACAAAAGTTCAAATGTATTTGAGTTTTGTTTCTACAGTGCGTTCACGCTAGGAGGTACCACTAAATATTTCAGTTGGATGACCTAGTATTGAAATGGAATTTTCGGGGTACGATAGAGAGTACCCAAATACACATTTTCAGACAAATTTCAAATTTGTTACACTTTTGGTACGCGCATGCGCAATACAACTTACTTTATTTTAAATGGCAACGCCATTTGTTTCCCTACAGATTCGGATACATTAATTTTTTAAAAAAAAATAAATGTTTGTATAAAAAGTTTTTTTCTAATTACAAAATTGGCAAAGTTCTAGTATGTTGAAATTCAACATTTGCGAATAATCTGTAATTGACGGAATTTTAACTTTGTTCGACTTTTACTCAAAAATCAAAATTATGATAACTCCGACATTGAGAAACACCTGTGTGTAAATAGATAGGACACAAATAATATACTTGTTGTTGTTATTATGTAATGTCACTCATAGCACGACAAAGTGAATACAACAACATTTGATTGTATTCAAACTTTGAACAAAAAATTCAAGGAGGAGATCTATGCCCGGTCTTTTTCCATCGTTCGTTATCCGCGTATCATCATAATATAAAATTATAGCCGCCCCTTCCGTCGCGCATATCCAAGACACAAGCACTACACTATTACACACGACAAACGACAAGGTGTTCCGTTCACTATTGTCATACGCATCGCGGGTCCCATTACCTATGTAATTGTCCGGCTCTCTAGTGCCACGCGCTCGTTAAAA